AAGTGAGAATGTATCCACCAACGAGGTTTCCGAGGTTCTGGGCTCGCATTCTGAAGTACACGAAGCCAACGTTTACGGCGTGTCTCTTCCCAATCACGATGGCCGTGCCGGATGTGCAGCCATCCTCTTCAATCAGCAGATGGCAAGCGGTAAGCTCTCTGATTCCGCACTGGAGCCCTCGCGCGAGGTGCTTGATACACTAGCTGCACACACTCTCAAGAATCTGCCCCGGTTTGCGGCTCCTCTATTTCTGCGGGTTACGCCTGTGACGCAGGCGACTGGTAACAACAAGCAACAGAAGCATGTTCTCCGTACTGAAGGCGTGGATCCAGCTCTTGTGTCGAAGAAGGACCGACTGTACTGGCTTCAGGGCAATACCTATGTTCCCTTTGGACAGAGGGACTGGGCACAATTGACTGGTGGTCAGGTTCGACTTTGATTCGTCTGCTTTCCTTGAACTCATCGGCTTTTTTGACTTGCCTTATTATTGCCTCTATTCTTTTTCGGTTCTATGACATTATCCCTACTCCCCTTACCTCAAGATACCCCAGACGACAGCCCTCAATTCAAAAATTCATATACGCCGATTGGGGTTGGCCTAATATCACTGGGCTGAAGTTTACATGTAGGACATACAAGAATAGTCGGACGCTCATGCATCCCCTGTACTTGACTACGTAAGACTTTGACAATCTGATCTATTTGGCCCAATGTGGTATTAGTGGTGTAATGTGTAAGAACATACCGAAGTCTTCTTAGATATATGCGACTTTTCAATGCATAACCATGGAATGGACGATGGATAATTCAATTTTGTATGTGGTATCCCGAGATCCCCTAAAAAGCATAGTAGACTATGATGTAGACCTTGGGATACCCACATGGATCCTAAAATATCTCAAATCACGAGGAAGGTACCAAAAGTGAGCATAAACGGAACTGTCAGTTCAGACATAGCAACCACAACCCCTATGGCTCAGATGGGAAGCGCTCCAGGCAGGGCGATGTTAGGTTGCGATCGAATCACAGCTAGGCCAGGTTAAAGAACTATGAGTTACAGGCTGACGACAGTGAGTACACCAACCCCACCTTGAAAAGGGGGCATCCCTGATGCCTCAGAGTTACACCGAATGAGGCGCGTCCTAGTCAATGAGATAACTGCCCCCAAAGACTAGCTTGTGTGAAGGACCTATTAGGGCCACTTTTTATTGATATTTGAAGCTATTCACAACTTTTGATCCACACAAATGGCCCCACCATAACCCCACTCCAACAACTTAAGCATTTCAAACTTTGCGCTTTTTTTAAATATTGGTATTCTTGAAAACTCATGATTTTTTGGAAATTTTTTTTTTCATTTCAAGACACATATTATACTGATTACAAATGATTCCTCTCCGGTGGGCATAGTGACATCCTTCGGCAACCTTATTATGTCGGAGTCAGTCAGCGGTCAGAGGTGGTTTGTATTAATCGGTAAGAAACTGATTTAAATACATGTGGGGCTTGAGCCCTAGGCTACATATTCTGACATATTAGGGATACTGTTGAAGGTGTCCAAAGGCGCATCAGCCTCGACACTCTTCCACACCTGCTCAATCTGTGCTGCAATTTCCGGGCTGAGGGGGCCCTTGCTCAATGCAGCAAGCGTCTGATTGAGCTGTTCAACATTACGAGAGCCAACAATCACAGCATCTCCGAGTTCCTCTTTGAGGGCTGAATTATACGCCACCCACCGATATGCCAATTCAACCTTGGGAATACCAGTCTCCTTGGAGATTTTCTCCCATTGTTTCAAGCCTTGTAGCATGCTCGGCTTATTAAAAAGCGCATTGTAGACTCCACCAAGCGGGGTGTTTGGATCCCATCGACCCTGGCCGCCGGCCACCAACGTCGCGACATCCTTGGTCAGGAACCCTCCTGCGATAGGCGAATAAGCATAAAAGGAGATATTATGCTTCCGTAGCGTGGGGAAGATCTCTTTTTCGCCTCGGCGTGCGACGGCCGAATAGTTGCCCTGGTAGACACTTGGCACGACGTAATTCTTCTCACGACAGATGCGGACTACCTCTTCGACTTCCTCGGCTAGATAGTTGGACAGGCCAAAGCGCTTGAACTTTCCAGCCTGGTACGAAGCGTTGATACTAGCCAGCAGATCTTCCATTGAGCTTCTGCGTTCGGGGGCATGCATATAGTAGACATCGAGCTAGGGATGGGATCAGGAACCGGGTCTTTACAGTATTAGATTATAAGAAGCTCACCTGGTTGGTTTGAAGACGAGCCAAACTCTCATTCAAGCTTGTAACAAGAGACTCGGGGGTGGAAGGATCAGGCGAAAACCCGCCAGGGTATTTTGAATCAATGGTAAAGCGGGAATCGGCGTGAACTTTTCCTAATAACTCTTCGGAGTTACTGTAGATCTTGGCAGTATCGATAGTTTTGATGCCGTTGGATTGCAGAATGTCGAGGACCTCGTTGATGGATTCAAGAGTCGGATATGCGACTTCATCCATGATTGAGGCACCGCCCCAGATGATTTTGATGCCGGCCATGATAGATTGGTTGAAGAATCAGGAGATGAGGAGAGGGGAAATATGAATGCCTAGAAACAACACTGCAGGTGGGTATTTATATCCTACATGTATGCAAGGATACTCCAAGGGTATCCTGGCTTGATAATCCAAATATTGATAATCAAATGTCTCATATAAACCCTTAGAATACTTGGAATACTGTGAATGAATCTACAACCCCAGGAGATCATTGTTCTACCAGCGGAACTCCGGTGGATGGCTTATCAACCATGGCATCACTTAGGCTAGGGCTACCCACATCCATCGCTTTCTAGGTACTCGGAGTTCCGAGTTCCAGATTCACATTACAGTTACTGACCTACAAATAACATCGAAAGACATTGGAAATTCATATTACATGTAACATCCCTAATATCCTCTTGAGCTAGATAAATCAGAGTATTAGACTCCTATGTCGTCGAGGACATAGGCCGCATATGCGACCAACTACTTTTGTAGTTGCTATAGGCAAAATGTAAGAAACCATGTTACTTAGCAAATTAAAATCAGAACACGACCATCAGATACTGAACATTAGAATAAAATTTGTATATAAAAACAAGTTACCTAGGTTATGCAATAGCATACTACAAAGTGAAGTATAAAGCCGACTTGGAAGCAAATCGGCTTCCCCGCATGCATTTGGAGATCCCCGCTGCTTTTCTTCCTCTCCTTTTTCTTTTTCTTCTCTACTCTTGTTTTCACTGCTCTCATTAACCCATCATGTCTTCAAGTCTGTCATTACTCACACACCTTCGCCCCCGTGTACTAGCGCGAACCCGACCGGGTGCAATTCGCAGTTTCACCATCTCTCAGCGTCTCCACTCAGATGCTTCTTCGGTAGCCTCGGCCTTCTTGTCGCGCTTCCAATCCCTGGGACCACAAACCCGTACCCAAACGATAGATGCAAACCAGCTCCAACTTCTCACTCTTACACTCAATCGCCCGACTCTCTTCCCCGGTGCCCCCTCACTCTCCAATGGCGCCTCCGCCCCGCAATCCGAAGTACCTGTGCCGCCGGGCTACCACCTCGCGTATTTCACACCCGCATTCTTGGAAAGTGAACTGGGGGCAGATGGAACCGATGCGTCATACAATCCCGACGTGCCATTCACGCGGCGCATGTGGGCAGGCGGCGAGGTGGTATGGCCCCGTGTGGATGGGAAACCCAATCTGTTACGGGTAGGACAGCAAGTGCAGGAGACAACGCGGGTACTAAGCGCGGAGTCCAAGGTTATGAAAAAGACTGGCGAGGACATGATTGTTGTTGGGATTGAGAAAGAGTTCGCCAACGAGCACGGCGTGTCAATTATCGACCGACGGTCCGGCTTCCTATCTCACGAATGTCGCAGACCAAAGTACTGACAATAACTCTCATGTAGCAACTGGGTATTCCGTAAAGCTTTACCCGTTCCTTCCGAATCGACACCATCCAGGACCCCTACCTCGTCTACAACATCCCATATTGCGAGCCCAAATCCCACCTCGTCCGTCATTTCGACCGAGGGCAATACCCATACACGAACCCTGGTGCAAACACCCGTGACACTCTTTCGCTTCTCTGCCCTGACTTTCAACCCTCATAAGATCCACTACTCACTGCGCTGGGCGCGGGATGTAGAAGGACACAAGGATATTGTAGTACATGGTCCGTTGAATCTGATCTCCATTCTGGATCTTTGGCGTGACACTCGCCAGAATGTCACGGACTCTACCTTGGTTGTTCCAGAACGCATCTCTTACCGAGCAACGAGCCCATTATATGCCGGGGATGAGTATCGGATTGTGCTTGAAGAGGGTGACGGAACAAAGGTGCAGATTATCGGGCCCGGGGGAGTAGTCGCTATGAAGGCTGATATCCAGTAAACATAAACTGCAGAAATAAACCAGATATATAAAAAAGCAATGACTGTATATAAAACTGTGGTTGCAGTCTGTTGGGCTATGTCTGATAGAAACAAAGTACACCAAACTCTGTTCACGGGTTTAGCGGTGCGTGTCGATCCCCCACGAGCTATGGAGTCCACTGCTTTTTCCTTTTCCACTTAGAATGTTCCCAGTTCCTAGCCATCCTCATCATTTGCCGATCGCAATAACTACAATAACTACAAATAATAATGGACGAACCTTTGGACCCCGCAGCGGAGATAACCGCCCCCAGAAAGCGAACACGAGTGCAATTTTCATGCACGGCGTGCAGGTATCGAAAGTAAGCTCAACGCACGATGTGCATACCTAGGATTTCTACAGCTACTGATCGACTATAGATTAAAATGCTGCCGCAGCCACCCTTGCACTAATTGCAAGAAGCGAGGCGAAGCCACGTCGTGTACCTATGTCGGGCGCGGACCACGAGGCAAAGCCCAACATGGGCGCGCAAGCCCGACTCTAGTCCAGGACCGCTTGCACCACCTAGAGAATCTAGTCATGTCTCTTGCACAGAAGCAGAAGTCTGGTCTCGAGATCGATTCCAATGTGGTACAGCCAGAGAATCGGAACGCTTACGCAACGCCTTCACCCGGCAGCTCTAATCGTGATGCCGCGTTGACTCCTGTCGATACGGGCATGCTCGTCGTCAAAGATGAGGGGACTAGTTATATTGACAGTGCACATTGGCGCGCTATTCTGGAAGAGGTCCGTCTTGAGCTGGTCATTACTGCGCTCTGAGTTGATTGTGCTGACCGGGTTTTCAATTTTTGAAGATTAATGGTATGAAAGAATATCTTGACGAGGATAAAGAAACTTCCGACGATGAAGGCGTCGAGATTGACCCGTACGATGACTCGTCGCCAGCTCTGCTGTTTGGTCATGGTCGTCCGGCAAGCAAAGAGGAGATGCTTATGGATATCCCTCCACGGTCAATAACCGACCGACTAGTCTCTCGATTCCTCAAGACATCTGAACCGGGACGAGGTATGAGTCTCTTGAGAAAAACAATGGGCACTGAGTACTGATAAGCTAGCAGTGTCAATCCATGTTCCCACGTTTCAGAGAGAGTACGAGGAGTTCTGGCTGCGCCCAGCAGAGAAATCATTTACTTGGATTTCTCTCTTATACTCGATTATGGCGTTATCTGTCTCTCTATATCATCAAGGCCCAGAGCTATCGTCTTCTACCATGGAGGATCCCGTCAGGTCATGGGCTATATTCCGGAAAAGGTCCGCGCAGTGTCTTATCCAAGCGAACTACATCACCCCAGGGCGATACAAAGGAGAAGCACTATTACTTTACTCACTCACCGAGTTCTACCGGAGCCAGGATACGCAGATTGGAATGTCCTATTTGCTCGGGATTACTATTCGCCTGACTATGCGCATGGGTTATCATCGTGATCCGCGCCATTACCCCATGCTATCTGCCTTGGATGGGGAAATGCGCCGGCGTCTCTGGGCCTTGCTCGTTCAGCTTGACACTTTGAGCTCATTTCAAGCTGGTGTCCCTCGAACAATCCAGCCCTGGCAATATGACACAGAGTTGCCCTCTAACTTATTAGACACCGACTTCGACGAGAGCACCGTTACATTGCCACCAAGCAGGCCACAGCATGAAGGGACAGATTGCTCGTACACGAGGACCAAATCTCACATCATGAGCGTTTTTGGCCATATAACAGACCTAGCATTCTCTCGCGAGCACTCATCCTACGATGATATCATGGAAATCGACCGTCGTTTAGAGACCGCACATGATATGGTACCCCCCACCTTGGAAATTCGACCAATGACGCAGTGTATCGCAGACCCAGCAGAATTAACCATAAGGCGATTCGCGCTAGAGCTTATGTATCAAACAGCACGCCTCGTCCTGCATCGCCGGTATATCGCCGAGACTAATCCCAAATTCGCTTACTCGCGATCTGTCTGCCTGGCCGCAGCTCGGGACGCGCTTCAATACCACACAGAGGTCTGGACCGAGTTCATGCCGGGTGGTCAGTTGTACGCAGAGCGATACTTTCTCACCCCCCTCCAGAATTCCTTTTTGCTCTCGGCAATGATTCTTTGTCTTGAGATGTCCCAGGATGCAGATCGTGGTGATGCTGCACGCCTCGGGCCTCAAGAACGCGCAGACTTCTTGCTTCTTCTGAAAAATACCCATCGCATATTCATGGACCCCCGTCAACGGTCTGTAGATACTCAGCGAGCAGTGAATGCTTTGAATATCATGCTCAAACGGGTGAAGAAAGGTGGATTTCAACATTCCAGTTCGACTGCTGAGCAACCAACGGCGCCCATGGATAGTAAGTATAACTTTTCTCTCCTTACAATATCGTGCTGACAAGGTTTCCAGATAGTATCTCCGTCCAGTCCACCGTTGCAGAAGCCTTTGGTCAGAAATACTCAACATACCCATCCAATATTGGCGAACTGCAGTCCGCAATACCCAACCCCGCTCAGACGCCGTCATGCAACTCCCTGGGGGTCATTGAAGACATGCTTGATATACCCGCTCAACTCGACTGGGTAAGAGCCTCAACTATATTTCTGGATGCTTATCAAACCCCTAACTAATCCTTTATTCTTAGAATCTGTACGACAGTCACATTTCAGGTATCGAAATGGCCACCAATAACAACACCTGGTACCCCGATGATCCAGCAACTTCGTACGATTTTGGTGCGTATCCTCATGGCGTATCGCCGATGGATCATCAGAGCTACTAGTAATTATATCTCTAATGTTATGAACGTACATACTTTGTGTTTCTCTTGTACATCGTCATCAAAGATATCGAGATACTACGCACCAGAGGCTTACAATATAGTTATTCGATTTTTTTTTTCAAGTAAAAGGGAAGACTACAAAGTACAAAATCCATCCAATCCAGAGTATATGTACCTGGCCACTCACTAAATCCTGCCGAGGCGGCTGCAGATCCCGCTCCGCGGAACCGGAGCTTTTTCCTCGTCTGCCAGGAACCACTACACCCCAAGTACCAACCTGTGTATATCTTCTATCCTTTTAATACGACCCTCCTCAATGCGACCATTCCTCACTTTGCGACTTCCAAGTCGCGCAACTCTACCCTCCCAGCGCCAGAATGTGTGCCCAGTCTCCCACCAACTCAAGACAAGCACGAGGACATTAAACACAACCCAACGACCAAGTCTGCGCCGACCTCTACTCCCAACCAGTGGCCTCAAAACCACTACACGAGCATTCGGCCTACCCGACCTATCCTCCTTCCTCCCAAACAGCAACAATAACAACAACTCCCCACACCGCGTCCTAACCGCCACCCGCAACCTCCCCTACAACCCAACCCTACTATACCAAGTGATTTCCTCAGTCGAATCCTATAGCCAATTCCTGCCCTTCCTCACCGCCTCAACCGTAACAGCACGGGATCCGGAAACAAGGTACCCCACACAAGCGTTCCTGACCGTCGGCTATGGCCCGCTCAGCGAGACCTTCACATCGCGCGTGATCTGCGACGTAGAGAAGCTGACCGTGGAGGCTAAGAGCGGGGTGAACTATGGTAAAGAAGTATCGCATGGGCAGGCTGGTAAGGGCTCCTCTTCGTCTGGGCTAAGCGGGTTCTTCCCCGGCGCGAATGAGGGTCTCTTCGAGTACTTGACTACGAGGTGGGAGTTGGTGCCGCTTTCGCCTGGCGCGCAGGGGGGCCCGTTGACTAAGGTCAATTTGGAGGTGCGGTTTGAGTTCCGTTCGCAGATGCATGCTACTCTTATGAGTGCTGTTGAGGGGCAGATGGCTGGGGTTATGATTGAGGCCTTTGAGAAGCGGATACGGGAGGTTGAGGGTAAAGGGCAGTGAGAGAAGTGTCGATTGTAGATTGGATTGTATATTAGTGGTGTTTTGGTCGGGCATAAATTGCATGTATGACAACTACATAAGACTACTTATTAGACTTGCATATCCTCATTGAATAGCGGAAGGGAAATAGATAGCATCGCCAATTTGATTCTATTGGATGGATCGCTGTACATGCTCAATCAGAAGCCTGTGAGAATGAGCAATGGGTACCAAAAAAAAAATAAAACATGATAGTATATAATACAGATTATCCAGACACAGACATGATTTTCAACTTAAAGCATGCTCATACTCCGATGACGGTTGATCGAGCTGCGCGAGCTCTTCATGGAGCCGACAGCATTGTAGTTGTCGAAGACCACATCCCAGTTAATCCGATCCCACCAGCGCTCGAGGTACTCGTCCTTGCCGGCAATACCGTAGTCCATCATCCACGCGTGCTCCCAGGTGTTAACACAGAGAATGGGCTGCACGTCGACGGCGCCGGGTGCAAGGCTCTTCTGGTTCTGGGCGTGAGCACCCATCGAACCGGCGAACTGGTTGCCCAGCTGGGTCTCCGGGGTGTGGGTGGCCATGTCGACGGGTTGCCGCCGGGAGTGGGCGGCCGGGTAGGGGGAGCCGGCGCTGTAGGTGCAGAAGATGTGCATCATGCCTTCGCGCTCGAGGTTCTTGGCGAGCCAGACAAATCCGGGGCCGAACATTGAGCTTGCTGTGGCGAGGAAATCCAACTTCAGGGACTCGACGGAGGAGCAGGTATCGACGATGTCCTTGGCGAACTTTTCGGGGACGGTGGTGGCTGTGGGGGACTATATTGGGGAGGCTAGTCAGGATTGAATGTCATATATGAAGGGATTGGCATCGTTACTGACCAGGCAGTTGAAGAAGAAGTGGTTGTTGTGAGCCATTGAGGCATAGTTGAACACCGAGGCCATCTCCGGACGCTTGGAGTATTTGACCAGCAATTCTCCTGGTTTGGCATCCGCGTCGACGGTATCTATTGAATTCGAATGTCAGACACATCTTTCAATGTCTCATGTCGCTCAATCATCCCATTGGAGCCGAATTGGATCAATGTATCGTGCCACAGGGTCGGAGTGTCGGGCTCACCTTGTGTCAACAGATTGAGTTTGTTAACAAGGAGACTCTGGTATTGGGTCCAGGAGAAGTCGAACGCCTCAGGCGACAGGAACTCCGGAACACCATTCTCCTTATAGTAGGCATCGTGCTGCAATTGGGGAATGCGATGGATAGCCCGAGTCTGGAAGCGTGAGAAGGCGGAGGTAGGTTTCTAGACAACACACGGTTAGTCAAGGTGGATTGGGCGACGGAGGAAGTGAGTCTCACTGGGGAGAAAGAGGAGGCTGCGCGCAAAGCGCTTTGCGGCCTGGCGAATCGGTTGAACATGACGAGCGGCACTGTGAATGGTCGGGTTAATCGTACAGAGCTTCGATGTCGAAGAATTTCCCTCCCGACGTTCTGCCTGATCGGGATTAGCGTGGTTATGTAAGACCCCTGGTCAAACAGCCAATCACATCGTCCGAATCTACTTCATCTCTAAGCGCCTTGTCTCTTCTGCACCCTTTGGCCTTCATCCAATCCTCGTTCTGCAGTCCCCTGGCTGGATGGGGTCATGTAACAAAGGCCTGATTTAGCGCCCATATTGTTACCATTTTAATCATGCAGGCCACCCTGAAACAGCCCAGTGGCTATTTTAGGACCACGGCGCGTGCAAGTACTCTTTGTCTGCAAGACTTGAAGGATGGCAGTGCTGAGGTTTCTTTCAAGTATGACATATCCTGGTTCTTTGACTGATTTTTGTTTCAGACGAAAGTCAATGCCCTTGTATTTTAGCTCTTTGCAATCTATCTCCGTCAAGGTTTCCTCCAGTGTTGGTCTTCCTACTTGCGACTTAGCTTGCGTTATACGGGAATACTCTGTTAGACGCTATCAGTCTGTATCTTCCGGCGAGACTCTTCTTGGTTTGATCGTCAGAGATTTCTATCTTCCTCGGCCTACGTACGCACCGCCAATATGACCAGGTTACGGCCATCCGTTCTGCTGCTGTTGACTCTGATGGCCAGCATCCGACCCGGACAAGCATATAACTCTTTTGATCTTCTCTCAAGAAGCTCAGATTCGTGTCCCTCCTCGTACACTCGCTGCGGCAGTACAGAACTCCCAAATGATTTCTGCTGTCCTTCAGACTCCACCTGCATCAGTCTAGACCAGGGCAGCTCCTCCATCTGCTGTCCCGCCGGTAAAAACTGTGACTACATCTCGCCGATTACATGTGATATACAACAGCAGAATGTTACTGCCTACCCTGAGAGTGCCGTCAAGACGACCCGTCTGGGCGACAGTCTTCCCAAATGTGGCGATGCGTGCTGCCCGTTTGGCTACACATGCCGAGGGGACAACACTTGTTCCCTGGACCAAAAAGCTTCCGCAACCGCAACAACATCTTCACCCAGCTCGTCTACCAATACAGCATCATCATCTGTATCTACCCCTTCTACCAACACAGCATCAACAACGGCTACAAGCTCAATAACACCTCAGGCAACCATCACACCCGTGCCATCTCCCTCATCCGAAAAGTCCACAAACACCACGACATGCGCAGGAATATCAAACTCATGCCCCTCCTTCCCAGCCGAAGCTATAGCAGCCGGCTTCTTCCCAGGTGCCGTTTTCGGTGCAGTCGCAGCCCTCTTAATATCTTTCTGTTTCCGACGTAGCCGAAAAGACGAATGTGAAATACAAGAAGGCAAATCCGGGCCTAACTGGACTCAACGCTCTTCTTCCGGCGCAATATTGTGCATCTCTAACCCCATCCCCCAAGACGATACCTCCTACCGCACCGACTTCCTCCGAAGCCCACCGCGAGCCAAGCGCTCCTCTATAGGAGGACGCTCGACTCGCACAATGATCCACCGCACCGGAAGCAGAGTGCGGAGTCTATTCTCCGGTTATCCAAGACAAAACCCCCGACTTGACAAGGATGTGCCGCCGATCCCTATGCCAAACCCTATGGCACCAGCACCGGTAGCGGCTCCGTTTACTCCGCCACGGCAGCGTCAGCCGAGTACGGAAAGCATCAAGGTGTATTCACCGCCTGAGTCTTCATTCTCAAAATCTCGCAATTTTTTGGGGCCTGAGCCGTACCCTGGTGATACCGCTCCGCCGGATACTCTGTTTAATGACCTGATGCGGGTTGTTGGGACTCCTCATGATGGCAAGGGCAAAGCACCTTACCCGACTAATGACGATTCTCGGGAAAATCCATTTAGAGATCCTGTGCGTTGATAATTGAGGGATGTTAGCTTGCATTGTGTTGGGTTGAGCTGTGCGCTCAGTCGTCTTGGGTTTAGACATTTGGTTGTTCTGGCATATTGACTGTGTACCAAGATATCCATATTTGTTTTGCTTTATCTTTTTTTCATTTTGTTTCGAAGGTTGGGGTTCCACCTATTTAAGTACCCGATTAATCTTCATCTAATTCAAATATAGTTCGCTTTTAGTGGAAGATTATTATACTGAATATATGCCTAGAAAGGGCGAGTCATATCTATCTAGGTAGACAGTAACTCAAAACGACCATACATAGATATCTCGAGAAGGATAGTTTCAATGGGTGCATATATTAGATCCTAGAATACATGAATGTCGAGAGGTTGTATTACTCTACGATGTTGCTCCCTTCACCTTGCGTCGAGCTGCAATTCTCTTAAGCTCTTTGAGCAACCCAACCACAAGAGGGACACCAATTGGTCCCAGAAGAGGCAAATAAACCGCCACCTTATGCTCATCCGGGAAATAGACCTGACCCACCATACTCTTTTCGAAGAAGCTGCGCTCAGCTTCTGTCTCCGCGACTCGAGCGCTGGCAAGCGCAGCACCGAAACGACCCTCTCGCAGGTGGGCACAGGAGGCATCCAAATGTGATAGAGTGGTTGAGACTGAAGTAGCCACGGTTGCCGGAATAGGGATTGAGGGTAAAGACTCAGTAAGACGGGCAAGCGAGCCCATTGTTGATGAGGCGGAGAGCAACAAACTAGCCGCGCGAATGCGAATAGATGTCTGAAGACGGAGTGGAAGAGAGGCAGGGGTGCTTGGAGTACCGAGGAGAGTGAGAAGTTGATGAGAGAATGTCATAAATGCAGGACCCAGAGAGTCCTGGGAGAGATGGGCAGGATTGGACGGGCCACCCTGCTCGGTGTTGGAAAGCGGCGGGTTAAGGAGGAAAACTCCGCCCCATTGGGGGACCATCCAACTAGAAGCACGATTCTCTTTGACAACGAGTGGAGATTGCGAGGCGTCGGGGACATAGAGGATGAAATTGATCGTCGGGCCATTGCCGATGCTCGGGTTCAACGGCCACTCGGCAGCGTTGACAAAGGCACTTAGGTCTTCTTTCTTCAATGTCCATGCCGCCTCGGATTCATCATACTCGGGCTTTGGCGCAGTTGGTGCAAAGTTCGCATAGAGCTGCACTTGCGTGTCGACAGTGAAATTGCTGATTGGAGAGAATGCCTGCAGGAGCGGAGTGACATATTCGTTCACCGCAGCCTCAATGTCCCACGAGGAAGGCACAGATCCGGGGGTAAATAATGAAAAGGAGAGGTGGTAGGTTTCAGCGTATTTCATCGATCGGCGCAGTCTTCGGTCGATATCTTCGGCGAGTTGTGGTGAGGTCGAGTCAAGCCCGGCGGTATTTCCAGACAATATGTGCGCTATAGTAGCCTTCTCCTCGCCATACAATCGCTGAAGCTCGGCCGCAATGAAAGTCGAAACGGGGGAGTTGGAGGAGGAAGGTACAGGGACCTGGCTCGGCGGGTAGAAGATATCGAGCTGCGTCGTAGCTGCATGGAGCTCTGACCGAGGACCTGCTAGACCATCCTGGGGCAGTAATCGGACGGTCAATGCAATATCTGCGTTCTCTTCCGCTGGATATTTGACACTTTCGAGGTTATCATCGCCATTGTGAACTGCCGTCGTGCTGCCGTTGGTCAACTTAAGCCGCAGGTGATGAGCTGCGAACTCGTTGAGATCATCGAGAGTATGCTGCGTCGTGCGGAGGAGGTGCTGCGCCTCGAAATATTGCATTGACGGTGTCGCAAGGTGAATTTCCAAAGGGAAGACTGGTCGGCACGCCTGTCAAGACCATTATTAGCATCTACCATGTCCACCAAAGCCAAAGGCGATGTCACAAGCCATACCTTGCCGTCAGCCCAATCAACCATCTCCTCGATGGGGAGAGATGCCCGGTAGATCGATGTCGTCTTCCACCATATTGGAAATCCAAGGAATATAATTACAGCCCAAAATGCTGCTATCACTCGAAATCGCGTTTGGAGGGCGGCCGGGTTTTCTGGGGGCGGAGCGCGCTTGACGTTGGGTTGGTCGACTTGAAAGGCCGAAGCTTGAGGAGACTCCTGGTCTCCTGTTTTAGTCGTCATGGTCGGGACATGCTTTGTGCTCTAAATCAGAGCAACAAAGGAGTAAGTGGTTATCAAGTTGTTGATTTGGGGGAAGTTGATAGCCGGGCGGAGAGGCCAGGAACCACCTAAGTGGCCGCATGGAGCAACTCTCGACTATACTCCGTACGTGGCATTGGGATGGATACATATTCTTTGATCTGAACCTATAGTTTTACGGTCTTTTATTTAATTGGTTTAGAGGTGTTATGTTTGTACTCTACGACTCGAGTTTCCGGAATTCGCATCCAGTCTAGCCTTTTTGAAGTAGAGGCCAAGCAGAGTCCCAAACGGGCCAAGAATAATATCATTATCGACTCGAAGTGCTTTGAAATCACAAAAAGCAAGGGTATATTGACCAGTAACGCCGATCCAATGTAGTAGTCAAAGGCCAGCCCTCCACCGCTGTACCTCCACATGCAATGTCTAGTATTCCTTCTCGAAGATCTTTTGAATCGGCTTAGCAGCCTAAATGTCATAAAACTTATTAGCAAACTCATCAATCGCAGACTTGGACAAAGGTAAGAACATACATCAATGAACTTTTCGAGATCTTGGTCGAGGTTGGCAAGGTCATTCTTTCTTTTCTTGTTCTCTGCGATCAAGCCCTGCTTGCGCTTCAAAAGCTCTTGTCGCGCTTGCTCCAGCTTCTCTCGTTCAACATGTTCGTGTTCGATGCGGGCGATCATGAGGTCATGTTCGCTGGACTCGCGATGTTCGGGGTGAAGCTCCAAGAATTCTTCGACCGGGATCAAAGGGAGGGATAGGTATTTGTGACTATTACAGCAAATGGTCAGTTCCTGGGGTGGGAAATGAGATTGTTATGAGTAGGAAATCAGATCCACGTACTCATAGGCCTCACAAGCCGCAATTTCACCTGTCAGATGCTTCTGTTCATAGTACAAGTTCTGAAGCTGAAGATGCAGTCGGTCGATTTCCTGTCGAGCTTCTGCAGTTGAGTGCTTGGTGTCGCGCACGCGAAAGATGGCATCCCGATTCTGCCCGCGGAGTTGGGCCAATAGTGCAAATAGGAGCTTTTGTTGCTTGGATGCAGCTAAGGATAATTCTCGGAGCTTGGCGCCATCGTTGGGCAGAGTGTCGGGGTTTAGGATGGTGAGGAGGTGCTGACACTGGACCAGAGTCTCAGCGCTGGTTTGAAGCACTGGCAAGAGCGACTCATCGGCGACGATTTCACTGATGGCCATATCGTTGGATGAATAGGTGGCAAAGTATAGAGCGGAAAAGAAAAGAGGTTAAGGCGGAATAGATCAATCAGGATGTTCGGGGCGGCAATGTGCCTCGGGGATTTTGTGTGGTTGGGGGGGGGGACTTGGTCCTTTTTTCCCCCCAGCGCCACTCCATTTTACCGTCTTACACTTTGTACATTCCGCATTCCCCCATTCCCCTCCTTTTTTTTGATTCTTTTTTAGTTACTCTTATGTGCCCCTCATTCCTTGTCGTTTGAAGCTCATTTCAACTCAAGGCTTTGTCTGAGTTCTTCTCTGCCTCCCGGTACTTCTCCGGAACCCTTGCCTCTCAACGCTTATCGCCCACCATTCTCTCCCTGTATGGCATTCGATTGAGGCTCCACGGGTGAACTTTCAACTACACCCCATGGCTTGCGGTGCTTCCACGATGGCAGTGGAGACTTATCCCGAAGCAGAGGCCTTTACCTCTGCTACTGCGACTCCCGACGAGAATACGGGTCTGCTCCGTGATCGGCGCCGGCATTCGTTCCACGCTTCTAGAAAACTCTCGTGCGACTATCAAGATGCAGATGCAGTCTTCATCAGGGTATGTACATGCATTATCTTGGTGGGAAATATCTCCGGGTCTGTGTGTCTAATCAAGTATTAGGTCGAACTCTTCTTGTCCGAACTGGAACGTCGAATGCAATGGATCGAGCAATACCGGAAATCCCACATGGTGCAGGTCGATGCCAGTCTGAAGCGAGGCTATACTACACTGGAAGCCGTGAGGGATCAATGCTCTCTCGCCTCGGGAGAGTTGATGGGAAGTGGCAAAAAGCGGGCCAAGATTCTGGTCGAAACCCTCGAGGATGGATACAATGAAGCCCTAGTGACTAAGGAGACTCTAGAGCAAAAGGCGCAAGCCGGTGTGCGGTTAATGGAGTCATTCCTGGTCGAACTTGAGAACAAAGTACATGCGGTTCGCGATCGCGGCATCTACGGCACTATAGATGACGGGTTGAAAGCGATGGACTCGGGCTTGGTTCATGCCCGGGAAATCGTCGACGAGGGTATGGAGCGTGCCCGCCGGACTCGCGATACTCTCCGAGATGCCGTTGAAGAGGCTATCCGACTAGCCCAGGAGAAGCGATTGATTAATTACCATGAACTACCTCATCCATGGCGCGTCAACCCGCACATCATCAATGGCTACCGATTCACCACTTCCAAGGTGGAATGTGTCTCGTCGGTCTTCGCTTACTCGAACGAGATGTTCAACATATGGTCCCATGTGATCGGCCTGGTCATCGTCTTAGCCATCGCCTTTTACTTCTACCCGCTCCACACTAATTTCCACCTGAGTTCCAAATCTGACATCACAATCGCTGCCGTTTTCTTCTTTGCTGCATCTAAATGTCTAGTCTGCAGCACTATCTGGCATACTATGAACAGCATTGCTTCGCAGTCCTTGATGGAACGATTCGCTTGCGTGGACTACACTGGAATCTCTATGCTGGTCGCTGCCTCGATTGTGACGACCGAATACACTGCTTTCTATTGCGAGCCCCTCTCTCGGTGGATATACATTCTGCTTACTATGTCACTGGGCGTCGGTGGCATCATTCTACCGTGGCACCCAACCTTCAACCGCCACGACATGGCTTGGGCCCGCGTGGGCTTCTACGTGACTCTTGCACTTACTGGTTTCTCGCCGATAGCTCAGCTCTCTTATACACGTGGCTTCGCATGGACCATGTATTTCTACGCACCAGTTGTGAAGAGCGTCTTGGTTTATTTTGTCGGTGCCTGTGTCTACGCCTCCAAGGTTCCTGAGCGCTGGAAGCCAGGTCTTTTCGATTACGTTGGTGGCAGTCACAATATCTGGCACTTGGCTGTCCTGGGCGGTATCTTTTTCCACTACCACGCTATGCAGGACTTGTTCGCAGGAGCCTTCCAGCGAGCCCAGGGCGAGTGTCCGAATATGACGGTGTGAAAATGCCTCCCAACATACTCCCACGAATCTCTTTGCTTTTTGCTCATGAAAAAAAAATCCCATAGAGTACATGGTTTCGATTTTCCACATACAGCGATTAGACGTTTAGACTCGCAGATCACTGCGGGTCACGACTTGCTATGGTCCCTTGCAATGACATTTTCCATCTCTTTCTACGGGATGTTTATCGCCGTTGATGCCCATTTTGCCTGCATGGATGGAGTTCGTCTTGATTTTCTATCTCTTCTTCGATTCTTAGAGCATTGGCTTGTACATACCTCCGGTGTCTCTCTTTTTTCCCATTAGCACCATTTGATCTGTCTAGATACAGGGTGTGCACAAATGTTTTGGTTATTCTGTATGTGCTTTTGAGACCCTTGCTGTGCTTAGGTATCTACGTCTTGTAGACTGCGTTGTCGACATGGCTAGAAAAACGAAGACACTGGTTTCCACATATTCCATGTTTACTTCTCATAAACTATCTCCTACCATCAGCTATGTGATCAATAAATACCCTTACATAGTTCCAAAGTTGGCCTTCCCAATTCTATAAAAGGGCATTATATGGCATCCTCTTGATATATAGTTGATACTAATAGATGGAGTTGACCTTTACAACATCATTTTGCAACGCTTCTCTACGGGGTAGACATTGTTGCTTGACTGTATTTACAAATTAAATGACATGGTCTAATGTGTGTGTCGTACATTCATAACGCCATCATGAAGGCATTGCCCTATATCGACAGCGACCCAAGTCGATCTTCCGTGGCTTTGACAGCGCTGCTTCGGCCTTTCGCACTGGAAATACCCCAACAGCTGGTATATTAATCTCGGCGTGGTGAGCATTTGAGATACACCTGAAAACACGGTATTGGGTCCACGCATGGCGAAAATCGCGAGATCACGGTTGGACGGTGGGGAAGACCGTCACAGTCGTACTGGTTGTAGACAAGAAATTCCTTGTCTTTGGCTGAGACTTTGGCGGAAGTTTATAGCCATCCGAAATGACCATCGCAGAACTGGTGATTCAGGAGCTTATTGGGTGCTTTCGGTAGCAGCCTCGGCCTTAGCTCCACCGCGCTTCAGGAAGTTACCCTGCATCCAGCAGCGATACATCTTTTGTTTGGTGCCACGATTGACAATCAACCGCCGATCGGCTCCCATGTTAAGGACCTCAAACGCTCCTTTCTCCTTTGCCAGTTGTTTAGCCTCTGCAGATGGCTCATCTGTTGTTTTCTCGGACGCTTCTTCGGTGGTGTTCTCATCACCAATGGGAATCTGCAAGCCGTTTTCCGCGCTCCAGGTACCCCACATGTCAACCAGTTGATCCTGATCGAAGAAGTAGACGCGTGTGCCGTCACCTCGAACATAGAAATTCTCGGCCATGTATCGACCCTTCTTGAATCGCACTTGGGCGAGGTCACCACGGCCGTAATCACGGAACAACACACGGCCACCGGGCTTCAAGAGACGGTAGACATTGCGGATTGCCTGGTCCCACTGGTTAGGAGCCAGGGCAGAAAAGATGAAGATCATAATGACAACGTCAACTGAGCCTTCGGTCAGACCGGGCGGAAGAGAATCGCCGTTCTCGTCAGGCACGCCAGCCGCGTCCCAGACATCAGCTGACATGTATTTCTCGTTGTAGAGCTCGCTCTCGCGCATGACCTTCACGGCATACTTGGAATAATCACAGGCATGGACCTTCAGGTGCTCGTTCTCGTTGTTAGCTATCAATGGGAAGGCGGTGTTTCCAGCTCCCGCGCCAACCTCCAGGACGACCTGGGGACCAGCATCCTTCTGTGTGACTTCAGCGAGAATGGGAAACTCTTGGCGCAGCCACTTGCGATCCTTGAAGAAGTTGGCTGTGTTGTTCTTATAGAAAAGGTCCCACCACTTGGCGGGGTTGGCGTTGAATCGGTTGCAATCAAAGTCTGACACGCGTGTTTCGCGCTGTTTCGCATATTGGGTCTGGGCGAAGGCCTTGAACTCATCATCTGGTTCAACATGATCCCAGGCATTGAACTCGAAAACATCATCGCCTTTTTCAAGGAATCGCGAACCGAATTGAAAGGGGTCGCTCCGTTTCAGGTTGTTGCTGGGATCGTGGGAACGATGGGGGGCGACCTGAGGAGGTTCGACATTTTGTGTCACTTCCTGGATACTGGGATCGACAGTCATGATGTCGGACGAGCTTTATAGTTCAGGTCGACTTTGAGATTTCGAATTAGGCGTGGGAAGAAAACCCTATCACTCAAGTAAGTGATCGTCGAGGAGAAGGCGGGGAGAACAAAAAAAAATCCAGGCGGCGACGCGATTGGCGGGGTGTTTCAATCACATGACTGGATTTTGCCCACATACTTTCTTGCCCCTCGACCCACCTAACCCTTTGGCCAATGATATTCTTTCCATCAGTACACCGCCTCATTTATCTTCGGATCTTATCTCTTATCGCTTATCAGTCCTTCAACCCGTTCAGGTGGACGACCGACCATAAGATGCTTCACTGAGGGATCAATAGGAAGTCCCTTTATACATTCTGGGAATTAGCTTGAACTCTACTAATAAATACTGGCCCAAATTCTTAACAACTTTTAAGTGATACCGCTTGTGCTAATGCGGAAAAACAGGTATAGGTGATGTATGAGGCTCATCAAACTTTGTTCAAGCAGATACCCTTCTTGATTCTATGTTTACAAGAATAGTCGGCCGCTCATGTGGCCTTTGTCCTTGAATATGTGAGGCTAATAATCTAATATACTTATACGAAGGTGGTGTTAGGGATGTTATGTGTTTTTCGAATGATCTTTTTACATTTCAAAGGTTATATATAGAAAGTCCCCTTTATAGTGTATACCTTTACCGCCTTCACATACATCTAAGAAGTCATCTCGCAAGGCAGACAAGGCCGCGGGGCCAACTATTCTTGTCTTTTTCTGATCAGATATGATGCCATTGACGGGGTCCCACCTCCCACCCTTCTTGATTCTCCGTGGTAAGCCTGACAGTGTAAGTACAATTTTCCTCCATGCTGTAAGGTACTTACATGCCCGGGTGGTGATTGAGTTTAGGCCTGGTGGATTATGACCATCCCTCTGCCTTTTGCTCTCTCCCTTCTATCAAAACTGTCGGATTTCTTAGCCCTTGTAACTTAGTTTTTAGACTTACCATATTTGATTCTAGGGTTACTGCTGTGAAAGTGCTTTTCTTGTATTATGAGCCAGCGCTACCTTGATTGAAACAGACTGGGTTGCTTCCAAGGAAGGATCGCTTCCAATATGCCTCAGGCATCTATACTCTCTTATCCCGGCCAATTAGAGTTTCTGGAAATCTGGATGCCTGCGGGTGCCTTGTCCGAGTCAGCTTTCATCTGGCCTTTCTTTCACCCCTCATCTTCTTCTTTTCTTTCTCTGTATGAGCATGTCTATCGAGATTCATATTTGATTCATATTCTCCCTGTTTGTCCGGTTCAGGTCCGGGTTTATCGACACAAGTGGGGTTCAGCTCACGATCAGCGTTTGAGGCTCAACGGCCGAACTGCTCGTACGATAGTTTTTAGTTGGAGCTGTTTCTTATTACAGACCTCACGGACCAACTTCCTCTCGCTATAAGCAGATTACTATTGGCTTCAATACTGTCAATTAGAAAACAGACAACTACCTCATTGAGTCATGTCGTTCCTCTCGGCACTCTGCGGGTGCTTCACCCAAGACGAGAAACCCTCGCAGTCCCATTCATCCCCAGAGATGATGACCCAAAGACCCAATCCCAACGGCATCCAGACAGGGCAGTTTACACTCTCCGAAGAAGGCGAATTTATTCGTTCAGTACCCCCACCCGGGGGCCATGGGCACGGACCCCCGCCCTCTGACTCGGAGGATGGGGGCTATTCCAGCGTGGTCCCTCTCCCGCAGTACACAGCCCGTCCAATGAGCCTCCACGAGAAGACTCTAGAAGCCCATATGCGTGACCCACCTATTTCCTCCGAGTCTCAGAACTCCTACGCCCACGACGAAAAGAACGCCAGTCGTTATGACGAAGATCTCACCTCTGATAGTTCATCGGCCATTTCCTTTCCCAGCAGCTACGGCAATACCTCCACCGCCACGAGGGACACTCCACCACCACCATACTCTCCTCGTCACTCTGCGATGCTGAGTCGCTCTCGGTCCATGTCCATATCGTCCGCTATGGCGGTCATCATTAACCCGCCGCCTGCCGCTCGCATGGACGGCTCGCGGACTGGACCTACATACTCTGAGGAGGATGACCGGTCTATTCGTCGTCATCGACGAGTCTCTTGGGAGAGCCGGTGATACAACCTCGTTTAATTATTACGGAAAGCACGTTTGCTTGCTACCTTTTGCTTATCAGCTGCCTGTTTAATATTTTCCCACATTGATCTTTTGTCTGGGCAGATCTGGAATCGTCCATTGTGGATTTCTTTTACTTTTTACATCTTTGCTGCATCGTTCTCCTTTCTGCTTATCTTTTTTTTTTTCCTTTTCGTACTGTTTTATTGCACATGACGCGACGACATCATTTATGGATACCGATGGTATGTTTATGACTGGGATTTGGGCAAAAGGGATTTACTCTTGGATAGCTTTGGATACTAATATTGACCTGCACATACTCGTCTGTCGTGGATGAGGGAGAACAGTGTATCGAGATCTTCGATTACCTTAGTTCTCGCTCGCATCCTGGCAGGCATAAATAGTGTAACAATTATGATGAACCGAATGCATTATAGACACATTGTCTAATCAGATGATCAGATCTAGCTTTATTGCCCTCGATAAAACACACCTAGATATATCCATGCAGGGCAACCAACCAACAAAAAAGGGTATTAACGCAATCAATCCAAGCTTCATACCAACTTCACCCGAAACCAATATCAATCCAACTCCAGAACCCTAGCCCGTTCCTGCTCATGTCTAAGCAAATACCCACAAGACAACGCTGGAAACTCCAACAACCTCAAAACCAACGGATCACAACTATCCTCCAAGAACATACAAATAGCCGTACACTCCGAACGAACCCTCATCTCAACCCACCACTCCTCAACACAACACATAAGCCCCAACCACCAAGCCAACAATACCAACGCCGGCGTCTCCTTCCTAAGCAAACACTCATAAAACGGATTCTCCAGCCTCCCCATCCAAGTATTATAAAACTTAGAACTACCCGTCACCCTCTCAAACGGCAACAACACCATAAGCATCCGCAAAGGCCATAAATACGGATTCTCCTCAATAGTCGTCTCATCTCCAATCCCACAAAGATCCGCCAAATCCGGATCAAGATCCACGCGGCCGGGACGCTTATCTTCGTAGTCTAGGGATGGATCACGCGATTCCATGAATACTGTCCACCACATGCTCTGTGGGAGCCAGGGGGCTGTGCGTTCGAGGAGGAAGCGAAGACCGGTTTGGAGGCGGAGCCAAGTTAGGGATGTTGGGTCTTTTGTGAAGACAAAGGAGGTGCGTGGGCTAAAGGATTCTTGGTAGAAGGAGTGCATGCTGATCATTAGACAGGCGGAGTATAGTTTGTCCATGTTTGAGTGGTTTATTTTTCTCGAGACTTCCGTTGAGTATTGGTTTATTGTTTGTTGCCAGTGGTAGGCTTCTGCGAGGCGGTAGTCTTTGTTTTCTGGGAGGAGGGTGCAGAGGTGGGTTGTTCCTGCTGCTATTATGGCGTGCATGAGGAAGGGCGTCTGGGGTGGTTTGGGGAGTTAGTTTTGATGCATTAAGGAGGTTATAGGGATTTTGTAAGGTTTGTTGAGGTATGGCTATGGCGGATAATAGATGAACTATGAATGGGCTTACTTCGAAGGCAAGTTGGACCATTTTACCCATTACAATTTGAACGCTTTGGGTTGCAAAGGCTGGACCTTGGCGGAAATGATGGAATGCTTCCAGGGTTAGTCTCGGCGGTTTGGTACCGGTGGCAGAGGGTGGATGCAGTAATTCGGTCAACTTGTCCGCGACCATCATTAGAGACATTGAAGGAGCTAGAGAATCAATTGAGGTCAAGTCAGGGTTGGTGTTGATGAACTGGGAGACGATGCTATTGGTCTTTTGAGGTTGAGCTGGCTGGCTCGAATAGTCGCACTCGATGCCATATTTTTGACATCGCAAGCAATGGGGTTTTGCTTCATCACACTTGATTGATCATTATTCAGCTGGTGGTTGATAATGGGGGGGCGTCCGAAGTACCTTGACTCTTCGTTGCTTACAGTTCACACAGCCGGCGCGGGATTTCCGATGAGACCGGCGGGAATGATAAAACTTCTCAGACTGTTCGGACCCGCAGTCTAGGGAAGTCTTTGATTTGTAGTTTGGAATTCGAAAGACCATATTCTGTCCCTGCATGTGCCTAGACGAGCGTGGCCGGGTTTGGGGTTTAGACTTCACGTCATCCATTGTTTTTTTTTTTTTTTTTTTTTTTCGGGATATAAATTTGACCGAAGAGGGAGGGTTTATTTGGCGATGGTCTATTAAATCAGACGTAGGCTGGAGATTACACGAATAATCCGGCGTTTGAAGGATCGAGATATTAGTTTCGATATAGCTCTGCGGCTGAGAGCTTAGATCGGGCGCAAGGCAATGAGTGGAGGCTCAAGTGCGTGTGTAACTGCGGCTTGTTCTGATCAGCCTGATCACTTAGCTCGTCCAAATAGAGATAGAGTGATGCCAGGTAGTGACGGAGAATAGGGAGGCGAAGGGAAGATCGACTAGAACGCCCGGGCGCTATTCCCGATATGGTAATTCTCGTATTCCCAAGTTTCCAACGTTCTTGGCAGAATGACTGGAGAATCAACGAGAAGTTGACCAGGAAATGAATAAAAGACATCTACTGTCGGAAAAGAATAAACCGTAGACCCATACCAAGTCTTGGAAATTGGATTCGAGAAACGCCATGCAATTCATCATTCATCGAAGATCATTCATGCGCATAGCTCATACTTCATACATTGATAATAACTTTTGCATAGTGAACGAAAGGTTAGGTATCGCTGAATACTAATAGTGGGTTTAACCCATCTTGGCATTAGAGAAATCCATCTCTGCAAGTGCGCAGGTTAGCAATATATTCAAACGAAAGAATGCACTCCCGATGCCACCTCCAGGAATTGAAGAAGTGACCAGCAAGAGAGGATAGAGACAATAACAACTAACCGGGATGCTCAGCCTGGAACTTCTTCAGCAAATCCATCTTCCGCTGCTCGTCACTACTGGGACCACCCATCTCCTTCTGCCGCTGATCATACATCATCTTCTCAACCATGGCGCGAGTCTGGCCATCCAGATCGCCTAGACTGGAGTTCTCGGGTGTAATCTTGGTGACATCGATTTTGGGAGCAGTGGTCACGACATGAGGCCACCATTCGACCTTGTTCACCTTATCGAGGTGGATGTTGATTTCCTTTCCGGGCGGGGTGGGGGTAGTCTCGAGGGTCCAAGAGGATTCATCCACGAGGATAGAGTGGGGGAGGTCACCCTGAATAGGAAAATGGGGAGATTAGCAGACTGCTTTTTAAGTTGATGTGTTGATTTAGAGTGTACGGTGTAATTCTCCGGGAGGGGGAGGCACAGTCGACACATACCTCGATGAGGGGTTCTTGACCCTTGATCGCGACACGGATTTTGCTCTTGGTCAACAGCACGTCCAAGTCGCGACCCTTCAGATTACCAGGAATTGGTGCTGTCACGTCCACATCACGAATAGTCTGTGTCCACTTGTAAGGGAGCTGAGCCTGTTCGGCATCCTCGCGGGCTTTGCGCTCTTTGTTCTCGCGTTCGCGTTCGGCTAGGTCGGCGGGGGAGGGGTTTTGGTCGAGATCGGCAGACATGACGGCAGATCAGAAATAGAAATGATAGAGTAAGGGGTATTTGAGTAGACGGTGTAGGTTTTACTGTAGGTATACTGTAGGTATACGGAGTAATAATTAGTTGTTCAGGTGAGGGAGCCCACACAAAATCCCAAAAAGGAAAGATGTGGAGATCTTGGCTTTTTCCCCGTTGGCGCTTTTGCCGCCAACCCTAATCGCCTCCACACCGCGATATTTCTACAATGGTCTTGTACTCATGGAGTATGCCTCTTTGGGAGTGTAACTGCATAATCTGAAATAGGGGTACAGTGACAGTTGCAGGCACAAAGTCCACCCTCTGTTATCTGTATTTAACATCTCAAGTGGGTGTCTCGGTCATTTGAGCGGGGATTTTGATAGTACTCACGAGAATGACATTGTACTCTGGAGCTGGGAATGTGTAAGACATCCATGGCTGATAAAGCGCAGTAGCGTATTCCGCTGCGAACACTAAGAAAGTCATACCAGTTACCACCACAGTCAAATACACACCGGAAAAGCGAACGGCAGAAGGTAATGTCACAATAAACCACGACGGTAATGTAAAGAAAAAAGACATGTGGCCCCAGTGGCCTGATGGCGTAGTCAGCCGTGAAATGTAATAAACGCAAGCAGTGCTCCTAGAAGCACACCGCTTACGATCACGGTGGCATTGTGAGCGACGACATCGAGTGGTCCAAGATCGAGTGTCATGGTATGTCTCCTACCGTTTCGGGACAACCTACAAGGATAATTGGATGGCCGGGTCGTTAGCGGCCATGACGTGCAGCTGAAAATGAGACATCTGGTGAGAGATTGGAGTGATTAACAATGCAGTTTGGCAATGCAGTAGTGCTGTAGGTATACAACATAGTAAACCAATAAACCCCAGAGGGTAACTGCTCCCCCACTTGAGGCTCTCCTCTTTTTTTTTCCCCCTTCTTACATCCCATAGAGCGTCTCTAACTAGACGGATATAAGGAAAATTGTATTCTCATGCATGTTGTCTTGTAAACAAAAAGCGAATGGCTGAAGCTACCAGGTATAATGTACTCCCCCCCCCCCCCCAAAAAAAACACCCTCTGATCCTATCCCCAATGCTCCTCTCATCATATCGTAGAGAGAAAAAAAAAGCAAAAAGCAAAAAGCAAAAAAAAAAAAAAAACCGCAAAACACCAGAAGCTCGGATTCCAATAAAATCCACAGCTTGCAGACGGGTTCAACAATAAAATGTGGTGTAGATCAACGCTGCTCGGTTTGATTATTATTTGACCTTCTTGCTAGCTCATTTTCTATGATAGCTGTCAGTTCTCTCTTCTGCATATGTCAGAAAAACAACTCACCTCGAATCTTGTCGATCTGTTTTGCTGTGTCTTGGAGCATCTGATCCCATTTCTTTTGGTAATCTTCAACAGTCATAGGCTGGGAATCCGTCTTCTCTTGAGGTTCTTCCTTGGGGGTCTTGATTTTGTCCATGATGTGTGAAGGGTATAAAGTCCGAGAATGAATGGATATAGTTCTCAGGGGCTAAAAAAAGGGTTGAAGTTGGGGAGTTGATTAAAGTCAAATAGACGTGCGACAGCAAAGGCTTTATATAAAGGACGTAACTAAGAAATTATTTTTTTAATCTTTTTTTAATTGAATTTTTAGAAAATATAAACCCTGTCCCTGATTTCTCTTTAAAATAAAATTATATAAATATAAAATCCCAACAAAATCCCTGTCAAAAAAAAATAAAAATTAATGTTTGCTTCGGAAATAGACCGGTCACGCGTCTAAAAGGTCGAGGGAACGCGTTCACCGACATCTTCTCTTCTGGAGCCAAAATCGAAAAACGGGACATCGGACCGCTTAGCCTGGGAATAGCAAATATCTAATGTATCTTATTGGTGAGGATCAATTGTGACGGATTGAGGTGTTAGCGCAGCTTTTTGGGGGGGCATTTTTTTTACCCCTTGAGAATAGTATCAAATTGACACTGATATGATGTCAGGATATAACGGGACCTAGCGTATGGTACTTTATTTCCCTACATTTCTGTACTCCATACCATCATTCCAAATATGCCTTGTTATGCCTTGTTATGGCTTGTCAGGACTAATAGGATGGCTTCCAGTGCACCGAGGTTGTCCCGCATCCAATCGGGGACTGTGGAACTACATCCGCGCCAGCCGATCGGATATCTTAGGATGCTTTTAAGGGGTGAAAATGGTTCGATACGTCTCACATGGAAGAATAAGAATCTGGATATTTCAAAATGAAAAAAGAATAAATAAATAAAGAAAAAAGAAAAAAGAAAAAGGGGCACCGGGGAAGCGGGTAGAGCTGGATTGTTCCCAGTGATCGTCCGATCCACCCGAGTTGATACTTTGCACTGCGATCTATACCGGATTGCCGAAACTCCTGGATATACTCCACTATCAGGAGTTTTTCCAGTCGACGTGTTTTCTAAGTAGAAACAGGCAACAGAATCACGTCCCAGAACATGAAAATAGAAAATATATTTCTAGGCGCCTAACATCTCCATCATCTCCAGCCCCAGAAGGCTGGCTGAGCCACACGGACCGCTTGAAGCCCTCTTATACTACCGGAGTATGTACCTAGTAGAGCCCAACACTACCGAAAGTGGTTCAAGGTCCCATTGGCCCAAATAACATATTCACCGCCGATAAGAGCCCCGGGACGTGCAGAGCCGTAGACGTTGCATCTCGACAATCCACGTGGTATGCACTCATTAGCGCTGTGTCTTGGCCGTTGTTCTTGACCGCAACCCTCTATCCATCTACGGGCCGACACGTTCGGAGGCGTTTTGGTACTTTTGGTGCTTTGGTTTAAGGTCACATCAGATGACGAAACCGTAGTGGGATGTTCTTCGGGCGCTAGATTCGGGTAATCTGATCGTGGGGTTCTCTCATTTGATCGGGGGCTATGCTTGTTCTTCCCCCACCAGCTGACGGATGACGATACTTTAATGTGCTTAAATTGTACTAGTCCGTTATCTGCATGGAGTATGTATTCTTCCAATGCCTGTGGTGCACTATTACTGGCTAGTATGGCTTGTCCGGGCTGGGTGTGGCGTTATTGTTTATACAACCTTGGACTAGACAAGGGTCCAATGTTGGACTAGTCCAAGGGAGATACGATCATTGGTGTAAAACTACCAGGATGGAAAGTCAAATATAAGAGCAAGTGGTAAGATAATACCTGGTTTCTAGGATATGCCCATTTAACTAGTGCACATTCCTACAGTCCACCCATCAGCCCATCCACCCCGGCAAAGAAACGAAAAAAAGAACAAACAAATCGTAAATTCTGGCACTGGTGCCTGCATCCATTGGCCAGTTATGTCGTCAATGCAGTAAGCCCTTCCCGATGAGCTGCCGGGTAAATGGTGTAACCCATGCCCTCCACCTGCAGCCTCAGTCCGGTTTGAAGAGGGGTCGGGTGGAAGCCAAAAAAGGTGTACACAATGCGCCGATCCATTTTGCTTGGTACAACACCAAATAAGTACACCATGATATTGATCCCCCTGGGCTAGATGGCTTCGAAAATATTCCACAGTAGATAGATTCCCCTATGACGCCAGGATATGAGATCGCTGAAGAAACTGAAAAAAAAAAGAAAGAAAGAAAGAAAGAAAGAAAGAAATCTGAAAAAAAGAAAAAAAAGAAAAAACATCTTGATAGTCACGAAAGTCCAGGAGTCCGAAATGGAGACGTTGAGAGCGCCGGGCTAATGAGATTCCTGGAGGAACCACTCGAGGTCATCAGGCTCGAAGTGCAAAGCGGATGTTTCTGCCGCTGCAATGTCACTTTCGAAAAGATCGGCGACCCCGTCATCAAAGGGGACCGTAGTCCCCGAAGGCAGACTACTGCGTCGCTCGACAAGGTCAAAGAACTCGCCTGCAAACTCGGCCAGCTCATTAGCCACTTTGAGCTCCAGAATTGTCTCGAGCGCCTGCATTTCCTTTTTCCATTTGCGATCACGCTGTGCCTTTTCCTCCTGGCGACGGCGGCACAGGCTGTCACGAGGGCGGTCTGTCATGCAATTGGGGCACAAGTAGTTCTCCTCGCAATACGAGCATTTGCATGGTGGGTGGGTATATATGCAGTCCGCGCATACATACACCTTGCAGCCTTTACATTCTCGCAGATAGCTGGGACACCTGGGACGTGGGTCTCTGATACCGCCTCTGACATCCCTGATTCCGGTGATAGGGTCAGCCGGGGGGCAGAAGAAGGATTGGCAACCCTGCCATCTTGGAGTTTCAAATGTCGGCGAATCAAAGAAGGTGGAGGATGAGGATGAGGGGGGGAAGAATGATCAGACGCAGGGGCTGAATATGAGCGAGATGGTTGGTTGAAGAAGGAAACAGGAGCCGACTGATCACCAGCATGTGATTCGGGTGTATTTTCCTCGTCCATGCTATCTTGTCGTGAATCGTCAATGAAGCTTTTGTTTGTTGAGTCAAGAAGCTGTTGGGTTCTGAATGGTAAATCGTATTCGGGAAGTTGACTAGAGATGAGGGATGCCGAAAGATTTGCAGCGAATCGATTTTGAATGGTTTGCTTTTCTGTCTCGAGGTCTCGATAGCCGCAGATCCTTAAACGAAGCCCACGGAGGTCATGCTCAATGCAGAGAGGCTTGGAGCAGCTCTTGCAGTGCACCTTCCACTGTGGTGAATCGTAACATCCTTGGCACAAGTTACGCGGACACGGTGAAACTTCCCGGTTGGGAGGACCTAACAACCACTTCATCATCGCCAGATGACCCGTTTCAAGCGAGTAGTCCGGCTTGCTCGGATCTCCATACGCATATTTGGGGAATGTCTTGCTCCATTCACTAACGGTGTACTCTAGGTCCTCCCAACCTTGGTTACGAGGCAAAGGCACGGCTCGTACCTGGTCCACTTCACCATTGCGAGGTCCGATGCTAATCCCGCCTCCCCCGGAGAGGTCAGGCTTGGTGCAGCACCAATGGAAATTGAGGATAGGCGGTGGATCCATCCCTGTACCCTGGGCTTGAGTGGGATCTGCCAGGATATCCACGGGATCCTGCATTGAGCCTGGAGAGTGTGTGGCCCCAGGTGCCCACCAGAAGGAATCCGGTGCATTCTGGGTTTTTTCAGACGAAGATGGTGTACTTCTGTGAAGATACGGCCGTTCGTGGGCACAGCTCGCACATAGTGTTTTACGGCATCCGACACAGTGCATGAGGACGCTGCAATGTTCACATCGTTCTGAGATATCCTCGAGGCAGTTGTCACAGCGGATCTTGTCGACAAATTGGGTATGGCTCCGGCGCAGATGGGCAGGTGTCATTTTCCCCTCACCCCAGTCGATACCTTCGCCAGTTCCTAATGCCTCACCATATAATCCAGTGTCACGATTCTCCCACAGCTTTCCATCGTATGCGTGCGGCTGAGGGGTCTCAGGGTCGGTTGGGCCGATCCAATTTTTAGATCTCCAGAGTCGATCAAAAACTACCCAGACTTCCGGCGACCCTGCCCCATGGGGGAACCTCGATTTGACGTAACCCGCTCTGCGAGCGCATCTACCGGCAGGTGTGGTACACCAAGCAGTATCAGTCCAGATGCCTAGCTTGTGACAGATGTTGACAAGTTCATGGGTCGACTCCGCGTCAGCGTCCTTCCGCATCAGTGAAGATGATAAATAAGGGCGTCTTCGATGATGACGACATCGGTAGGCGTAGATACTCTTGAGGGCGAGCCGTTGTATCCCGGGAGCGCTACCGGTATTATCCCCCATGTCAATATCACATTGCAGCGCGAACATGGTCAAGAAAGGAACAATATGATATTTTAACGAGACGTTCTTGCAGCCCCGAACCGAGAGATGGACCAGCGTGTCCCGGCGTGAATGCAACACGGTCGAGGTCAGGTTCTCTCCCGAAATGGCCGTGTTATCCAGTTCTAGGCTTTTCAAACACCTACTGAACGGTATCACGACATTCATCAGGAACATGTCTAGGGCGTACGGTCGGGATTGACGCGCTGGGGCTATGTCAGGGCCGCTTGGGTCACTGATTTGAGGATTGGGTAGAGTGCTTGAAGGAAATTGTAGGCGAAACGAGAGTGACTTCCATGCGGTCGGGTATGATCGAAGGAACGTACGGAGGTAACTTGAAGTGTGATACAGCTTTATGATTGTATCGGTCGGGATCTGAAGTAAAAGAGACTCGAATATGGGTGCATTTGTTGTTATCACTCGCTCAAAGGTGGACAGGGTTCGTTCTTCCGAAATAATAGAGTGTTGCAAGGCATTTTCCAGCACCGTCAGGTGCGATGCTGGGTCCTCACCAGCGACGTCCCCCCAAGCCATAATGTCAAGACTGTGATTCGTCATCGGTCTTTTGTGAGCAAAAGATGCCAGTCCTTAGGTCGAAGATCGAAGTAGCGCGAGGTCGCGAGCTCGGCGGGTAGAGACGCGGTACATGATAAGACAACTTGACGATGCAATCGAGGGGGCAAGCACACCCTGAGGTAAGCCACCATGCAAGGCCATTAAAGGTAAGCACTCGATAATTGAAAAGATGGGGTCGCAAGGGCTGACGAATTGGGGTATCAGAAGGGGGAGGGAGAAAGGGAGGGGTATAAAAATGAGGGGAAAAGACAAATTCCCAAAGAGAGAGAAGAGCAAAGAAAGAGAGAAGTATTACAGATGCCCCTATGACTCTGAAGTAATGAAAGGGAGTTAAAAACAGTGGGAGAAGAAACGCAAAAGCTGAGCAAAGACAAGGTGATATCCGGATGCGCCCGTGAGGAGAGAGCAGCATCATGTGATGGCCATCAAACCCCCGGATTTTTTTGATCTGCGTAGTTCTTGGATTCCATTATGCAAAGGAAAATAAAATGCATTTATCGCTGCGTTTATTGCAATAGTTCCTATGCTAAGCCATGTGGACTAATGTTTGTCGGTTGCATCACCTACAGTGTAGCCCCTCGCAATACCCTTGCGCCCTTCCTTGACCAGCGTACTATCCTCCGAATCTTCCTCATCATATCGAATATCAAAGTCACTACCCAGGCCCTTCCATGTCCGTTGCGATCGCAAGTATTCTGCTCCTGGTGAGACGGAATTTCCGATCATAGCCAAGTCACCCTTAGCCCGTCGCGCCAGTGCCCTAGCAGCAGATGGCCCGCTGGTAGATGATCCATCGACCTGGGAGGCGCGCGGCGCGGGATCCCGCATGGGACGGGAATGTGAGACGTATCGACCGGTGCGAAAGTCAAACTCGGGCGGTGCCGACTCGGGTTCTGACATGTCATCCTCATCGGATACGGTTGCGCTATTGGATGTTCCCTGGTCGTCTCCATTTCCATTGATCTCCTGAGGTGCGTCAAGGACTGCCTGGAAATCACTATGCCAAGCTCCTGTCCACACCCGGTCTGAGTCGTCTTTCAGGGCCAGCTCTAATTCAAATGGAGTGATGACTGGCTTCCAGAAATCCTTGCTATCCACCAAAGAGCTTTCCCAGCAGCCAATGACTACCCAACCACCGATTTCACTGAAATTAGCTACCTTGGCAGCATTCAATTTACCAACCACAAACATGTAGCTCTTCTTGCCTGCTTCGGCAATCCGCTCCTTGACATGTTCCACAATATGCAGGTAGTTCTTGACACTCAAAGTGTTGATAAGAATACCCCAAATAGGCACGGTCGTCAAAGAGGCAAGAGTACCATAACGGCGTCGCAAAACTGCCGCAGTGGAAGCAGGCAATGGCTTGACATTCTCATTTGACAGGTCATTGGTGGGATAAATATGAATCGCGGCAACGCGAGACGCAAGTGTCATCATGAGAGCGGTTGGCGGATCAGAGATGTGAAACAATTGCCAATCGGCTAGCGTTTCAGGCGCCTCTTGAACCGACTCGGGGACTGTGCGATTTGGAATCGATGAGGAAGGCTCATGAACAACCTCCGTTGCATATATGTTGCTATATCCCTCTTCCACCAGGCGAGTATATACCGTAGGAACGTGGTCTGCGTAGGTAACATCGGCTGCGATGATAACCTTGGTCGTTGGGTCAAGATAAGTCGCCTTGAACGCCCGTACCACAGGCTCAAGAGGCAGATCCTTATGCGTGAACACATGAATCACGGGTAGCCGAGCTGTCGGTGACAGACAGGACCTCCCGTAATGCACAACCACATCTGCATCCACATGTTCCGCAGCCACTTCGTCGACGCAACAGGTACCGTAAGATGTATCGGCCAAAATTGTCAAGCGGGGCGGGTATTTTTCCGTTTTATCCTCCACCTGAAGCTCATTTATCGAGTGAGCGAGGCCAGCATCGGTCTGGTTCGAGGGCTGTGTGCCATTGGTGCCGACTTCCTCGCGTTCCAGACCCCGGCTGAGCAATTGAAATACTCGCGGGGCATCAGGAAGCATATCATCTGGGAACTGGAGAGCAATGCGCTTATACCGTGCTTGCCGAATGTCCTTCAATGTGCGCTCGATATCGTAGGTAATAGAAAGTTCATCGTCTGACACTAGAGCCGCTGGGTCTCGCGAGGCCACTGGAGTAGTTTCTTCGAGAATACGATCATCAGCAGTCGACAGCACAGGGGCTGACTTCATTTCAGACCCCATTTTGTAAGATAGAAGGGCGAGTGTGGTGCTGAGCCAAGAACAAGAAATTGCCAAAGGTTTTTGGAGAAGAAAAAAAAAAGATCCCCCCACTTCACCCCGCCGTGGATGACGGGAAAATACAACAGAGCCCATTGGCAGAGCAAACCAACTTCCTAATAATCACATTTTGGAGGAAATAGACTCAAATGATTCACCAGACACAGGGCTATTTAGTTATGCATTTCATCATGTCGACATAAAAAGGCAAAGGATATCTACAAGTCCGCTCGTGCTGGCTCTCCCGCCCAAACCCTGCGAAGCAATTCGCGGATCGGCGCGCGTTCAATCGGGCGAGGATTCCAGTAAGCATTAGATAGCGCAATATCAGCCGCTTTATCGATGTCTTCTTCCTTCATGCCGAAATCCTTAACGCCGCGCTTGACCTTGAGCTTAGTCAAGAGAACGTTCAAACCGTGGATCGCGTCACCATTGCTATCTGGAAGAGCGTCGGCCAACTGCTTCATAGCCTCAGGGATGTTGGGTGCATTGTATGAGATAGCATGAGGGAGGACAGCGGTATGGGTTTCGGCGTGAGGGAGATTGAAGCTGCCGCCAAGTGTGTGGCATAGCTTGTGATGGATGGACATGCCCACGCTGCCTAAACATGTCCCACAGAGCCAGGCACCATATAAGGCTTTGGATCGCGCGGATTGAAAAGATAGGTTCTCGACAATCTCGGGAAGAGAGGATGCAAGTGCCCGTATACCCTCGAGCGCCATCATGTTGATGATCGGGTTAGTATTGCGCGCGTAAAGGGCCTCGACTATCCAGATCGCATTAGATTTGTGCATAACAAGTTGACGCGGATTAATAAGGTATATTTACCAGCATGCGCAATTGCATTGACACCGCTAGTAGCACTCATAGCCGCCGGCAAAGTCATTGTGAGGTCCACATCGTAAATGACCGTACCGGGCAAGATTTTAGGGTCCGAGCGAGTCTTCTTCACTCCATCGGCAGTCTCGCCCAGGATCGGGGTCATTTCGCTACCAGCATATGTAGTCGGAATACAGATATGTGGCAGTCCAGTGCGAATGCTGATCGCCTTGCCGAGACCGATAGTGCTTCCGCCTCCAATGGAAATAACAGAGTCGGCTCCCTGGGCCGTGGCATACTCAAGAGCCTTGTCTGTGACATTTGTGGGAGTATGCATAGTCGCCTCGCTGAAAATACCGGCGATTTGACCCTTGAGCACCTCCTTGACACCCTCGGCTTGGCTGACCTGCTGGGGTGTCGAGAGCACCAGCGGGGCCTTCACCTGCAGGCGGGAGACCTCATCCGGGAGCTTTTGCAGCGTGCCACTGCCGAAGACGACACGGCCGGGATTGGGATTGTACTCGAAGGTATCCATTTTGTGTATGACCCAGCCGAGAGCGAGACTTGTCATCTTTATAGTCCGTACCCCACACCCCACCACAGTCAATGAACGTCATGCCCATCCGTGGGGTCGTGGGGTTTTATCGGCAATTGTAATCTAGTGATTCTCCGAGCCATTGTAAATTGGCGATTTTTGTACTTAATGGCCCATTTGGCGTATTATTTGGGCACACTCGGTTCCTCTTGTGTGTTGGATGCTTCGATTATCGTGAAGGATCTACACGTGTGGACTCGTAGACGGATAAGGATTTCTCCAAACTGCCGAGTGGGACCTTTCTAAATAGCTGGGCACTCAGAGGCTTGAATTTCAGTCCAGGCTCAGACTGTAATAAATTGCATCAATTTACAGAAAGTTTGTGTGGGCCTTGGATGCATAATAATGCATCCGGCACATGCAGCCCGTAAGGAGCCATGACACGCGAAGTCAGTTACTAGCCGTAGAGCCAGCCCCCATAGCAGTAAATTGGATCATATTATTTATAGATTATTCAAACGATCCTAACTCAATGTGCTTTGTGGTACACACATGTGCTTACAACAAATTGTCATACATACAAACCCCCAAGCCATTGCTCAATCGATCTAAGCGATAGGTGCGTAGAAGCTAAACTTGCCAGTCGGGTCATACTTCTTCTTCAAGGCCAGCAGGCGCTGTTCACTATCGCCATACAGCTGCTTCGTTGTCTCGTCTCCGTAGGCATAGTTGACATATGCGCGGATGTCCTCGAGGCCACTGGCTTCAAAGAGGATGTTGCGGAGCTGTTTACCCAGATCAACCGCCTTGGCGGCAACTGTTGCATCGCCGGGCGGGTAGTTGATGAGGGGAGCGGCAAGGAGATTCTCGCTGCGGAAAGCGAAAGAACTCGAGCTGCTAGGAATCGCGTGCACGCCTCCGAAGGAGTAACCCTCGAACATGAGGATTGAGTTGTTGTAGGCAGAGGATCCACTGATAGCAGGTGCGTAGATGTCCCATGCCTTCTTCTGGGCCGCAATGTCGTATGATTGGAGATAGATGGGGAAGCGGGGGTTAGCGTACCCGGCATTTTGGCATGGCGGGGAGTCAAGGGCAATGCCGGTCCATGCAGCGAGGTCCTTGTAGGTGCCTGCCTGGGGCACAACGGAAAGCGGTCCGAGGTCATGGAAAGGCTTGGTGTAAATCGAGTCAACGGCCTTCACTCCCTCCTGGATGATGTAGAATACGATGACGGGGTTGGTAGCGTCAACATCGGGGTTGTTCATCCAGTACGACCAGTTGATGAGATCAACGGGCTGGGTGCCATTCTTCAGAAGATATTCGTTGGCAGCCTCGTAGACAGCCTCAACCTTATCGCCACTAAAAGATATCGTCTCGATAGCCCAGTCACGGTGCTGGATATCATAGATCTTGCTGGTGAGAGAAGTCACAATGCCAAAGTTGTGTCCAGCACCCTTCATCGCCCACCAGAGGTCGGAGCTCTGGTCAATCGTCTTCAAGGTACCGTCGGCGAGAACGACATTCATAGAAACGAACTGGTCAGAGACGAGTCCGTGGTGGCCCTGGAGCCATCCATGTCCACCGCCAAGGGCCGGTCCGAGAAGACTGACGCATTCACAGGTTCCAGTAACTGTCTGCTTTCCTGCGGCCCAAAGCGAGTCGGTGACCACCTTAGACATGGTTCCTCCACCCATAGTGGCTGTCTTTCCATCTTCGGCGATTTTGACGCTGCTCAGCTGGCTCAACGAGATTCCGACTCCATGGTCCATCTTACCCAGCGAAATGAGGGCTCCGTGGACACCATTGTACGTGAGGAAGGGCAGGTCCTTCTTGTTGGCGAATTTCACCTAAACCGTCGTCACAATTATTATCTGTCTTTGCCTCATTGACATGTATAGAAAACAAAATAATAACCTACCGTCTCAACAACATCGTTCTCATTGCCGGGCACAACGACAATGTTGACCTTAGGTTCAGCTAAAGCAGACCACCGCGTTGTGACATCCGTGAACCCAGTTGAACCCGGAGAATACACCTTGGCAGTGCTCGAAAGCTTCTTTCCAAGTGCCTCCAAGTCCGCATCGCCTCGCGGGCAAAGGCCGCCCTCGATACCGCTAGGGAAAGTCAAAGAGGCCGCGGAAAAAGCCCAAGCCGCAACGGCCGTGAATACCTCTAACTTGAGGCGATACATTACTCAAAATGAGGATGTCCTGAATTTGTGAAGACAAAAAAAAAGCAAAAACCAATGCCCCTTGCGTTCGACCGTCCGAGGACAAGCGTCAGGAAAAAAGTGGGTATGTTATGCTGCACCTCGGTAGGAATCCCTATTAATTGTGCGGTTCTCTCTATTTATTACATATTATTTACGGCAGTTGTAAAACTACCCTAGCGTTAGTTTGGTTAGATAGTTTTTAATTTAGTAGATTTTAATATCGCATTACAATGGTATTATTCTTAAGCCTCAATAACATTGTATCGAACAAAAGAAGTCTACACCGCCCTAGTGGTTCTTTTATGCACGGTTTCACAGCACGGCCCATATGTCCGACTGGTTATGAACCTCCCCATGTCCCATATTTGCACTCCCTGATCGTCCGGTTCTATGCCTTCTTTATTTTCCCCCCCAGATTAGAAGTGTACCTGCACCACGCTAATGCAGGGGCTAGCCTAATTGGGGTATGTTACATCCGCCGGGTGCCTAAATCGCCGCGGACAGCCCTAGTAAGCGCAACCGTCCGACCTGAATGAACAATTATTAAGTCCCACTCTAGCGTTAGAATGGAACGTGTACTTATCCGCATCTTGGTTGGACATGGATACCGGTTTGGCCCTAATTCTGTGGGGACGCATCCACTGCGCATCCATCGCGCCTCGAGAAGGTTCCACTATTAGCTCGCTACTGGGCATCCCCAACTACGTACTCCGTAGATGTCTTATATTTCATTTCGGGATTTAATTTGAAGGTTTTGCACTTAATATATCATGTAATTTGGATTTGCTCTAGATTACGTTTTGAATTTTTGAATTTTTGAACTATATTTTTTTCTTCCATTAGGGGCAATGCATGGTCTCTATCTGGCAGATGTCCTTCGCCCTTGCCATGTAGAATGAGTAAAACGGTATGGCCGAATCTAGGTAAGCCAGCTGAAGAATCGACGGGTACACGTAAAAATCCATGGATGCATAAATACAGATTAATTTAGGTAATTTAGGTAAAACTCTATCTGGATCCTTGGAACCTTCCAAGATAGGAATTTGGTTCCAAGGTTTCAAAAATCATTGGATTCTCGTGAACGGAACGACCCAGGCCTATTCCAAGGTTCGTCTAACAGAAAATAACTTTGAAAATTGGAGGGTACCGCTCTCTCCGATCTTGTCTTGTTACCTGGGTTAAATATTATCCAGTGAATGACGAAAGATTCACGATGCAGGGGGGATAATCTTCTTCTATCTACCCTTCTCCATTCTCATGCGCAAATCTTCAGTGCGCTTACCCCGATCCCTGCTAGTCTTCACAAAGCTCCGCCACCATGGCATTTAGCTTAGAGGTACGAGATGCGGCGTCGGATGCACACAAGGCCACAGTGGAATTATGGACGTTATATTCAATTGCCGTTGCCGTGACAATTCTTAGAACATACGCTCGAAGCAAAGCCGGGGGATGGAGGAATTTACGACTCGATGACTTTCTTATATGGGTCGCAATTGTGATTAATTCGAATTGATCATACCTTGTCCTACTGATTGCTGATTGCCAATCCATACAGATACTCTATACTGCACAGGCGTCACTTGCGCATAGTGTGGGCAATGTGTCTGGTGGTCTTGCCAACAATGGGATGACAACCGCCCAGCGCGAGGCGCTATCGCCCGACAACCCAGCTTACAGGGCCAGGTATGTCCCCCCAAATCGTCAACCGAGGACCAAATTTGAATGCGATCACCAACCATTTGATTAGAGTGATTGGCTCCAAGATTCAAATTGCGGGCTGGAGTACTTACGCGGCATTGATTAATTCGCTCAAATTGTCTGTGCTGGCATTCTACGTTCGACTGATGGTATTGACCTCCATAATTTCCGATGGTGTTTCGCAACAAGTAACTAACACCCAACAGGATGGCCTTGGTCGGCGTTATCAAATTCCCATTTATGTTGGATTTGGTCTTGTTATCGGCAGCTTTCTCGCAAGTATCATTACAATCTTTGCGGCGTGTCGACCATTCCACAAAAATTGGCAGATCAATCCGGATCCCGGAAGTGAGACTCTCATCTTGTCCTAAGCGCTCAACATCTGCTAACTATGCCCCTAGACGTGTGTCAACCAGCCATTTCCACACCGGTCATCGCAGTAACCTTCGCCTCAAACCTCATTACCGATCCATACCTCATATTCATCCCGATTCCAATGCTTTGGCAATCGAGTCTGAAACCTTTAAAGAAGATCGCAGCCACTATCGTCCTCAGCTCGGGTGTCTTTATTCTGGTCTGCGCCACTATTAAGAGTGTTTTCCTCTTAGTGGTGAGTTCCAATATATCCGCATTGCCCCCGCTCGAAGGTATTTGTCTAACTTCATTGGTCGTTTTCTATAGGACCCTGAAGATGGCGCACAACTCGCCAATGAATGGGGCACCCGCGAAACATTCGTCGCAGTCGTCACTACCAATCTTCCCATGATCTTTCACCTCTTCAGAATTTGGCTTAGTAAAATTTTCGGCAGCCAATTTCAGTCATCTCATAAGACACATAAATCGCCCTCGGGTGGTTTCCGGAGTATTGGTGGCGGGGGTGACTATCCCAGTCGAAAAGATCAGGGTCCTGCGAGTTCGGATCCTATGACCATTGGCATGTCATTTACCGAGAGTGAAGAGCGGATGATGGAAGATGTGAAGATGCAGAACTTAAAGGCATATCCGACAGCTATGCCTGGCAACCCAGCCTCGGGTGCTATCGTGGTCTCGAATCAGATTGATATCACCCATGAGACTCGAACCATACCACAGAGTGAACAGCCCGTGAAAAAAGCAACAGAGGCATGGTAAATCGGGGTTTTAAAGGCGTCAGGGTTTTATAGATATCTAGCTAGATTTCATAATGTATATTCCAATTTCAGACCTTCCAGTGCTAGATTATTTCTCTATCACGCATCTTATAGATAGATTCCCAAGCCAAAACAGACACAATGAGTAGATAGTTACATAAAGCAAGCCATCTTTCCTCCGATCATAGTGGGTGTTGAATGCGATCTACGTTTCCAAACGAGGAATTTGCAATAATCCGATTTCTGCTGAAGACGACGCTAAAGGTGATGGGATCGTCCAGATTTGCACATCACTGGGGCCGGTAGATCTGTCGCTCCACTCATCTCCTCTCTTCTCTCTCCGGTCCGTGCGCTCCCTATACTTCCCAGGTAAATACACGGTCTTCGTTTTCTCTTATCATCTTTTACGTGTCTTCTCTAGAAAAATTCAACATATATTGTATCTCAAACCCTTCCAGAAAACCTTGGAACTTGGAACCAGTCAGTGTTTATATAAGCGAAAACAAAGGGCGGGCATTGACCGCCGGGTCCTACACGGAATGGACCTCTGACCTCGGATTTTACTTGACTCGGCATTTCCATTATTGAGGGAGGGTGATTGCAATCATTTTGGAGAGCCCGAGTTCACCTACGCTAGTTTGCACACTATCCATTGCAAGTTCCGATTCATCAACACACTCAAATGGATAAAACAAAGTCACAATCATTCTGACAGCGGACCAAATCTCCTCGTCGCGAAGCGCACGGCCTGCGAGGAGCCAAGTATCGCCCCCGATTGCAAAAGAGCCAAACGCTTTCATGATGGGTTGACAGAGCCGGATGTCAAAACTCCTGGTCTAGCCTGGAGGGTACCTTTCCCAGAGAAGTATGCTAGCTAGGGCGCTTAAATGTCAAACCACCCCCCTTCTAACTATTCTAAAGCTTGCTATTTTGGAAGAACGAAATGGCGAGATCGAGTTCAGAGTTGTCAACAATGATGGCTCCAGAGAGAGTACGATTATCCTTACAGGTCTTAATGCATATTTCAAAGGCAACTTCCGGAAACGCCTAAGGATTACATCGCACGTCTCGTCTACGACCGTACTCATTTATCGATCGCTATCGTCAAAATGCCTCTGGAGGTCATTGGCGGCATATCATTCCGAGAATTTCGAGACCGCAAGTTTGTCGAAATTGTTTTTTGTGCAGTTTCGTCTGATCAGCAAGTGAAAGGGTATGGAGCGCATCTTATGGGCCATCTCAAGGATTATATAAGAGCTACTTCCCCTGTGATGCATTTTCTGACCTATGCCGATAATCACGCCACCGGGTATTTTCAAAAGCAAGGTTTTACTAAGGAGATCACTCTCTACAAGTCTATCTGGAAGGGTTGTATCAAGGATTACGAGGGAGGGACACTTATGCAATGCTCTATGCTTGCCCGAATACGGTATCTCGAAGTTGGTCGAATGCTTCTCAAGCAGAAAGAATCCGTTCTAGCTAAAATACGCACCTTGGGCAAAAATCATATAATTCATCTACCGCCTCAGCAATGGGCTAACGCTAACGACGGCGTTGTGATTCCACTCGATCCACTCTCTATCCCTGCCGTCCGGGCAACTGGTTGGTCTCCAGATATGGACGAGTTAGGGCGAGACTCGTGCCATGGATCTCGTTTCAAAGGACCGAATTTCAACGAATTTCGACGTTTTATGAATGAAATCCAAAACCATACACAAGCATGGCCCCTCCTCAATCCAATCGACAAAGACGAAGTACCTGATTATTACAGTACCATTGCATCACCAATGGATCTATCGACTATCGAAGGAAGATTGGAGCTTTACACTACTCCGAAAGACCTTATCGACGCAAATTGATCTTCAGTAATTGTCGGCAGTATAATGACGCTACAACGGTATACACTAAGTGTGCGCTCAAGCTAGAGAAGTGCATGTGGAAACTCATCGAGGAGATTCCGGAGTGGTCTTACATGCTTGAAGAATGATTGGTTGGTGCATTGTTTGGAGTTGTATGTGTTGCTAAATGAACGGTGTTTTTGTATGGTTGGAGTCAGTATTGAACACTTGGGATTGAGCTACTATACAGAGCAAGGTGTCAATGACACCAATATATACTACGATTCTTAGACCCTGATGCCTAGTTGGCATTGGAAAACAACCCGGAGACCTAGGAACAAACTAGAGCCAAGTAAGGGGGGAAACAATGGAGATAATAAATATTCTTCCAATTGGCTCTTAGAAACCCTAACACCAACGCTATGTACACTTTTTCTTGTTTTCGGGCTGAACAATTGATCTGCAGATGTGGGTATCAGATAATGGGGTATTTAGACATTAGTCCAGGTCGTGGAAGGCCATGACATGCTGTCCACCACTGCGGTCCTTGCTCTTGGACTTCTTGCGCTTCTTTCGGTCCTTCGGATCCTCATGACGTTCCGCATCACTATTATCCGAATCCTTATCGTCACTATCATCCATCATGTCTTCATCGCCAGATCCATCACCGACATTGTCCTCAGCCTCGTGCCACACCTTGACGGTTTGACCACCACCAGAGACCATACGGCCCTCCACGTCAAAGCCCAAGCCCACAACACCATCGATCTCATCGTGCACAACCTCAGAAACGACTTGGTTGGGTCCGATGCGCACAAACTTCACCTTTCCGCTTGAGAGGCCTGCGGCCACCACCTTGCCCAAGTAGTCAGGTCCAACTGCCATTGTCTCAATGGAATCTCCGCCATCAGCATTACGGTCGACGTAGATCCGCTCATCCTGGTCATCCCACGCGCCCTTCTCCCAGAGAGTGACGATACCGCTGGCTCCACCAACGATAAGCTTTTCGCCCCTACTAGTTCCACCGGAAGGCAGGCCACCCATAAAGACGGAGCTAACCAATTCTTCTTCCTGGTTCTCGCTGCGCACCAGAACGCCCCTCCGGAGGTCGGTCACGGCCAGGGTTGTTCCACCAGTGGTAACCCACTGCTTGCTGAAGCCCGAGGTGCTAGTTTCGGAAGCCGGGAGAGGAGTAAGAGATGAGATGTAGTCGTCGTGGGGGTGGTGCGACTGCTCAGGTCGCGCGGACACCTTGGAGTATGGGATACGGAGATCGTAGAGATGCAGAGCGCTTGAGTCGGTACCGAGAAGAAGAGTTTGAGGAGAGAGGGCGTGGATCATGGTTGGCGCATCAACGGAGCTATATGAGATCAAAAAACGACAGGTCAGCCAAATGCGAAAGTCCGGATTGCAACGCTGGATGTTCGGGAAAGGCCCTTTACCCGTTCTTCTCAAGAGGAATAACAATCTTGTTATGCACCTGGCCAGTCTCGGTGCTTGCAGCCTTCACCATACCATCTGTACCAGCCGAGTAAAGCGTTTTGCCATCCGTACCGAACCCTAGGGTGCGACAGCTACCCTTGTGTCGCCGAGTTCTCCACATTGTGTCAATGTGGCCCTTTCCGGTGCGGGCCGACGAATTCGGTGCGGCATCTTCATCATCCTCTCCTTCTAAGGAAGGCAGTCGGAAGGTCTGGACGTGGCCTGAAGCCAGACCGACAGAGACTACGGGCTCCTCGGGGTGGATAGCCTGAGTGAACAGGTCTGAGGAAAGTGGAAGCGTGCAGACCGTGTCGAACATGGTTGCGAATTGCGCCAGAAATAACAGAAAATCTGAAATCTTCTAGTGAACCTAGTAAGAATCTGAATTCGTGTGGATTGAATCAAGAGAATCAATTGCAAAAAGCTGGAGCTTTGGAGCTGGCCGTTTTTTTCTGCCATCGAGAATACCCCGACCGCCTTCTTTTACTTACTCTCGGTAAATGACATCAATTCAATTCTGTAAAGGTAAGCACTATTCTAATTGTTAATATTGGCACGGTAGAAATCAATAATGCAAAGTGATCTAGCCTAATTAGGGGTAGTAATACTTAGCATTTCTTAGTATCAAAGACAGAATGGTAAGAATAATGGTAAGCTAGCTTTCGCTTTAGGAGCAGATTGACAGATGAATGAAGGCAACGGACAGACTATATACTACATAATGTTCAATGCATAGTAGGCCCAATAGAGATAGAATTATATCTTTATGATGTCTGCTCTCTGCTTCTCACAGCTATACACGTATAATGCGCAGATGTTCTTTCGAGTAGGACTATTAGCTTGAGAAACACAGCTTCATACACAAAGTGTGCTTTGTTCTTACTGCCCTTGTATATACCTAAAAAGACTCCTAAAAAGAACATCTAAGAAGACTAGCCAAAAAGAACGTCTAAAAAAAATATCTAAACACATCAGCCTAAAAAGACATGACAAGGCCGTATTACCAGCCAACTATTCTAATACATGGTATGTATAACTAGGAATAGCTTCAATTTACATTATACGCTATAGAGCGGTGTCGAACGCGGTCTATAATTCAGGCATACAAAGGCATCATCCCTACAAAATCAGACAATTGACCTTTGGCCGCTCTGCCCCTTCGCACTCAGGTGCTCTCTACTTCAAGGCAGGCAAGGCTTAATCAAAAGAAGTTTATTGCAAGCTATCAATAGAATCACTCAGATCCTAAGAAAGAAAGGACAAATGAAATCAAGAATACAGACAACTATCAACGAAAGAAAGCTTATATACCATTCACCATTTTCTTCCAAATTGGGCATTTGCTGCCACTGGCGCAAGGATTTATGCACCACGTAGACTCCGCATTCCAGGTTTAGCTGAGTTCAGCAAGTACCTATTATTTTGACAATTTAGGAAGCGTAGGTAGATCCAATGGGGCCGACCTTGATGTTGGAGTAGGTCACCTTGGCCGAGCCCGACTCATTCTCAATGGTCTCTGGGTTGCCGGAGGTGGTGGCGCATGTACCGCGAGCAGCACCAGGGTCGGAGGCAGAGGCATCAGTAGGGTAGACCTCACCATCCAACCAGAGCATGTTAGCATAGTGGTCATCCCACAAGCTCATGACCAAAACCATTCCCTGGTCCAAACCCTCGCCCATAGTGGCCAGACCACCTTTCTGGGCGAAGACATCATCATCCCCGAAGGCTTTCTTCTGGGCTGTGCAGAAGTCCGTGGTGATCGAGTTTCCGGTGACACCGCTGACGTCCGAGGCAGAGTTGGCGATAACTTTTCCGTCTTGCACATAGATGCGCTTGATCTCGCTGAGGGTTCCGGTGTCGGTGCCGTCACTGGTGATGAACTGAGTGACCACGGTCATCTTGGACTTGGTGTCGACGGTCTTGCCAGGGCCGAAGAAGGACTCGTTGCCCATGCGGAAGGAGTTGAAGTCACATCCATCGGGATCGCAGGTTCCTGCGTAGCGGGTGGAGGAGTAAGTTCCACCACACTTGTCGCCCTCGCACATGGTCTGCTCGGGGCTCTCGCAAGGGTGGGGCGTGTAAGCAGAGGAAATGCTGTTGGCTTCCCAGATATCCATCTCAGGGCAGCACGATCCGTGGCCGCCAACACCAGCGTTCTTGTCGCTCTTGGAAGGCACCCAGCCGTCCACATTGGCCTGTATCGCGTATTAGTCATTTTGCTCACGAGCTTTTCGAACTTGACCAGTATAACAACTCACCTGACCGTTGATGAACTTCAGATCACGAGGGCACTGAGAATCACAGTAGCCAGTTCCGTACTTGGCACCTGCCTTGTTGCCCTCGTACTTAGCCAGGCCACCATCGGAATCCATGGAGACAAAGTAAAGAGCTCCATTGAGTCCGCAGGGCAGAGCGGAAGTGTCCACGTCGAATGTGAACTCCTGGTTCTTCAGCTTGAACATCTGGTAGGTACTCTCGTCCTCCATCAAAAACAGACGAGAGCCAATGTTGGCTCCGGTGACAAAGCTCAAAGTGAGGGCATTGCCATCGGTGGTCGCACCGTAGGTGCCGGCGTAGTCAGCGCCCTCCAGAGCACAGTTGGTGGCGCAAGTCTTGTCATCGGGGCAGAGAGTTGCATCCCACTGTTATCAAAGAAGTCAGCAAATGTGAACGCTCATCTTCTCTACTCGAGATTTCTTACCTCGTTTCCAGTGTAGCAGTTGGTGGACCCATCGACAGAGTGAAGCCAACGCCAGTTGGAATCAATGACAACAGAGCCCTTCTGGTCAGTGCAACTGCCCTTGGCAGTGCACTTTTGCCAGGTCAAAGAGGGATGGGTCTCAGGTTTCGATGTGCCAGCCTGCTGGCCATGAACTGCCGCCGCCAGAGCGGAGAAAAGGAGTGCGCGTTGATACATTGCGGATGAATGAGAAGGGTCGATTTGCAATGTTGTCTTGTTATCTTGTTATCTGGCCTGCAGTTGATGAACAGAAATAATCTCGGGGTGGGAATAGATCTTTATATGTCTTTTCGTACGCATAGGATTGCTCCAAGTCATTTCCATGCAAACCTTGACTAGGGTTCTTTTTGGATAGCATGACCGGTGCCACGGACCATTGAGGCCGTTGCCAAATTGGTACGGATGGAGAGTCCACAATGATCAATCCAGTATCGACTTCCATACTGGGTGACCTCCGGTGTCGTAGGTACATTGGTTTGAAAGTGGAAACAGCGCCTGGATCAGGAAGGGAATGATCATCGCCGGATAACTGTGGTGAGATGCACATCAGGATCCTGGCTGATATTGGAGTGGATAAACATGGGTTAATCGTTTCAACATCCGTGAAGACGGAGAATCCCCCGATCCAGTTCTGTAGATTGATGTATAAGATTCGGGGAAATTAATAGTGCAAGGGGCAATGACTGCAAATGAGGACGCTTTGGGGTATGTTGCCTGTCGATCTTTCATTTATACGTCATGACCGGTACTGTGTGGGCAGAAATTTAGCTATACGATTAAACTACTATGGTCAGCAGAATAAAAGATCATGGGACACCTTGTGGGGTTGAAGGGGGTTGCAGGGGGTTGAAGCCTGCCAAGAGCGCCGCTAGATGGAATGGGCGCTATGGCGTTCCCGAGGCCCTCCACTGACATCAAACCGCCGAAAGGCTTTTCTTGGTGTCAGATAATGTGGGATACTCTGCAGGGCGTTAAGCCCAAACACGGAAGATTGTTCTGCAGACTATTCGGGCATAAAGCGTTTCAGTCCGAAACCTTGATATTATGGAAAGGCAAAATAATGCCCTTGTAATAGCGACTAGTATGTATAGATAGAGCCTCGGTTTCAAATTAATATGCTCCCCACGAGACTGAGAATTGTTCCACATGCTATGTCAAGACAGGTGATAGATATTTGTTATAAACTAGGAGGATAATAAGAATGCATAATATGTAATCATTACTGCTCTACAGTTAATACCACCTAACATAAACCAAACCTCTGCATAAATCAAGACCGCCCTCGCATTTCCTTGGGCATCTCACTCTGAGATAAGACAGAACCTAAGCACAATAGATCAACAGCGCAATGGTCTGATTTGTGGAGACGTGGCACATGATATTGGACGGATTGCCCCAACCCGGAGTATCGGAAGTAAAGAATGTAAGATGAAGGACACATGCTAGGTCCGCTATGACTGTGGACCATATTGCGGGGTCCCCCCGTAGTATCGGTAATACTTCAAAGAGAAACACTAGGCTCTGGCAGTACGGCAGAGCCGGTATTTCAAGATTCCGATGCCGGATGTGCCGCAGCCTGTTTCGCGAACCGAATGTCCAAAAGGAAAGGCGGCGCGTAAGCAATATAGCTTTGATGTGACCTCTTATACAAAATATTGGCGATTGGGAGGGATATAATTTTACCGAACGGAAAAATGAGGGTGATCCCCTGCATCCTGGCGGTTGCATGTGGTACCTGGCGACAGCCCTAACGTCCTGTATCTTTGCCGGATGTCATGCTATCTCAACCTGGTTGCTCGTTGATCCGGGGTAATATACGGGAAATTCCGAGAATTATTAATATATCAAGGTTACATCTAAGTTATTGCCTGTCCTGCAGACTCCATGAAGCGCAAGTTGCCAGATTCGACACGGTAATTTGCCGTCAGTATACGAGCCAAGCGTTTACCTGTGCTCCAATGGAACCCGAACAGGGTGCTCCTTCTATTAGTGGAAAAATTTCCCCGGATATATGGCTATGCGACTGGCAATTTGCCAATCATTGAACATGGAAATGAACAAGGTCTCGGATAGGCTAATGCGCATAAGATTGCATGATCTTCAAAGGGGACTAGTATGTCGATCGTTTCCTGTTGTGATAGGTGTCTTCAGGAAGGGTTGAATATGTTGTATATACGATTCTCGGGTTGCTTTAGGCTAATCTTCAAAACCACTGAGATATGGCGCATTAGTGCTTATATCGATGCGGGGGAATGGCCGATGCGGTCTATAGAAGAAAGCGCTGCAATATTGGGCATACTTTCGAAGCAATTTAATGAGTCCTAGTCATGCCTAGTTTCTACATGGAGCTTCTGGGTAGAGGCTGTTGGGGTTTAAGAAAGACATGGAGGGAAGAGTACATCAAAAGTTTTATTTGGGGCGAAATATAAGTCTGTGTGTAAAGAAGAAGGACTCGTTAGTTAGTTATTCTATACCAGACTGACTAGATCGCTACCATATCATAAATCGAATGTAGCAAAAGAAAGGGGAAAAAAAGAAACTCCGATGGGGGGATTCGAACCCCCGTTAGTGCTGTTCAATGTCCGAAAGAGGAACTTGAAAGAGCACAGTGATAACCCCTACACTACATCGGAGGATTGATGGAAAGGTTGAGCGATCCAGGAATACTTATCCTATATACTTCTGATGATAATCTTTTGTATATGTTGCCGCAATGGAATGTTTCGCAGATAATTATATATTTTGTTAGAATATTATAATCGGAAAAAGAAAAGCAGGGATGTAGCGTTGAATAGGCAAGATAAGTGTCATGACCAGGAACGGTCGTTCCAGGGTTGTTCAACCATTGCTAATATGAGCAGTTGGGTACGATAGGAACCATGCCAGGGCACCAAGGATCAAGGCTCTCGGGATCGCACTCGGTCAGTCAGTCCAGATACGATCTTTATACAAAGGAAACTAGTATATAATCGAGGGCTCCTGCCCGTGCATAATATCGAAAGCTCTCGTCATGTGAGTTCGCATGTACATAAGGATATATATTTATCGAGCCTATATCGGTTCGACAAGAACGGATGTGGAGAGTATAATCTTTGGTTACGATACCTTTTTATAAGATTTGATGCCACCCCATAGCGCCTCCCCCCCCCCCTTTAAGCGGAAAGTAAGCACTTGGATGCTCCCAGGTTCCATAGATTAAAGTCTTACCCAGAGATCGTGTACACCTAGGTCCATCTTTGGTGATGTCCTTCGGCGACAACTTATAGTTTCCTTGTGTAGTATCGAAGCGAAAAAACAAGACGTTTCCAATCGAAGTTGTCATAGCTATGTATTTTATAGCACAAGCCAGGCATTATTATTGTTGCATAAATAACTAAATGGATAACTAGTTAACTATCAAAAATGGTTTAGTTAACAAAAATATAGAAGCATAGGTTTTAAAGAAGAAAAAAAAAGAAATTCTCCGATGGGGGGATTCGAACCCCCGTTAGTGCTGTGAAAGAGCACAGTGATAACCCCTACACTACATCGGATATTGTTGGAAATAAGCTCCACTATTGTATCAATTGTGCTTATAGGTTGATATAGCACATTTATTGCACCCAAGGCGAATGTGGGGTTCAATCTCGATGGACACGATGGAATTCGCCTATATAAGCTGTCTTGCCTGTGCCTTCATATCCTAGATTTCCCTAAGCCGACAGAAATATATTGAACCCTGTCGGATTTGCGATATTCCCACACAAGTACCTCACTCCCGACGGTGCCATTGTCGAGGTGCAGGGTTCTGTCAACGATGGTGCCCAACGTGAGATTCGAGTCGAGGACCGTGATGGTTATCTGCGGGTCGCAGGGAAGGATGCCCGGCCCGTCTTCAGCGTGTCGCACCTGTAGATCGACATAAGATTGACATAAGATCGAAATAAGATCGACACAATGCAGCCTAAAATTCCCAGCTTTGCATGGACTAAACAGTCAGGCGCAACATGATTCTTCTTTAGGAAAAACACTTAGCCGTAGGGGACGCCTTACTCGCCTTTCGCCTATCACATCTACAGATCTCAAAAAGGCAAGCAGATCACATTCCAACACCCCCAACTTTGCATGGACTGAATGACTAGGAGTTCAAAGCTAAGGATGGCTGTGATGTGATCGTTGGGGCTAGGAAATAGTAATACTTCACCATCTCAAGTTTCCAGAGTCCTGGCGAGGTATAATCTTTGAATATAAAAAGGGTCTCACGACACGTTTATAGAACCCAGACATCAGTTTGATTTGCATTCAATGCTCATATCCCACGAGGAATCTTCACTATACTATCAATTCCACCTTCTCAAGCAACTATGCATCGTGGAAAGACCTTTACACTCTTCTGCCTTAGCCCCGGGGCTCTTTCATACGTGATTACAGCCTATCGGAACGACGACTGCCCTGGCCAGTCTAAGAGAGCCAATGTGCGGGACAACACATGCAGAGATACCAACATATTTGGAGGTGAAAAGTACGGAGGTAGTCACCAGAAAGCCACCCTTTTAAAAAACAACGGATGCGGTACCGCTGTGAGCACAAGGTATGCTTGGTGGGCGGATGGGGGAGACGGTTCCTTTAAGAAGGGCGCGTTCCTGAAATTCGATCGCGACATTCATGCCTACGGCTTCGTTTCATCTTAGGATCTGACGTGCGTGTAAGTTGTTACATCCTCAAGTGTTCCCATGAGAGTAAGAAAAGAGTTGTTATCCATGAGATATCCCGACACCAGAATGGCGCGACATTATTCCACTGTTTCTGCCAAATTTCCAAAAACGCTATTCCAAGTTTGGCCGAGTAAATAATGCGAAGTCACAGCTTCCCCGTTCAGTGGACTGATTGGCGAGTTCTGCTTGTCAAAGTTGCAGATGCCCGGAGCGGTTTCGCCGAGGAGTATACCAGTTCTATGGCCAACCAGCTCGTGGATGGCAGTAGTGAGAAATCTGACAATTTGTGTGTTTTTTTTCGGAAGCGATTCAACTCCGATGGATCGACCTAAGGCATTGGTTGATTGGGGTTATTGCTAACACTTAGATGATTTGCGAGAACGATATTCTTGAAGCTACAGGTAGGCAAAAATAATGCTATTTACACCAAATCAATTTATTCATTACCACTTTGTAGGGTAGTTCAAAGCTCCTAAGTATGAAAATAACTTCATCTTTATGCCAAAGAGTAGAGAGCTAGTAAACCTCCCTAAAATTGGTGATATATGGATATAAGAATAGTTGGTAACTTATAAGAATTTGTGATGCCTTTTTTGATGTTCTTTTTAGGTGTCTGTTTTGATGTCTGTTTATATATACGTGAAGGCGATTAAAAGTAGTACTCTCTGCAGACAATATTTATATGTATGTATGTATATAGTTGGGTTATATTTTATACATTGCAAGAACGGGTCTCAGCCCTAGGGACATCGAAGCATCTAGACATGAATGATACCCGGCCCCCGCCATTCCGTATTCTGCATGCAGAAATTCCCTCTCTACTCATGTTTCCGAAACAAAAGATCAAAGCAACACGGAAAAAAAAAAATTACATCACACATAACTAGTTAACTATACATACATGAGTCCTTATACCTAACCCCATCGGTTCTTCCCAATGCGCCGATGAACCCGCCGCACATGATCTTTCATATTATCAACACGGCTAAATACCCGCTCACATCCATCATACTCGCAAACGATGCTAGGATTGTGCATGCCCTCATGACGATTCCGGTCCTTTTTGCTCGAAAAACTGTCCTGTTTGGATTTCGAACAACCATTATGTCGGCACGGCCATTGCTTGCGGTGTCTGTTGAAATGTTTCCGCAAGTCACAGCCTCTCCGGAAGCGAGCCTCCGAGGTGCACCCCAGGTGAGCGCAACGCCAGAGCCCGTCATCGTCGAGAATACCATATTGCGCCAGACGGGCTTGGTTGCAGGCGGAGACGGGGGGCGAGGAGACTTCGACATTAGAGAGGGCTGGGGGTGATGAGATACTGCTCATGGATGTGTCGAGGGAGGATGCTGCTGGGGTGGGTGGAGCGAGGGAGCTGTCGTATGCGAAGTGCATAGGAAGTGGAGATAAGCATTGTTGCGTGTCGGCGATTGTATTCCCGTCAAAAGAAAGCTGTGTTTCTTGGCTTATCATTGTCGGCACAAGGCCAAACGTGGGCCCGGTGGGGTTGGGGGTGATGGATTGGTAGAGGCTGCCAGCGGATTCACTCCCTAGAAACCAGTCGTTCATTTGTTGTGTGTTGTAGTAACATGATATGGCTTGGAGATGTTGGTCCATGACGGGGTCGTGAGACAGGTAGGTCTGATATAGCTGCATGGAGGTCATGCCTTTTGAAGGAATGATATCATTGGCCGAGAAATAAGACTGAGGATTTTGATCACTAGGTGCTTTTGGCCCACCATAAACGCAGCTTAGGGTATCATTGATGGACGATTTCTTTGGGTCGGATATATAGCTATCGAATGTGGAGCAAGACGGTGTATCTTGGAGAACTTGTGCAAAGTACATATCGGGATCCATGGGGTTTGTAGAGGTGCTTTAGAGGTGCTTTAGAGGTGCTTAGAAGAGTTTCCGTCGAGTCGACTAAATGCAGCGACTTCAATGGGTCGGAAGAAGCGCTTCCAGGGGCCAGAGATTGCACGTATTTGGCTTTCTGATTAACAGACCCCAATCTAAGAGGGCTTTTTGGCACTGCCGATCCGATATCGAGTTCAAAATGATGGATTTGATTGGCCTTTCCACAGGGTTGCCGGTACATGCAGAGTTGAAGAAAATCTCAGGATATTGGTGACAGGGATAAAGATGGTGGCTTTCAGGAGAGAAGCTTGGGTCTATATACGAGAAAGAAAAGAAATGACTGAGGAAATGACTGAGGCAGTGCCTCCCATAAAACCGAAATCCACTGAAGATCAATGTCCTAGAAAGGAAAGCGAAACAAAGGACATTGGCTGTTGGCTTATGAGGCTGAATACGTTACCATAGGTAGACTTTTTACGAAGTATGTAGGCATCATGATTATCCATAGCAAATTGTTAAAGCGGAAGACATGAGTGCTCATGCATGCGATTAGCCTCGGGTCGGCGATAAGGTACATGCTTAATTACATTAGTCTCGGATCGGCGATAAGGTACATGGTTACTTGGGTAGGTTTCGGGGGCAAGTAGGGCTGCGAATGAAGTATCGGCATTGGATACTAGCTCTGTAGATGAATTTCCTTAATTGTATATTGTACACTCCACGCTAACAGGCTGGTGATACGTTCCACTGGGCCAGCGGGCAAGGGTGTCTACGAATGAACGATCTGTGATGGGGTTATCATAATCCTCGTTACGTTCAGCTTGGTCATGCTAAATAAAGAAATGGAATAAATTTCGAGACAAGGGGTCACAGGTGGGGTGTACACCATGGAATCCAAAGATATAGCCAAATTTTCACAGCCGTTATAACCTTCAAAGTTCGAATCTAAAAGGGTCTTGGCATTCTCATTGCGGCGCCATCCGAAAAAAAAAAAAAAGTCCTCTAGAACCCACTTTGTGTCGTTCTGATTCTCCAGACCAAGTTGCCCCGCAGCCTTTCGAACGCTTATTAAACCCCAGCCATGGGATGGCAGCCCTACAGAGGTAAGACTGCCCAAAAATAGAGTCTAGAAAAGTAGGTCCGGTGCCATCCGCTCAAGATCATCAAGACTTTTTTATGCTTTGTCGAAGTCTTTGGGTGAGGGACTTGGTACCTGTCTTTCAAGTTTCCAGATTCGAACCACAGCATAGACCACCACTGAGAGCCGGATCGTATCATGCAAGGGCACTAGTGGGCAATCATACGGTAGGAAATACAGTTGGTGCATTAAGAGCAACAAGTAATCGTTTTCAAAGGTGAAGGTCCGCGATTCCAAGTCATCCATGCTCCCAAAGCACGGAATTACTTGTTGGCAAGACTGAATGATTGGCTGCAGCTGGGGAGGAATGTCCGGATACCATGTAGAGCCAAAGAAACGTTCTTCAACCGAAAAAGACGGGTTGCATGACTTGACATAAGCGCACCCGTTTTGGGCTTTCAGCGCCCACTTGGGTAGAAGGTCAAAGACCGGCGGTGAATCTAACAAAAGACCCCTCGTGAAGTCACAGCTATCGATGATAAACAACCAGTTGAGGTTCGCCATATCGCGGATTGCGGCCTACCAGTATATAGTCGATATAGCCCAGTCATCCCAAACTTCCAACGCTCCTAACACATTGATGATCCCTTTTAGGCCAGAGATATGCGCATCCACCTCTTCCAGGTTCCTTTGAGCTGCCTAAGAGAAGATCGTGAGATGGGCTCAGGTTTGGGGACGTGGATACGGTCTGCAGTGACGGTCAGTCAGCCTCATCTGATGCAAAGCTACTAGCGTTGCAGATTGACTCGTGTGCTTATAGTAGTCAACGTGAAGATCTACACTGGAAGCGGAAGGATCCCGCACACTAGGGCCCGTATCACGAAGTGGCTGCACTAGTCTAGTTGGGAACGAGACCATAGAAACCTTTCAATCTTTAGTTTCGTCTTCTGTCGTAATCGATGACTGCGGGCTCGAATAAAGGCATATTTGGTCCGAGCGAAAGGAAGGACCTGCGGTATGCCATCCTGATAATTTACATACAGGAACAGAAACTCCTTTTTGGCCGTCGCGTCTGTGCAGATTTTATTCTTGAGGGGATACAATACGTGGGGTTGTGGGGGGCCTATGACCGTCGAGGGGAAAGCTTGTTTGTGAAGTGTATTATTTGTCATTTACAAGACCCGTAGATATCGCCAATCGCCGATATTAATAGTATCCCTCGAGTATGTTTTGTAACTGAAACATACATGTCGAGTCCAGTTAGTGGCATAACTAATACCCATGTCTACATTGTCTTTTCCCTCAAGGTACTTGTGGCTTGGTTAGGCAAGATTTTTTTTTAAAAAAAACATATAGCGTCAAAGATCAACAGTGGAATATTACCGATATGATCGGCGGTTCGGCAAATACCTTCCTCACCATACAGTGTGTTAGGATAAGACCCTTCCAGCACGCTACTCCTGCAGGGATAGACTAACTGTGCCGTGCTTCCGGGTGCTCGTTTCCTTGATACTAGCCGATACTTATCGCCGTCAGGTCGACACATAGCAATAGATGAAAGCATCTGTAGGCTTTTTAATTATGTTGGACGTCATGAAGAGTAGGGTAATTCCAGTAAATACTTCCCTCTTGGTAGGGGAAATTGTGGGTAGTGGTAATTGCCTGAACTTTTTCTCTCGGACATAATCTATCTCTAGAGCTGCTAGGTAAGTGAATAGTGAATATGAAAAGTAAATATTTTCATGGTGATATTGTTGGTGGCCTTATATACTTGCATGTTCTGTAGCATATGGCACCCCTGAGATCCCTGAGATCTCCTTTCAGGCTTCCCATCCATAATTCACCATGGAGGGGATTCCGAGATAGGTGCCGAGCATTTAGGGCTCTCTACATATAACATATATTAGGACCACCTCTTTCATTGTTGAACTTGGCTTCATTAAACTCATCATCTTCTTTTTATACAACAAGTGGAGAACTTCCAAAAGCCTCCGTCAAGTTCTACCGGAGCACTGGCGAAGCGAAGAGCAGTCGAATCGCGCACGAAGCCCTTACAGCATCTTCCCAGTGGTACAAGTGATTGATATAGATTTCATTATGTCCCAATTGATTGATCCTCGATCGACTTATCACTTTTTGTACCCGTTAAAACAAAAGGTCACTGAAGTGTTTACGTTACACTTTTCTCTTTTGGTTATAGCTTTGTCTGCGGCATCTTTACAGGTGCTATATTTTCGAACGTTAACGTTAAAGACATTCGTTCGAGTCATGATCAACATCACTGCTGGAGCAACTGGTCATTTTCTACTTTTGCTGTTCAAACATCAGCCTGTATCTGATGTTAGTGGGGGGGAGGTTTCCTTTCGACTCTTGTTGCAGAAAGTGTTGCTTGGATACATTTTTGCGGACGTGATGTATTACAGCATACATCGTGTTCTTCATTGGAGATTTTTATATCGACGAATTCATCGCGCTCACCATGAAACTCAGCAAGATGGTCTATTAACGGCTCTGGATGTGCACCCGTTGGAGTATGTTTTCGCCCAGATGTCAACTGAGCTGATGTCTGCATGGATGGTTGGAGCAACTCTTCCGGAGCTTTGCTTCCTAAGCAGCGTGGCGAAGATCTTTGCGATGTATTCACATTCTCGAAGTGATGCAAAAGCTTGGATTAGTGTGATGGAGCACGAAGTGCATCATCGTGACGGACGTCACAATTTTGGAGTGACTGGCTTAATGGATTGGGCTTTTGGAACAATTAAATAAGAGGTGTTCCAGTCTCCTAATTTCTGGTTGAAAGAGGAGCAAATGTTGTCTGGGCCAATGTGGGAGGTTTGGCAGGGGGTTTCTGGTTCGGTTGCGCAATATAAACTGATTTTGTTTTCGATATTTATTGTGAAAAGCTTGATTGATCTCTCTTGAGGTCTTTCGAAATTCGAAGATAGCACAGGAGGAAAGAAGGAAGTTGTTAAACAGGGGAAATGGGTTCGGAAGTACTTAGACTGCAGAAAATGGAGACATTAAGGAAGCTATCTTCGCGTGGGATAGCAATGCCAAGCTCACTGGAGAGATCATCCTATGCCAGTGCAGTAACTGCATATTTGGAGCTTAACTAGGTATGGTAGTTACAGGGATTCATAATAGATTGTTGCTTCGCACTCCTTGAGAACAAATGCTCGCCAGATTTGATATGTACACAACTGAAACAATGTGCCATGGCGACCCGACTGGTATTGGAAGGGTTTAATTCCCACTTGTTGGCTGCGCGGAAGGTGGTTGTTTAATAGGATAGAGGCAAGTAGGAAATTATAACTCTTGCTGGCAATGGAGCTATAAATGAAACCGTTTGAAGTAAATGAAGCAGATGGCGGAACCGGAAAAGTTCTATTGTTTACTTATGTAGAACATTTATCGGGGTTTGTAATAATAAATTGAACTGTATGTTAGGCCGCACTTCATAAGTCATGCAGTGGTAGATTCCTCGCAGTCTATACAGTAAACTTCTCCTTATTCTCTTCCAGCCACTGCTCAAACCTTTCTGGAGACTGGTGGGTATACTTCCGCACATTGTCCACTCCAACCTCGAAATCTGGCACGTCCCAAATGAAACTTCTCTGTCCGGTAACAGCTTCAACAAACCACTTGGCAGCCGGCTCTGGAAGTCCCCTCTGCTGTATATCCTCCACTGCCTGTTTCTTTCCAACAACGGTGATCTTAATTTCCTTGCTCAGAACACGGCTAATGATACTCAAAGTATCCCTCACAGATAACCGATTTGGTCCAACCAAAGGGATGGAGATCTCCTGTGTACCATGCGCTAGAGCCATCCCAATGACTTGCCCAATGTCTTTTGGTGAGATCCAGTCGAATTCAGCGTCAGGATTTGGTAGCTTGACCTCGCCATGTGCAATTTCGTCCTTAAAATGTAGAACATTGCTGGCGAAATAAGCTGGTCGCACAGCACTGCACCGGTTACCAAAGACACTCTCAAGAGCTATCTCTACCTTTGCATGAACATATGGAACTATCTCAGTGGGTGGTGTAGCATGTCGATCACCCTGGACGAGGAAGCTACTCAGAAGAACGACAAATTCGATCCCACCTTTTTTAAGCGCCACAAAGGTATGCCGCATGTCGTCTGGAATACCTTGAATTGCGTAGACAAAGGCAGTCTTGGCACCGCTCTGGCGAACTGCCGTCTGAACGGTTTCAGGTTTGGTGAGGTCTGCTTGAACTTTCTCGGCGGAGATGTCACCGAGCGTCGGAATAGACTTTAAAGTATCGCGCATGGCGAGAGTAACTTTTGCGCCCTCTTGATATGCTTTAAGAGCGGCGGCTGAGCCAACGCTTCCAGTTGCGCCGAAAATAATAACATTACTAGGAGAGGCCATTTGGAGTGGAGTGAAGGGGGAAACCGATATGCTCAAGTTGTCAGAGTATTATGCGGGGGTTAAAGTACACCAAATACGGCTTGAAGCTCCTGGGGATACATTTCGAATTTATAATCAACTCATTTATATGTACACGGACCTTCGGGGCCCCGATCCACCGACGAAGCCCGAGAGAGCGAGCTAGGGAGAGCTTGTAAGGCCTGGAGTGCTCTGCGCCATGATACCTTTTGTATGATGAGGTAGTATTTCATTGCCCATGACTTTGCAACGTATTTTTTTGTTGTGGGTTTGTCGTTGGCCTATCATTGGTCTAATGTACGAGCATAGCCACTCCGACTAAATCGGCTTTGTGTTCCGGATTCACGATTAGTGCTGACGATAAAATGAAGATGCTGGTAGCCAACGGCGAATAAACTCGGTGATTACGCTGCAGGTCACGTCTCATGGACTTGGCAGAGCTGACCTCAGAACCGGGTCATTTCGAGAGACTGTGTTAGAATGATAAAGTGGCATGCGTAATTATAAAATGGAGTAAAAGTTCACGAGATAGAATGATAACTGTAGAAGAGATAATAGATCCTACATTTGATTACGTAGCTCATGACTACACTGAAGATGTGTTCAAGCCATCTTGATGCTTGGGTTCGGTGTACATCAGAGCCGAACTCGCCGTGGAGACCAGGTTGAACGTGCGGCTGAATCCAATTATACGACTTTCTCAGACATTAAACACTACAACATACATATATCATCCCTACCTTTTTCGTATACCCACTTCCGTATATCCGATATCCACTTTGGCTGACATTAGGCGCCCGATTATGCCCTACGAGGCTTGCCCCTTATCGGCCGGCTCGAGAAAGCCTCCCGCGACTAAGCAACGAAACAATAGAACAAGATCTGCACTTCCATGCACCATCGCATGTCACGATAATGTAGGATCTATTAATTGTATTTCTTTGCCAAACGAAGACGGTACTAGGAAGCCTAATATACCGGAATTTTAATCAATATTCTACCTATATTGTGTAAGTCTTTTGAAGCCATAGGGGATGTGATGCAGTCAAGATTTATTCTTCTTGTTCATTCAGGATTGCATACGGTATGGATTTCTGTCACGACGGCCCATGAAACCGAAGTACCATGTCGGCTCGCCGTGTCTGATGCGGCAAGTGTTGTCATACACGTATCTTGGGGTGTCGAGAGTCCAGTATCCAGAATTCTCGTCAGGATGATTCTGCATACGATCCAGACACAGACCATCGAAATAGCTTTCAACCTGTCTTCGTGTATGCTCCACCACACGTTTCCAGGAGCGGGAGCATGCATTACATCTCTGCGCTGATACTGGATGGCTTTTTTGTGATTTTGTCATCATCAAAGTTCTCCAGTCGATCAAGAATGTCATGGACGGAATTTTTGTGGATGTCACTATCCAGCGGCCATACCCCAATTCTATGTAGTTGCCTTATGTAGGAAAAGATATTTCACGCTGCACAGTCACAACGAGCATAATCAATAGCCACATTTACATCTTCAAAAAGAGATCTTTGAAGAGTGGCCCTGAGCCGCCCTCTAACTGTGTTCGGTTGTTCTGTTTGCGAGTTAGAACCATTTAGCCTTAGGAATGTAAGTGATTCCAACTTACGCATGACGATAGGGGGCATATGCATTGGCTCAAAAGATGGCGAGCCTGTTGGTGTCATTTCTGAGATATGACCTGTCGTGTTGTAGACGAGTCTCCTTGACACGTGCTGGAATGCTTTTGCATGATCAAAGAAATGGCAAGGAAATAGAAGCTGACGATTGAAATTCAATCCTCCCATCTTGCGGGGTTTTCCTGGTCAATCCATTTGATCCATTGTGCGAACCAGCCCACCTGCTTCTTGGGATCCAGTTGATACTTGTTGCAGGCCTTGATTGTGTACCAGACATCTGCAACAAAGACAGCCTCTGGCTTGGTGTCCACTCCATGAATTTCCCCTAACATCACTTCCATGCCTTTGATCGTGTCACCTCTGAGAGTGGGATTGTGATTTCTGGATCCTTCCCACCGAGATGAGAATATTCTTTCAAAGTATGGACGGCTTAGGATAAGTTTTGAGCGATCAACATGAAACAAGGCTGTCTTCGTTTCATTTTCATCGTTCTCGCTCGGCTCTTCAATGACAATGAGTGTCACATCCCTCGGTGTTGCGAACAAGAATCCCATGTTGGATGGGAAATTCGAGAGGCAAATAACGATGAGTAGAGCTGATATGGTTGAAGGCAGAGGCTCGAAAAGAAAGAAAGAGAGAGAGAGAGGATGAAGCAAGAGAAGAGGTGATGTCGAAGATGTGGTGCCGAAGAGGGAAAGACCTGAGGTAAGGAAGCAGCTGCCCACCTGCCTGCAAGAGCATCTAAACCACTTTTCCTCTTCCAGATGTTTTCTTCATCCTCTCTTCCACCAGGAAAGAACTCTGAAACCGAAACAGATATTGAAATGTCTGTCTCTGATCCTTTGCTAGACAGCTATAACTGTCCCGCATTTCTACGATGCTGCAACGCGTACAGAGAGTACCTTGTCAAGACTGAGGCCAGGGAACTCAAGCTCCCACTTTACACGACGGCAAGTCTATATGAGGAGAATTAACTGAGGAAACTTTCACTAATTGTGTTAACAGAATTCTGCTGGTGAAATCATTGTGTACCATGGCGAGGTCTATTGTCGCGTACCGGGATGTAAACACAACCATGTCAGTGCATTTATTCTAAGGCTTTCCGAATTGGCTATTGATTGAATGCAGGTGGCTACCTCTGCGACTAACAACCTTCGTCAACACCTCACCAGGCATGGCCTACACCTCCCGACGAGTGCCACGGGTCGCTTGACGCAGGCTAGGAAGGATGCCGCCATTCAGTGGTACAACTCCCTGTTTGAGGCTGAAGAAGATGGTGACGACGAGAACAGCGATGAGGACGACGATGCAGAGGATGACCATGCGGGGGATAACCGTGCAGAGGAAGACGATGAGAAAAATGCGGAGGAAGACAACGAAGACTACGACGAGGATGACGATTGAGAGGATGAAGATACTGCGGCAGACTAAAATCTCCCTTTTGGCAGATGTTGCCTCTTTCTATGTCGCCATTGAAAATTGCCGCATATGCACTGAGCTCATAAGACATTTGACCATCGAATGAACTGGATCAACCATTCAATACCATACGTAACTAATTTAGGATGGCCCTGACCTCGGCAGGGCAGGTGTGGGCTTCACGGGGCTAGTAGGGTAATACAAGAAACTCTAGGGGTTATATGCATAGCATATGTAATTCAATATTATACAAGAACACACAAAGCCGATATCCCAAAGAAACCTTGAGAGAGAGAACCTAGGTCAAGATAGGTAACCTGGAGCTTAATTACTATCCAATTTCAAGTTGGCTGGTAACCTAGTGATAGCACAGACAAGTGTTCCAAGGATAGAAACCTACGGCATAAACACCGAAACGGTTCTTTGCGTCTCTAGTCTATGTTTATCTAAACATGCAGATGATGAATATGGCTAACTGCATGAGGAAAGCCACGAAAAGATCCATCCATGTCTTGTCAGCTTAATTTAGTTTGTTACACAGTCAACTATCAACTATCAATATTCTATAGTATGGATATTGGATCCTTCTGGAATAGAGCATCAAGATCGTTCACTTTTACGCTAGAATATTCACAGTCTAAAATGTATACATAGAAACTAGTGATAATAATGCTTTTGTTTGTTTTGAACTTTTCCTTAAATCTCATATTCCTTTCAATGTGATCAAAGGGATTTGTAGTATTTCTGAAAAAGCCTCTATCATCGAGAGAACAATTTCCAACCCTGTCTGACATGTTTTTAGAGTCTCTTTGTGCTAAGTGTTAGTGATTTCCTTTGAGGTCATTATTGTGTATGCTTAGATAAGGATTTGAATATTATAGAAAATATGGGGTTTAGCTCAACATTGTTGAATGGAATCAGATCTATTGATATACTTCTATATAGCCCCAATAGCTATTGTAGAAGTAGATGTGGGATATAAATAGGGAGATCCCAAAAGACAGCTGAATATAAAACCAGCCACAGCCCAAATGGTCCACACAAAGAAACAATCGTGCTAGACATAATGCAACTCTCAATCACCAGCCCAAACAATGAATGGTTATTCAAGTTTGAATGAGAAAACCGCGAATTAAACAAAGAGTTGCCTATTCATTGTTGCAGTGTTGCCTTCTTCGCCATGTATTTAAGCTCTCAAGACACCGAGAAAGACGGAGATTCCCTTGAGTCTCTTGAAATCCACTGATCTGATATTAAAACCATAAAGATGTTCGACCAATTGGTGCTGGGAGCCGTTTTTGCCGGCCTCAGCAGCATTGGCATCTGGCATTCCATTCCGTTGACCGGAGTCACTCCTTCTAACTCTTTCTTCTGGCGGAGTCTCAGCTCTTTCGAAATTGCGTATACCATTCACAGCTTGCGCAAAGTTCACCCTCTAGTCTTCCCCGATCACGACGCAATCTCACAATACGATCTCCTTCTGCAACTTTCACTCGATGCTCAACAGTACGAGAATGCCAGGCTGGCCCTGCAAAACTCGGCTGAGGCAGTATCACTACACATCGACAACCGGGGAGTCACAACGACAATGTTAGACCTAAGTGCCAAAGCGATGCCCGCCCCGTTCTATTTGAACAGCAGCTCGGCAACGGAGCTCAGCTACCAACTGCAGCAGTCCAACTCAGCCCAGAGTAACACGCTGTATTTCACTGTCATGGCGATTCTCATTCTTATTATTCTCGGAATACAGATAATGGGCTTTGGGATTACGGGTAACATCAAGCAGCACGTCGAGGACCTGCAATACGATTACATTAACCAAATGAGCGGCATACAACAACAATTCGGTTTCTTGATGTCAGAGATCCGAGACTTTCGACGAGAAAATGAACAAATACGGCCTGTTTTCGTTCATCTGGCAGAATCCATCACAAACTGCTCGGCCGATCTCCAACATTGTATGTTGCATCTTGTTGGTCTGATGGAAAGCAAATACACGTCCGGGATGATCGACATTGAGTCCAAATTGGATGAGGTTAGTAAACAACACCAAAATCTGATGAGAAATACTGAAAGTTTCCCTCAGATTCCGAGACAGTTGGCTTGGCTTAACATATTGATGGCGAAGAACATGTCCAGCGACCTACCTGAAGGATTGGACCCGCCCGATTTGGATTTTAGCAAGAGCCCTACCCCTGAGCAGATGGATGGAGGTTACAATCGCAACATCGCAGGAAATCCTAACGAAATCCCCAGATTCAAGGGAAGCCCGGGGTTTAAGAAGGGAAAAGGAGTTCAGCGCAATGGTCAGGACCAGGGCATGTGAAGATTCATTTCATATCTGCATAGGAGATTTCATGTTCCTTTCTCTGAAAATTTAATTGATGTCACGGTTGAAGACCGAAGAGTTCAAAGTTCAATCGATTGAATATTTCATTATGATTATATATGATGCCTTTTGTAAGCGACTGACAATCATTACGTGGTTTCTTCAGTAAGATACTTGCGACAAGCAGTCTTCAGCATGTTGATGCGTCTCTGTGTGTGAATGAAGACTTCTCGGTACATATCCAGACTCTGCTGGACGACCTCCTGTCGAGTTTTAGTGCCCGAGCAAATCTCAACCATTCTCAATTCCATCTCTTTGCGAAGGAACGGCTTGCTGAGAGACACACTATTAGGGAGACCCTCGACAACATTGTCATACCCTTCCACAAGGGCAACACCCAAACGGGTCGGAATGAACTCCTGTACTGAGCTGCGGCCGCTGCCTCGTTGGTTTATGGCGACGTATTCACGTTCTTTGATCTTGGCAATATGCTCTGCCATTGTGGCATCTGTACCAATCCCGTTGGCATCCATCAGGCCAATGAGCTCGGGCTCAGTCAGATAGTTCGGAGCAGTTGTTTTGCCTTCGAAAATATTGGCTTCTGTGGGCTCAAAGAGCTCCCCTCGTTCAAAGTTGGGAAGTTGCTGGCTGCTTTCCCACTTATCATAGACGTATACATCCAAGTAATTTCTCTCCAACACGATAAGACCATTGGTGTGGAAGGATTCGTCGCCATATTGAATTTCAATCTCTGTGCTCTGACCCTTCGCGTCATCAGAACAACAGGCGAGGAATCGACGGGCAACAAATTCATAGACCTTCTTTTCATTGGCATTCAATTGATTTGATGAAACCCAGCTGACAGGATGAATAGGTGGATGGGCTTTGTCATTGTGGCGACCAGAGCGAGGAGTCTTGAACTTGCCATCAATAAGTCTACATAGGAATTAGTGTTCTGTATGAAAGGCAAGTCCAATAAGCTTACTCTCGAGCGTATTGGCCCCAAGAGCTGTCGGGGTATTGCTTTTCGATCAGTTTTTTTAGATCAATTGCTTTGTCAAATTGATCTGTCTCGGTTCTGGGATAGCTGATGAATCCCTTGGTGTAAAGTGCTTCTGCTACCTTTGAGCTTGTTAGATATCATCCACATCCAATACAAGAGTTGTTCCCTACCTTCATGATGGTCTGACTGTCCAAACGAAGAAATCGACTGCCCATCATCTGTAGATCGACCGTGGTCAAGGGCAACGGCCGCCATTTGCTTGTAGGTTTCTGGTTCACTTTCGTGACTTTGGCTTGCTTTGCAACCAAACACCGCTCTAACATCATCGTCACAACTGCTCGGTCAAATAAATGTACTCGCTTCCAGAGAAAGTTGACCTTCTTGCCTTCACGGCTGAGTATGACCTTGATGCCCCAAAATGTTTCTGGCTTGAAATTCTGGACTCTCAAGTATCGGTCGACAACGAATCCCAAAGTAGGAAATTGACAGGATCCTAACTTGTCAGTTGGGCTACTTGTATCTGTAATGAGCGACAACTTACCATAGCTAATAACCTTTTCCTTCAAGGCTGTCACCACTGTTTGTAGCTGTAGAGTCTGTAGGCGGGTGAATGCAGCGCCGATTCGAAGATCCAGCTCGATTCTGGCAGCCACAGCACTGGCCTGGTATTCGTCAAGGTTGACTGGTTCTAGAGCAGCCCGACGAACATGTCTATCCTTGGATCAGTTTGAGTAGACACTAGGAAAAGAATCAACATTACTTACGCGCTTTCTGTGTTGCTGAACTTGGCTCGCTTAACTTCGATCCGAGCATTTCCGGCTTTTGCCTGAGTACGGACTTCAGAACCGATATGCTCACCTTCGCGATCACAATCGGTCCAAATGAATAGGGCTTTAGAGTACTTGGCTTGGTTGCGGATGTTCTCCGCAATTGGTAGCTTGTCCTAGTGAAGACATCAGCATGCGGTCAAGACAGCTGCTGGAAATTTCCCACCTTGTCAACAGTCTCTTGCACAGGAGCCTCGAATAGTGACCCTGGAGGACAGGACATCCAACCTTTGTACTGGCGGTCAAAGTCCAGGCCGGTCAGATGGCCCACTACACTGGTCATGGTGACCGAGCAGTTGCCCCAGGCACCACCGAAATTGAACTCAAATTCATAGTTCTTCACATATTGATTCCCACGAATAGCATGCTATGCTTGATGTTAGCTGGATTCATCGAAATTATTTAAAATAGAACCCACTGTCTGAAAGGCACCTCCCGACAAGTGAGTGGCCACCGCGCGGGCAATGGCAGGCTTCTCGGCCACACACAGAATTTTGCGAGCCATGATGAGCCCCAATCTAGATCATATGGAGTTCATCGTGGTGGTGGCCTTGAATGTCCTAATGTCGATCACATCTTGTTCTGGATGGCTCGGACGCGAAGAGATTGGGTGCCTGAGACGCGCTTTATGCCTGAGGCATTTATTCCCTTTTAGGCACGCTATTCCAAATCAGGAAACTACTGGCCAACATACCCGTCCAACTCCACCGGAGCAAACGGTTTTGTTTTCCTTTCCTCCTGCGGCATTTTGATCCCATATAGCACAGCAATGGTGTCTTTACCACTTCCCCGTTTGGAGTCCCTTTTGGATTATACCTCGTTTCAGCTCACCGTTCTGCCCTACTTGTCTCAGTTGCAATGGCTACCCGACAGCTTGCGCGAAGCTGGTACCGATGTGTATAGCTTGCGAGCTGTCTATCTAGCTACCAACCCGCTTGTCTCTGCGCTTGCTTTCGGTGGAGCTCTAGCTGGCTTGCTTTTCATCGCGGCCGAGATAAACCGGAACTATTCACAAATAGACCGGTTTTGGAGCATTCTGCCCGCGCTGTACAATGTGCATTTCGCCGTCTGGGCTCGTTTGTCCGGTATCCAGACCCAGACTTTGGATACAATCGCTGCCGTCACTGTTGTCTGGAGTGTGAGTTGTCTCTTCTTTCCCAGCCTCTACATATGCTGACTCGAATCATGGAATAGGTTCGCTTGACTTTCAACTACTGGCGCAAAGGAGGATACTCAATTGGCTCGGAAGATTACCGCTGGCAGATTGTGCGCTCTAAAGTGAACAATAGCTTTGTTTTCATGATTTTCAACCTCGGATTCATTGCAATCGCTCAGTCGCTGCTGCTCCTTCTCATCACCGCTCCCACCTACATTTTTGTTGTCGCCGCCTACAACCAGGGAACCGACACCTTTGGCCTTCCTGACTTGGCCTTCTCCCGTGCTGCATTTTTCTTCGTCATTATTGAATTCTTCGCCGACGGGCAGCAGTGGCAGTTCCAGTCTGCTAAGAAGGAGTACCAAACCAACGCGCGTATTCCCGAGCCCTACAAGGACCAGTTCTCCGCCGAAGATCTTGAGCGGGGCTTTGTTGTCAGTGGCCTCTGGTCTTGGTCGCGACACCCCAACTTTGTTGCCGAGCAGGCCTTTTGGTTGACCATGTATTTGTGGTCCTGCTACCGCACCGAGACTTACTACAACTGGGCCGGTCTGGGTGCTTTGGGATATCTTGCTATTTTCCAGGGAAGCGTGCGTCTAACTGAGGGTATCACTGCTGGCAAATACCCCGAGTACAGCGACTACCAGGCTCGTGTTGGCAGGTTTATCCCTCGCCTGTCTGTCAAGGCGAAGAATACCAAGAAGACTAGCAAGAAGAGCACTTAATGTGTTGGTTGATATATAAGCAGAGGATGATGAGGTTCTTAACCATATGGGTGGACATGTTTTTCCTGTGTTTTTCTCCACTTTCTCACCATTTTACCTCAATCCATCGATTTTGACACAATGCACGCTATTTTTAATATGCTCAAGCACTAATCATTCACTGCAACAGAACATGAGATATGTATTGACAGGACTTTTAAGACATGATCATGCACCACAACTCTTCGTGTAACGAGCAACTTGCATGCCTGCTTAGATGATTGGGAAGAGTCCTCTGAAAGTGCATATTGCAGCATTCATTCTCTCTTTATCTTCGAATTTTCCCACCAATTCAGAGACCCTAGCCCCCCACTCCGGGCCAAGATTCACCAAGATGAACTGGCACCGTAGCCATGTAGCTCCATACCCCCTCAAGTGGTTGCGATTCTTTCCGCGGCCATTGTGTTTCCCTCCATCGCCACCATCTTTCTCTCCGCGGTTACATTGAATCGCTCGGCTGCACAACACCATCTTCTCTATGTATTCTTTCAATGACGCACACTCGTCATGCCTGATATCCGATACCCGTGATATCACGTAGGCCCTTGACCGAACGCATTTTCATGGGGACGTCTCTCCAATACGTTCTCTCCTGAAATTGCCACGTCTCCCGTGCATCCAATTCCTCCCGAGTCTATAGTTCCTGTCGTATGAGCTGTGACACGTTGCTGAAAACCATCATCCAAAGATTCAGGTTAGACTAGATGCGTTGTGTGCTTAAGCTGATGTGTATCGCCTCCTCAACATCAGCATCAGTGATCCACAATCCACCGCACTGCTCAGGGTTCTTCATCCGGCCCGTCCAATCCTTGTAGTTCTCCGGGCCGAGCAGCTTTTCTTTCAAACAATCCGGGCTGTAGAATTGGGATATTGTGTCGTGCGAAAGCTGATAGGGGTGTTCCATCGTATGCCAGTATTGATGAGACTGCTCCAGTTTTATCATCCTATATGGAGTAGGGTAGGTGTCTGAGGCCAGGGTCTGTCTATTTTGAGATACAGCAGTCCTGCTAGATCCGCCGTTGCCAGGTTGGAAACAGCCGGGCTGCTTTCTCCTTGCTGGATCATGCCAAACACAATCGAATGCACGGATAGCATCGCTCATCCACTCCGTCTCGACTGCGGGGCTGCTCTTGTTGGAACTTGTGCCATCACTGAGTAAATCCCGACCATTCTCGTCTCGAAGTGCAGGGATACGTAGCATCTTCGATGAATCAGGATCCCAGCCTGAAGCTCTGATAGATGAACTATTGCCTGAGGACAGGAAAATGTTGATTTAATTGGCGCTCTGGGGCTAGGTGTTTCCCCTTGGAGTGCAATGCTCTCTCGTATGAACTTAACTGTAAGGTTTGTGGGATTATACTAAATTGCTAGTAGATTGAGTGCCATAAATGTGTCCTTGATCAGTCTTTAGCTCTTTCATGCATATAGACGTCGTCTTCATAGCCAGATCGTTTGTCTTCTTTGCCTTGAGTCTCTTTGGGGGTTTGTATGCACTACCTGTATGCACCAGTCTTTATTCGCAATGAAGTTTTGAGGGTCAACTTCCTTGGATGGGTGTTTTGAGACATACCTCATAGGGAATAATTGGGGATAAAGTGCAACACATTTGCATGTCTCGGATGTGTTGACTGTCATCAATGGAGATTTTGATAACATATTAGCCAATGGGTCTGATATAACGTTATTTGGTGAGTTTTACACGAGTCATTCAACAATATTTACGCGTAAGAGACATGAACTTCCAATCTAAGACATGTTTCAAAATAACTCCCTAATATACACTCAGTACAAGTTGTACAGATCCAACTGGACATGGAAATGGTCGAAGGGGGCAAAGGAGAGAGAAAATAAAAAAGGAGGCGATCTTCTTATTGAGCACGAGGGAGGAAAGGGAGAAAGGTGTTGTGGATGAGAGTAGACAAAAAGAGAGGATGAGAGAGGAGAAGAAACGGGATATGCGATCGATAAATACAAAAAGGAGAGAGGCTACAGTGATATAATGCCTCCTAAAATTGAACCAAAACCAAACCAAAGCGCAGGAATGCAAAGAAACACAATCTCCTAATCTATAAAGGAGGAATAGGCGTCTCGTCCCGGCCATCCTTGCCAGAGGTTTGTTCGGGGTTCTGGTGGTCCGGTGGGGCAATGGTCTGGCCGCCCTTGCCATCAAAGTACTTGGCGAATTCGCCAGACTCGGGGTAGGGGCGCGGGCCAAGGAGACGGATGAGGTCGTCACGTCCAAGAACCTCCTTAGACAGAAGTTCCTCGGCAACAATACCAAGCTCCTTCCGCTTCTCGGTCAGGAGGTCGCGGCACTGCTTGTGGGCCTCATCAATGATACGGCGCACCTCCAAATCAATAGAGCGGGCAGTATCCTCGGAGAAGGGCTTGTGGAGTTGTTGCTGTGCGTCATCCTCGTAGTAGATGTAACCAAGCTTGGACGACATGCCGAACTTAGTCACCATGGCAGTAGCCATGCGAGTGACCTTGTTGAAGTCATCACTAGCACCGCTAGTCACGGTTTCAAAGTGCAGCTCTTCGCTGACACGACCACCTAGAGTCATGGCCATGCGGTCCATCATCTGGTTGACGTTCATCAGATATGTGTCACCGCCAGCCGGGAGGTATTGGGCATAACCCAGTGCACCTTGTCCGCGAGGAATGATCGAAACCTTCAGCAGTGGGTCCGCCCACTTGAAGTACCAACCGCAGATAGCGTGGCCAGCCTCGTGGTAGGCGACGGTTCGCTTCTCCTCGGGAGACAGGACAAGGGACTTCTTCTCCAATCCACCAATGACTCGTTCAATGGCTTGCTCGAAGTGTCTCATGACGACCTTGTCTGCGTTTTCACGGGCAGCTGCAAGAGGAAATTGTTAGCTTTGATGAAACACAACGAAGAGATTATGCATAAAAACTTACCAACAAGAGCTGCCTCGTTCACACAGTTGGCAATATCAGCACCAGCGAAACCGGGAGTCAGAGCGGCGAGTCTGCCCTCCAAGTACTCCAGGTTCTCGTCGGTGACAATCTTCTTCAGGTAAACACGGAAGATTTGCTTACGACCGTCCATGGTAGGTCGGTCAATGGAGATGTGTCGGTCGAATCGTCCGGGACGCATCAGGGCCTTGTCGAGAACATCCGGTCGGTTGGTACCGGCCAGGACAACCACTTGCTCAGAGGTATTGAAACCATCCATCTCGGTGAGAATCTGGTTGAGAGTGCTTTCACGCTCATCGTTTCCACCACCAACGTTCGACTTTGCTCGAGACTTTCCAATAGCATCGATTTCATCAATGAAGATGATGCAAGGGGTGTTCTTCCGGGCATTGGCGAAGAGATCACGGACACGAGAGGGGCCAACACCGACAAACATTTCGACGAATTCGGAACCACTGACACTGTAGAAAGGCACACCAGATTCACCAGCAGTGGCCTTAGCAAGCAATGTCTTACCAGTACCGGGGGGACCTGAAAGGATGGCACCACGGGGAATCTTTGCACCCAGCTTCTCGAACCGCTCGGGTTGCTGGAGGAAACTAACAAATTCCATGATCTCAACCTTGGCTTCGTCCATGCCCGCAACGTCGGAGAACTTAATCTTGATATCGGTCTCGTGGTTGAAGCGCTTGGCACGGCTCTTTCCGATGCCAAAGATTCCACTCTGGCCACCGGCACCGCCACCGGCACGCCGGGACATCCAGAAGACACCACCAAGGAAGAGAAGAGTAGGAGCCAATGACATCAAGACACCGCCCCAAGGGGTTTCATCGTGATAGGCGACAGGAATACGTTCATGCGAGGGAATACCGAGTTCATACTGAGCTGCCTCGATCTTCATTTCGAAGCTGTCGACAGAACCAATACTGAAGAAGACATAGGAGGCAGGCTGGCCATTTGAATCGGCTTGAGTTGCAGCTTCGCGGTTGAGATCAACCCGAACCTTGGTGTGGTTCAAGACGGTCAATTTCTCCACGAGGCCCTTCTCAAGGTAGTTCGCCCGGAATTCTTGCCAAGTGATTTCCCTGCCCCCACCTTCACCAGGGAAAAAGCTGCGGTAGGCGTAGTATGTAACGAGAGCGGTAACGAAGAATGAAACGGGATCGAAGCGGAACTCGAGGACCTTGCCCATGTTCGGGGGCACCTTGCCCTTCTTGTCACCCTGTTGCTTCTTCTGCTGTTGCTGGTCATTCTTAGCACCTTGCTTTTCCTTGGTATCCTTTTCGTCCTTAGGATCCTTGTCTTGCTTGGGATCCTTTGGTGGTTGTGCGTTGGGTTGCTGTCCGCCCTCCTTTGCAGATTGCTGTCCTTGTGGTTGTTGCTCCGAGTCCTTATTGAAGCGGAGGCTAGATTCTTCGTTGCTTTTGGACGCATCACTGCGTTTTTCAAAGGGGGTGCGCAAGTCTGCGATACCGCGCTTTGCGATTTCTTCCTGTCTAGCTAGACGCTCATCAGCATGGTAAGCCGAGACTTGCCACAGGAATCGCGTCATCTTAACGCGATCCATTAATGACGGTTCTTGATTAGGATCGATGTGCGCCCTGACTTCCGGTGGAAGTCCATTGCTCATGAGGTAGTTTCGGACATTGGTACGTCGCTCCACGTCCATATCCACCAGCCATTCATCCACAATTTTCAACTCAGCTTCAGTGAGAACACACTTCGGCTTCTTTATTTGATCATTATTGCGGCCATCTGATGTGTTGTTCTGGCCGTTGTTGTTGGGGGGTGTCGGACCTTGCGTGGAGTAGGCTCTAGCGCGGCTTGATAAAACCAGAGATGAGAGTCTTGATGGTCGCAGAAGTACGGAAGCCAGTCCCGTACGACCGGTAGATTCCGCGGCTTTCCTCGAGTAACGAGCGAGATTGCCTGGCCGTCGGAGTAAGGTAGCCATGGTCGAGGAATGGGAGCCCCGAGGGCTGCGAGGGCGGGGGTAAAAGTGGTCAATCGAGTTTAAAGGTGACGGATGATATCACAATCCATCAAGATCAGGCGTGAGGCGGGATTGAGCTAGGAGTTGAGAAGCTCTGAGGCATCCAGGTCCGACGTGACGCCGTGTGGTTCCAGTCGGTTCTAAATTTTCGCCGATCCGGCTGAGTCATCGGCAGTGCTAGCCCCGGGGAGCACGGAAGGAATTAGCTTAAAGCCGTGAGCCCGTTTCAAGACAGTTGTTTGTAAATTCCGTTATTGAACTAAATTGTCTAAGATTATTTGGATTTAATTGGAGATCTGTCTGTATATATTCCTATGAATAGGACCCGCCTTTGCGCCATTCGCTGCGTAATGGAAACCCATAATTATTCTGGTCACCCTATGGAGACCTAGGGATGGTTTCGGAATAACAAGAGGAGCGCTTCAATATACAAGATGTGTGGAGATAGTTTAGTATGGAGAGATAACACCGGAAACAATAACCCCACCGTCATGAGTTACATAAAAGGTAGATGAAGGGGATTTTGGTCCATCATACACCCATAATCACTGCCCAGGCAGCGGCCCGCCGGGGCCAGCTCCTTCAAAAGGAGGAAAATTGGTGGACATATCCGCCCAGTCCCACTCGATTGTCATTGGCATCTGCCAGAGATCTTGTGGGACAAATGGCTGCTGGAATGGTGCCATACCGGGGCTGGCACTGAATGGGTGTTGGTCAGAGAATCCAACACTAGCCATTTGATCAGGACTCAGCATGTCTGAGAACTCCTGCCCGATGCCAGACATGGCATGGATATTACTTGGGAGGTTTTCTGGGAGGTTATTTGTTGGGGGCATCGTAGTCCCCGGGAATGGTCCTCCCGTGCCGGGCGAGTGGGCGGCAGGCGGAGGGTTGGTAAACATGGAGGGAGAGAAGGATGCGGAGGTGGGCGGTGGTTGTGTACGTTTGGCGGAGGGTGAGGTTGTGGACTGCTCGTCGGCTGCGCCTGTAGAGTCTTCTGCATTCTTGCGTTTCTTTCGCGAATGAGACTCTCTTTCAGTTTTATCCAAGACCACCTTGGCAATTCTCTCGAATTCGCCACAAAGACCTAGCATACGCTTGATGCTGCCATTGGATTCATCGGAGACTAGCGTGGACAGGAAATTGACTACCACGCTCATTAATTTAATATCGGATCGAGCGCGAGCATCGTTAGGGTTCTGGAGGATGTTGGCGAAAATAGTTACAAGGGCAGACACCGGGTAGTAGAGGATCAGCCTGATATCTAGTTAGCAGCTGTTTGTTCCCACAATTCTATGAAACGTACCAAACACAAGCAAAGTCTCCTTGCGGGATATACTTGATCAGATTAATCGATGCTCTGGCAGCAGTGACACACAAAACTGCCGACAAGAACACCCTAGGGTTCAAGGGCCGTGCATTCAACCCTTGTATGGCATAGTTGGACAAACGGCTTGTCCAATACCCGTGATGAACCGACATCCGATGAATGGTGGTCAAGCAATTGTAGTAGGCAAAATGTAGAACGACCATGTGGATGATGAGGGGGGTGTAGGTAGCTTGGATGTCGTACTCGGGGCGGAAGTCGATAGGAATGTTGTCTTTCCAGTCTTCCAACTCCTTGTCAAGTTCACCGATGGTATTGAGCAATTCACCGTCTGATTGTTTCGATGCTTTGGCAGAATAAAGTCGCTTGTATACTCTGCTTTGAATAGTGGCAAATTCACAGAATGCCCGGAATAGATTGAACTTGCTTCTACCGTCAGATAATGGCACATTTCCAACATTATCTGGAGGATCTTCGCTTGGCAGCTCGACATTCATATCATCGTCATCTTGTACTGGTGGTCGACCAGAGCGTAGACAGATGCTAAGGAATCGGTCAGTATTCAAAGGAAAGGTATGCGGGCGCCTAGAAGCAGGTCTTACTCTTTGTCAAGAAGATAGGCGATCCAGAACACTCTCTTTCGCTGCTCAACTTCGACCACGTTAAGGCCAAAGCTAGAACCACGTTTGTGTAGACCAATGCTGTGGGAAAGTCGAATCGCCGCAGCGACTAAAAAGAAAGCAGGTTGTGGGTTAGGGGTTCCCTGAAGGAAGAGTGACTAGAAGATTATGTTAGATAAAGCCACCAAAACCAGAGTAGGACAACTTTACCATTCCCAATAGCGCTTGCACGCTCAATAGGTCAGTGTTACGCATTGTGAGCTCAGTCAGAACTCCCATAGCGTTCTTCAAATAAAGCCAAGCTTTTTTGTCTTCTTCGTGTGGCACTAAGTTACTCATGACCCGAAGCCTGTGAGAAATCGCCAGGACAACATTTATACTTGCCCACCAGCCCGAACCCTCGTAGGGATCGCGCGAGTATTGCCGCTCCACCAGGTGCATGAATGTCGCTTCGTGGAACAATGGGAACATGCAATTGAAGTTTTCAAAGAAGTCCTTGAATAGAGAAAGAGCTTCCTCCTTTGGCGGTAGAGGCTTGAACACACGTCTTGCGAAAATATCGCTGAAGATCTCGGGTTTCCAGTACATCCACTTATTGTCATCAACATATGCCGACGATATCATGTCCTGGAAGGATGTATCGCCAGTTTTCTCATTGACCCATTGAATACCCTTTGGAGAGAATATAGAAAATCCAGATGAGGATCCTGTGAAAATGTTAACAAACTAGATCAACCCGGTTGCACAAAAAAAAGCCTACCAATATACCGAGTCTCCCCGCAGTTGTTTGTCACCAAAGAACACATCATATCCGACAGCGCCTCGACTTCGGTCTCCGACTTTTGCGACTCTGGTGATGTAGCGGCTGTCTGAGGACTGGAGTTGGAGTCCATACGAGGTGTGGTGTGGTGGGAGCTTGGGGCCTGTTGCGCTGCAGCTGCTTGAGCCAGGAACATGCTGGAGCTTTTTGCTGCGTTCATCGCATTTGTTCGATCCGCGAGCCGCTTCTCCAATGTTCCGAGATCCGTCTTGCCGCCATCGTCTTCTGACAACAGACCCGACAAACGCAACAACGACTCCATCCGGCCGAGTCGGTTTTCCAGACCTTCGATGTATTTCGCTCTATGTAAGAGATAACCGAGTCAGATACAGAACTTTATATGCAATGAAGTATACAAGTATACATACCCTTTAGGGGGATTCCGCTTCTTCTCCACTTGTGTGAAAATGCATTCCGTCTTGTAGTTGATGCAGTGTGAGCATTTTGGCATTTTTCCATCGCATTTAATCTTCTTCTTCCGACACATATCGCACGCCTGTTCGCTCATTAGATATGTTCTCAATCTCTGTAATGGGTAATGATCCTCACCCTCGCGATCCTCCGTCTCTTCGCATCGTTGGTCTCGTCCCCCGCGCCTACTGACAAATCATCGTACATAGACCCCGCCTGCATCTGAGGATGGTCGTAGTTAAAGAGTTGTGGGGTGTGGTTCATCATAGGCGGGTCGAAGCCCATGCCGTCGCCGTCCCCCAAGCCATCCATTTTGCGTTTGAGGGGCAACGGAAACTCCACGGAGTAGAGGTAATGGCGGTGATAAGTAATCGATATTGCGGGGCCTTTTCTTTTTCACCCCCTGAGATGAGAGAGAATGCGCTATGATTTATGAAAATGAATGACGCATGGGAAGGATAGAAGCTTTTTTTTTCCCAAGGGATTGAACACAAGCACCTCAAAAAGTTTGGGACTTTAGGTAAGAGATGAGTCAACCACACGTGAGATGCTGATTGATATGATTTTAACGTTAGACGTAAGAGGATAAAACACTATACGGAGTTACGCTATACGAGTTGCTGCCTTGAAGATAATTTGGCATGACGGAACCCGCGAAACCCGACCACCGAGTGGACGGTCGATTTCGTCCGATCCGGAGAACAGGGGCATTGGCATCCGTTCAATCTCTTCCAGTCCACCCCACCCTTAACGCCGATCAAACACCATTTTTCTTTCCGTGTAGGATAACTATTGCGAAAAGGGTGTGTGGCGTTTTATATGGGGTAGGACGGATCCTATGCCAGGCCGTATCACCGTACGAGTCTTGGGCCTACGTGTTTCTTACTGTCCAGGGGTTGAGCTGTTTGGTGACTAAAAGTCGCTAAGATCGACAATTTCGCAGCATGATCTGATATGATGCCGGGGATTGCCGGTTCGATGCCAGATGGAATAGTAATATATAAAAGTACATTCAACGAAGAGCGGCGATCTCGTAGGGATATGTGAAAACAGTACATATAATACAACAAGGTTCGTAAAGAGCAGTCCTGTTCCTCCGATCTTGTAAATGCCAAACCAACGCCACGCTATGTGCCCAAAATATGATGACCGGTTGGTCAATATCGAGACCTAAAAATCGCTTTTCCATCGATGCCCAAAGGCCATTGCCGGAGAAGAGAGAAATCAAAGTCACACTGGCAAAGTCTTAAACATGTTTGTCGAGGAATTCCTTCGCCTCGTTAATTTTAGTCGCCAAGTATGGGCTGCCGCCGCGATCGGGGTGGTTGAGCAACATGAGCTGGCGGTGGTTCTTGCGGATCTTCTCCTTGGTCAAAGTTCGTTCGCTAAGTAATCATGTCAGTTCTGGCATATCAAAGGTTTGTAGCTAGCACATACGCAAGTTGTAGAATCAGGGACGCTTCCCGACGGTTCATGCGCTGCTCGAACCCTCTGTGATGTGACGTTAGTCAATATTCTATATAACCATAAGACGATAAAATGTCCACGAACCCCTTATAGAATGCCTTTCCGGCAGCGTTCAAGCCTCCCTTGGAGCGGCGGTAGGCGACCAGACCGGCGCGGCCCTGTAGACAGTGAGTTAGTCCCGTGCTGCTGAACAAAGAGCGTTTTCACTCACCAAAAAGGCAGTTGTGGCAATGCCAAATCCAATAGCGAGAGCAGAGGTCATTTTGTAGTTTGAGAAGGATAGAGTTGCGAATCGAGATCAAGTCAGTTGGACCGGGGAATGGGCGAAGAGGCGCCGGGATAGAAAAGTCAGCGCGGGTGCCCCCAAAAGGGTTTAGCGTGGTCTGCTCCACCATTCAGGCCCGAGCTACAGAAAAAGTTTCTTGCGACTCAACGAAGACATAACCAACACCACACCACAAACATGCGGTAAGTTTTGCTGTTAATTTTTGTCTGTACCTGTTCTACGGAACGCTAATATTCATTTTTTCTGCAGTGTTGAAACTTGTCACTTCTGTTCCCGCCCGGCCTTCCCGAGTAAGGGCATCACATTCGTCCGCAACGATGCCCGACAATTCCGCTTCTGTCGGTCCAAGTGCCACAAGAACTTCAAGATGAAGCGTCAGCCCCGCAAGCTTAAGTGGACCAAGACTCACCGCGCCGCCCGCGGAAAGGAGATGATCGTGGATTCGTCGCTTGTCCTGTCCCAGTTCGCCAAGAAGAGAAACGTCCCCGTCAAGTACGACCGCAACCTTATGGCTGCTACCATCACTGCCATGGAGAGAGTGGAGGAGATCAGAACCCGCCGCGAGCGTGTGTTCACGAAACGCCGCCTGGCCGGCAAACTCGCCCGCGACCGCCAGCGCGAGGCGGACCGCAAGGTCGTCAACGAGGGCGAGCACCTCATTCGGAAGGAACTCCGCGAGCGCGAGGAGGGTCTCCCCATGGTTGCCGAGCAGAGCAAGGTTTCCAACAGAGTCCACGGCGAGGAGAGAATCCGTCAGAAGCAGAAGGCCAAGCTTTTGGTGGATGGTGGAGTGGAGGAGCAGATGGATATCGACTAAATTTTTTATCCTGGGCATCTATTTTCTTTTGTTTTATGCTTTCTCAGATACGACACGGTTCCTGCAACACGCAGATTTTCGGAGTTGGGCATGCTTTGGTGTTTTAAAAGCAATCAATGTTTTTCATCATATCTCATATCCAGTGGGCTGTTAGCCTCTTGCTGCTTGGGAGGCTAATAAAAATGTGTTTACAATAACCTATGTTACATAGGTTGCTAGTTTGCTAGTCTGTACAGTGACCAGAGTGGTCAAACGACCATAATGAGATCTTTGGAGAACGACCCCAACAAATATCCCATTTAAGCAAGCCCTACTATAACCTTCTCGTCTATAGCACCTCTCGACAACGTCCTCTTAGTCAACCCCACCAACTCCTCTGCTATAGACCGCAAAATAGCCTTGAGGCCTCAATTCTCTATAGTAGTCAATAACGATTCATAGAGTCCATACTTGGTTGTTGGAGGAGCGCCATCCCAGGAGCAAATGGCTACGCTATCATGGATCCCTGGACCGCAGCATACCCAAGAAAATATGTCCTCGATTCCATTTAGATCTGTGGATTCTAGTTATGCGACACGGTAGGTCGTTTCCTACCTTGGTCGCTACCGTCGTCACTTGGGTGGTATTGTCGCTTCCTAGCCTTCTTCTTAACCTGAACTGCCGGTCTCGACTCCAGTAGATAATACCAAGACTGAATAGTCGCAGTCTTGGTGCCTGTTATTTTTAGCTGCGCAGTTGATCATGTCGGTGGGGGTTTAGTGCCCAAAAACAAGGCTCTAGAGGGGTTACATTAAGATGTGAAGCAGAAGAACAGTAGTCACAGCCCAGGCAACAGTAACGGGAGTGTTAGTGACGATTTGACATTCGACATTCACACTTACAGGACCACGGAAGATACTTCCGATATTCGTGAACGTGAGCGAGATGAAACAGGGGGTTGCCCAAGCAGGCATGGGCTTTTGTGGCGATGGCATAAAGAATCGTGCTTGTCTCACAAACTTCCAACGTGGTAGGAATATCTATGCAGCAGAAGGTTATTGGGAGCAAACAACCGTGCATTCAGGCCCTAGGCAGCCACGCCGTCAAAAGTTCCTTTTGATACTCCGAGAGGGAGTATAATAAAAGAGGGAGAGGAGAAAGACGGACTATGTAAAGTCGGTGCCAGAAATTGCCTAAAACACCAGTACTGATCGAATGGCCAAAGTCTAGGTAGAATATGGAAGAATAATTGAGGTCGTCAGGTATACCATGAAGGAAAAGAGCGCGCGATGCAGGGTTGGAAGGGTTAAAGATAGGTAGTCCAGAACAGATAGATCGAGAGATAGCTGGCAGCTAGATGATCTGCGAGCTAGGTAAGAAATACGCATAAACGATAGAAAAGAAAAGACCATGAGGAAGTTGAGCGGTGTTCTTGTGCCGCGCTTGGTATGATCAGTAGCAAACTAAATACAGTACAAGAATGGACGGCAAGAAGATGCTTCGGGTGTGGGATGAAAAAGCGAGAGGCTAGATGGGAAAGAGAAAAAAAAGTGGTAGAGCAAGAGGTAAAAAAGAACAAAGCGCCCTTCTGGTAAGCGAAAACTCCCCTATTCGGTCATCCTTCCATATAGATCAAACCAGGTCCAATCGTAGACTGCGCCAAACACCACCTCCAATAGGAGGAGAAATGAAATTCAGAAGAAAAAAAGCGAATGCAATGGTGGAGGTTGATGACGGAGAATCATAATAGACGGAGGGGAAAGACGTAAGTGGGTATGAAGTAGACAAAAGTAGATGAGACTCATATAGACAAGGTATAGTCGCATCGAAATCATCTGCATGGAAATAAATATGCTAAACTCATGTACTGTTGGATCGTAGCAACGCCTGGTGATAATTAGCCAAGCTGTTTTTAGAGTTCGGTTCTGAACATACAGCTAACGTACCCGCTCGTCGATCATCTCTTCTTTCTCTTCCGAGGGACTGACCACACTGCCCCGGGTGATGGGACCAGAGCTTGTGATAGACCGGGAATCTACAACCGGGCGAGGGGACGGCAAGGGCTGCTGCTTTGACCGTTGTTGTGGGGGCTGTGGCTGTTGGTTCTCATTCATTGAGTAGTTAGGGTGCATTTCCCCGCTGCTCGAAATCCTAGACTCTTTGCTCTTCTCCAATAGCGACCCGCCAAGGGTAGCACATTTGAGAATAGTTTGCATCATCTGGTTTTGTTTGAGCGGCTTGGATAAGTACTCATCCATCTGGGCCTGAATACACTTCTCCCGGTCACCCAACATGGCGTGAGCAGTGAGCGCGATAATCGGGGTTCGTTGAAGCCCACTCTCGCGTTCATATTCACGGATCTTGCCAGTGGCTTCAAAGCCACCCATGACTGGCATCTGAACATCCATCAGGATAACATCATAACGACGTTTCTTGACAGCCTCGACAGCTTCCAAGCCGTTACCAACAACAAAGACGTTGTGGTTATGCCTCTGAAGAATCTTCATTGCAAGCTGCTGGTTCACGTCGTTATCCTCCGCGAGAAGAATATCGAATGAACGTGAGTTGTCGGTGGTGATCGGCGTCGACCGGCCTTCTAAGGCCGGCAGCATACCGTTGCCAAGATCAATCGGCTGACACGGGGTAGTCATGTATGAGCTGATACCAAGATCCAAAGCCGACTTCAAGCTCACACACACCAAAGGACAGACCAAAACAATCGGAATGTACTTGAACTCGTCAAACGTCCGCAAGACCCGGGCCGTGTCTACCGAGTCAACAATAATAACATCGTAGGCATGGCCTGATTCCTTGCCAGAAGGATCTTGGATCTCGGGCGGTGGAACATGTTCTTCATTCCGTACAACCAACGGCTCCAGGTCAATCTTCTTCAACATCTTCATGACGTTGGTAGCTTGAGCACCGTTCTGGCCCTTGTCGATGAACAACACGCGGTGGTTCTTGTACGGCAAGAGCTGATTGGCAATGACGTTCAAAGACTGGTCTGCGAGTTTCACCACACAGGTAAAGTGGAAGGTACTTCCATGTCCATATTCGGAAGTTACCCAAACGTCACCGCCCATCAAATTTACAAGCCGCTTGGAAATCGACAATCCCAACCCAGTGCCACCGAATCTGCGGGTGGTTGAGCCATCGGCTTGTTGGAAGGTATCGAAAATGAGGTCAAGTTTATCTTCTTCAATTCCAATACCCGTGTCGGATACTGAGAATTCGAAGGCATATTCGTTGGTCGTACATTGTTCTCTGTCCGACTTTCGGATAGTGAGCTTAACCTCACCATGCTCGGTGAACTTGATAGCATTGCCAACAAGGTTGAGAATGATCTGGCGGAGACGGAATGGATCGCCAATGACATAATCAGGAACAGTATTGTCAACTTGGTAGGTCAAACTCAAGAACTTCTCGTTGGCCTTGACGGCCAAGGTCTTGAGAGCATTGAAGACAGTGCCTCTAACGGTAAATGGAATGCTCTCGATAACCATACGGTTGGCTTCGATCTTGGAAATATCCAGAATGTCATCAATGATAGTCAACAAACTGTTCGCCAAGTTGTGTACGACGTTCAACATTTCTCGGGTGTACGGCTTGAGATCATCCGTATCCAATGTCAACTGGGTCATTCCAATGATACCGTTCATCGGCGTTCTGATCTCGTGCGACATATTGGCCAAGAACTCTGATTTGGTACGATTGGCCAGTTCGGCAGCTTCCCTGGCGGCAGTGTTTCGCTGGATACTATCCCGCAGATTGGAAACCATCTTGTTAATCTTCCGCTTCAGCTCATCCATTTCACCAGACGCGTTGACCGTGATCAACTTGGTAAAGTCACCGTCGGTGGCGGCATCGGTAATTTCACCGAAAGCACGGACTTGCGACGTCAAATTCTCGGCCATAGTATTCACGTCCTCGGTAATTTCCTTCCAAGTACCGGCAATACCCTCCACGTTGGCTTGTCCTCCCATCTTGCCGTCAACACCGACATCTCGGGCGACCTTCTTAAGCTCCGTAGCGAATTTAGCGAGTCGACCCACCATGTGGTTGATGGTGACCTTAAGCGTGAGAATTTCTCCCTGGGCATGCACTTCGATCTTTTTGCTCAAGTCTCCCTTGGCAATAGCTTGCGTGACATCGGAAATACTTCGGACCTGAGACGTCAAATTCTGCGCCATGGTGTTCACATTGTCCGTCAGGTCCTTCCATTTTCCTTCCACGTTGTCGACCTTGGCCTGGCCACCGAGGGTACCATCTGTGCCGACCTCACGAGCCACTTTACTAACTTCGAATGCAAAGGTGTTGAGACGATCCACCATGCCATTAATCGTGCTCTTGAGGTCGAGAATTTCTCCTTGTACGTTGGCAGTAACCTTTTTAGTTAGGTCACCCTTAGCGACCGCGGTAGTGACATCCGCAATCTCACGCACCTGCGTGGTCAGGTTGTTGGCCATGCGGTTGACGTTTTCTGTCAAATCCTTCCATGTTCCTTCGACATCATTCACCGTAGCTTGGCCTCCAAGAACACCATCGGTACCGACTTCCTTGGCAATCTTAGTGACTTCTTGTGCGAATTGTCGTAGTTGGTCCACCATAGAATTGATAATATTCTTCAACTCTGCGATCTCTCCCTTGCAGTTGGCCTGGACCTTCTGCGTGAGGTCACCCTTCGCAACAGCCTTTGTAACCGTAGCGATATCTCGCACTTGCGTGGTAAGATTGTTTGCCATGGCGTTGACATTAACCGTGAGTTCGTTCCACATGCCCTGGACACCCTCGATCTGAGCTTGTCCTCCTAGTACACCTTCCGTACCGACATCACGCGCGACTCGAGTAACTTCTGTTGCAAACGTTCGGAGTTGGTCTACCATGGTATTGATGGTTTGCTGCAACTCCAGAATTTCACCTTGAGCCCGGCTCTCAATCTTCTGGCTAAGATCGCCGTGGGCGACAGCAGTAGTTACGGCGGCAATTTCTCGCACTTGATCTGTCAAGTTCTTGGCCATAATGTTGACGTTCTCTGTAAGCTCTTTCCAGATACCATGGACGCCAGTGATCTGGGCTTGTCCACCGAGTATTCCTTCAGTACCGACTTCGCGTGCGACACGAGACACTTCGCTACCGAAGACTTGCAGTTGATCCATCATAGTGTTAATTGTTCGTTTGAAGGTTGCAATTTCGGGGTCCATTTCCAGCGGGTGAATTTGGACCTTCATAGACAGATCACCGTTGGCGACTTGAGTGATGATACCACCAATTTCACGCAAAGCTTTCTGGAAGGCCTCGTTGGCCTGCTGGTGCTTGCGCAACTCACGTTCGAGAAGAACGACATCCTCATTTTCGACCTTGGTAAGAGCACGGCGAGTGTGCTCTTCCTGTTTTTGCAATTCGTCGCGAACCTGAGCAATGATATCTTTTTGGCTGCTTATCTCCTCGGCCTGCTTTTGTACGTGGTTGCGGAGGAAGCTAATATCCTCCTCCCGCACGACACGGGTGCCGTTATCATCTTCATCATCGGATTCGTCGTCTATTTCTCCCAGGGGCGGTTCGTCCGCGGCGGCCGGGATCGCTTTTTGCTGCTGTGACAGAGAGTCAGAATCTTGACCGGACGACAAGCGAGAGAGCCCAAATGTCCTCAAGAAATTCCTCTCGTTGGTCTCTTCAGCAGACGGAGTGGTCTGGTAGGGGTCCGCCTGCTGTTGGAAATTGTGGTGACTGACAGCTTGGAATTCCAGATGGTGCACGCGGCGCACCAGGGCCTCAAGCTCGGCCTCGAAGGCTGCCTTGGCGGGACTGCTTTCTCCGGGAAGTTTGGCCGATTTGGTACCGTTGGCTAACTGGAAATCAAATGGGGGCGAAGAGGAACCGGGGGTAGATTCGTCTCTTGCTAGATTCTGCAGCACGGCAGCCGCGGCCACGAGTGTGTCGTCCGCGCTAGCCATTGTGGCCTACATAGGTTAGTTCATAGTACAAATATCCAACACATATTATAGTACCAATACCCCCAGTTGAGAATTATGGGATGTAGAGTATCGGAAATAAAGCTTTAGGATCACTCACTGGAAAGTCTGGATCCTGACCGGATGACAGAAATATAGTCTAATTAAGGCGACATGAGGGGGGGGAAGTCCAAATAGAAGATAGGAATAAATAGAGCCCGAGTCAACCGGGGATAAATATGAAAGGGAATCTGGAAAGTCGGGAAGGGGGAAAATAGGTGGATAAGCCTTGGATCCCTGGAGCCCTGGAGAACGCGCCCGGTTATGTAAGCCACCACTTGGATGGCTCTGCGGGGGAAAAGACAAAAAGAAACTTAGAAACAACAGATAATAAAAAAAAGGTTTGTCGAATCAAATAATATAAAAAAAGGAGGTTTGAGGATGAGAAGAGAAAAGCGGGATTTGGATGGGGGAGGGGGTAAAGAGATTTTGAAAGGGGCGGTGATATGTCGCCTCTTTGGGGTTTTGGGTGATTTTTTGGAGGGTGATTTCTTTTTTTTTCTATATGTCTCAAATCTTTAGGTAGAATCTATAAATCGTGTCTGAATAGGAAAAAAAAGAAGAGAGATAGAATGGGTCAAATTGGGTAAAAATAGGTAAAAATAGGTAAAAAAAAATGGGATATGTTTCTGCACATAAAAATGCCCAGGTGACTGGGGACGCACGGACTGATCAACTATGGTTTTTTTTCATGGGTACACATAAGACACATGGATATATATATATATATACCTGAGATACTCCGTATATCGACATGCATAATGTATCTATACCATCTACGGAGTACCGAGTATCAAGTTACCTACGGAGTACACCATTCCCGTTTCATACCCAGGTATGGAAGTGATCGACTCCGTGGACTAGTGTCGATCACAAGGTGGCTCCGGTTCGTGGTTTTGCTTCTCAATAGTCTAATTCTATATTCTTGGGTAAATTACTCCATACTTTCCCTTCTTATCCCCAAAGGAAAAGATAGGCGAGACAGAGTTTGAACAATTAGCTGGGATTTAATGGGATCCAGTCGGAGTTAGTCTGAGCCTATAAGGAACCAACGAGAATGTCTGTTCGTTAAGGTACTGTCACCGATCCATAGTTAGATTTACATCGCAATTTGCGTCTTTTTTGGTGGCTGAGCCGGGATTAGCGTCTCCAGATGTCCCATTATCGTTGGCTGAGGTATTCGTACCGTCTATTGGTCACATGGGGACCTCGTGTGATGGTGAGGATATGAAGCTGGTCGACATTGCACGTCTGGATCACTCACTACTATTTATGTACCGACCATATGCTTCAAAATGTAATAAAAATATGGAAACCATGTGTTTGCAATGGGTAGGATTCTGTATAGATCCTATATAGATGAAATACAGTCCCCGAGTGGAAAAAAAAAAGAGATACCTGCAATATACAACGTTGTAGGTAACAGGTACGTACATTCTACCTAACCTTCAAATGTTATGGTGATTGGGATGGGCGATGGATGGGTGCTGCTAGTCAACTAGTCAACTGGTGAACAGTGAACAGTCAAATGGCGGGGTGGAAACGGCACAAGTGGTCGGTGTGCCCTGACGTATTATCTTTTGGAATCCCGCAGAGTCATAATTCTGTGAAATATTGTCCGATCAAAAGAACGACCTTCAAAACACCCGTCAAAAATTGACTCTGCAGGAGAAGGCTGCAGCCATGGCGTCCGACTTGACAAACCAGATTTTGGACGCCCTGTCCGCGTCCGATGCGCCCATCCTCTCCAGCGATGCCTTCCCCTCCACCCCCTCATTGAATGTTAAGAGTGCGCTCGACCGCCTTGATTCGCGCCAGATGGTCGAATATGAGACCCTAGAGAAGGAAATCGTTACTCTCACTGCTGAGGGTCAGGAGATTGCCGCCAATGGCAGTCACGAGGCCAAGGTCTTCGCCGTGGTGCTTGCTGCCATGGACGGATTGAAGATCTCCGACTTGCCCGGAATTGTGGGCAAGGAGAATGCCAAAGTTGGCCAAGGCAATGCCTTTAAGCGTGGCTGGATTAAGAAGGACAAGGATTTGCTCCGGGCATCCGCAGACTCAATTGTCGACGAGACGCAACAGCATCTGCTTGCCGTTCAAAAAACAAAGACCCTGGAGGATAAAAAGGTCCTGGCTGATCTCAAGCGGAGAAAGTTGATCGGTTTAGCAAAGGAGATTGCTTTCAAGATCACCAAGGGTCCCAAGTACGCCCGGGAATTCGTCAAGGAGCAGACCGACCTCACTCCGGAGATGATTGCCAGTGGCTCGTGGAAGACGGCGCACCTCAAGCCCTACAACTTCAATGCTAAGGGTGCCCCAACTCCATGTGGTACACTACACCCGCTGAACAAGGTCCGCCAAGAGTTCCGCAACATCTTCTTCGACATGGGTTTCGAGGAAATGCCCACCAACCGCTTTGTCGAGACCGGCTTCTGGAACTTCGACGCTCTGTTCGTGCCCCAGCAACACCCCGCCCGTGATCTCCAGGATACCTTCTACATCTCCGACCCTGCCGTGGCAGACGCTCCTCGCGAGGATCCCCCCAACGACCCCCACCGCCCAGCGCAACTAAAGTCCGAGAAGCCCCTCGACTACAAGAAGTACTGGGACAACGTCCGCGAGGTCCACGAGCACGGAAAGTTCGGCTCCATTGGCTACCGCTACCCCTGGAGCGCGGATGAGTCGCTCCGCCTGGTGCTCCGCACCCACACCACCTCCATCTCGACCTACATGCTGCACAAGCTGGCCGCCAACCCCCGACCGGCTCGCTTCTTCAGTATCGACCGTGTGTTCCGAAACGAGTCCGTCGATGCTACCCATCTGGCAGAGTTCCACCAGGTCGAGGGTGTCATTGCCGATTTCGGTCTGACCCTTGGTGGTCTGATTGGATTCATGGAGGTCTTCTTCGCCAAGATGGGCATCCACAAGCTGCGCTTCAAGCCCGCCTACAACCCGTACACTGAGCCTAGTATGGAGATCTTCGGCTACCACGATGGTCTGGGCAAGTGGGTTGAGATCGGTAACAGTGGCATGTTCCGTCCGGAGATGCTGGAGGCTATGGGTCTGCCTAAGGACCTGAGAGTTTACGGATGGGGATTGAGTCTGGAGAGACCTACTATGATCAAGTACGTTGCATCATCTACCATTTATCTTCATTTACTAATATCTTTTAGGTACGCCGTCAGCAACATTCGTGAACTGCTCGGTCACAAGGTCGACCTGAACTTCATTGAGACCAATCCGGCCGTCCGTCTTGAGAAGGATTAAACAGAGAAATACACATAGAAGAAAAAAAAAAAGAACGTGCTTTTAGTGGTGTCTTGCTTATGGGGGTTTCCCGCTTGCAATCACGAGTTTATGTGGAAGGAAACGTATTACATATCAACGATGGACAGGATGTGAATAAAATACTTGATAAAAGGAATCCAGCGTAGACAGTCAATGTAGAGACAATTGAGTAAAAAAGCAGGCTGTCGAAATGATATTCATCTAGCATGTGTTTACACTGGATGTCCTGCCCGTATCTGTGCCCCAGTGCATGGATCTCTGCAGCAGTGGCTCTTCAGCAGGCAAAGCTCGGAAGCATAATCTTCGGCAATGAGAAGTATTTCTACCTCCTCACTCATGGAGCTGGAGACGCCAAAGACCAAGACCAGCGAACCAGTCTGGTTTTCTGAGTCTACAAAGAATGAGGAGGGCTTGATATGCCGAGAAGGGAAAGGAATAAAGGAATAGGAAACAGGTAGACTAAAAAATATATGAAAGGGATATCGTTTCGATTTTTTGGCATTGCTTTTTTTTGGCTTGTGCTTCATGAGGTTGGGTGGGAGTCTATCACAGAAAGAGAACAGGCGGGATTCGTAGAGAAAAAAAAACCTGACCCATTAAGTCGTCGATATTCCATTCATTTCGAGAGATAGGTAGGAAAACAGGAGTTTCTCAGAGGAGAAAAATAAAAAAAACGAACTAAGGAACATAACTATATCCCTTGCGTCCTTTTTTTGGTCTTGAAACCAACTCCCCGAACACGGACCATCAAGCCACGGTTCCTGTGACGCATTAGCCTTGAACACGAAACACGCAGGATGTGTGTGAACGATCATAACGTACCATCAAATCAACCCGTCAACACCACCCGGTAAAAAAAACCACATTGCTGCGGATGATTTAGCGCTGGCTGGAGGCGGTCCAGACGTTCTTGAGGTATCCATCACGCTGGGCCAGGCGGTTGAAGGAGTCATCGCTCTCGCCGCGGGCACGGATGAAGCCGCAAAGAGCGTAGGTCTGGTTCTCGCCGGTGTAGCGGCCGTTCTCGTCAACCTTGCCGACGGAGAGCTGGACGGAGGCGTGGTCGTTGGCCTTGATGATGCGGTTGGTGGCGCTGCACTTGCGGGGCACGTAGCTGTTGGAGGGAGATCATGTTAGTTGTCTGGGTTCTTTTTTGGAGTTTTCCGAGTGAATGTGTTCCCCTCCAATACCCTGTGCCCTGATTTTTCTGGTGGCTCGCCAACGATCGCAGTCAAGCGGCATTGTAGATATTTTTCAATCCTCGCAATCTCCGATCACACCGGGTCCATCGCTTTGGCTTGGAATTGAGGCGGGATTGCTGATTGTATGCGGCCACGCAGACACAGGGCACAGAGGTATATTGGGACTGGGAGAACGGGTGTAAATTCCATGGCACGTACAGATCGACGATCTCTCCCTTGTCGTTCTCCATTTTGGCGGGTTTGGTGTTGAGGTTTTGACGGGCGACGGTGAGGTTGGAGGTGGAGGGTTTTTCTGCCGCACATTAAATTGAAGACCTCAAATGATTTGTGTGGGTCATGTGACCCTTTATCGAGGGCTGGCGTGGCCGAAGTGGGGTAAGCGTGGCCGAAGTGGCAACCGTACTAGAGGCCGTGGCAATTTCATCTCTAATGTTCATATCGACTGCTGGATACGTCTCATGTAGGGCTGGTTATACTATGAGTAAATGTATGTCTTTTACAGATTACTTTTTTCCCTTTCTTCCTGTAACACATCCTTCTTCCATCCCACAGCCACCTCTCGTGCACTTCCTTTTTTAAACCGCACAAGAACCACTCTTTCGGACTCGCCTCGCTTGGAAGACCCTTTCAGCTCAGGTCCGGGATCATTCAGACCTAACACAGATCGCCCGTCGCTGGTCATGAGAAGTATTTTTGGAGATATGCATTTTTCTGTCCATGGGGGAGAACCCGAATGAACGAACTCAGCAAGCGCTTGACGACGCTTCTCCATCTCTTTCACGGAAGCATCTGCACGGGGCTCCCTGTCCAGGAATCCTGACACCAAATGCAAAAGAAGGAACTGTGGTGGGAATAGGATAATTTCTGCCTTTTGGGCACGACTAACCCACTCTGAGGCTGGAAGAAACTGTGCCTCCGTAACCTCGATTCCCCCATCGCTCGTGGGGATCTGGTGCTCCTCGTGCTCTCCCTCTGATGGGAGTTGGTCGAGAAGCTTCTTATCCACGTTGACGGGCAAAGGCAAGAAATACAAATACATCTGAGTAGTATATCGCTTGGGGACATTTGTTGGCGTAACCCAACGAGTAAAGGGAATTAATTGGCCTGTAGAGTCAGCGTGCTGCTTTCATGTCTCAATTACACGAGCTAGGCACTTACCTATATCAGGCTCCGCATCAGCACTTTGGTGATTCAGCCATTCATCAAAGGTGGTCTTGTTCTGGTGAATGAGCCGTCTGCCTGCCTCTCGGGTAGGCTCGTCGACGGCAAGCATCTTCCCGGAGTTCCGGTCTTTAGCTAGAAGAATCCCACTCTCTTCGAAGAGTTCCCTTATCGCTGCACGTCGGTAACTAGGGGAATCTTCATGCCGTGCTAGGTCTTCGGGTGGTGGGCATTCCCCATCTTGGCTAGATAGGTTGCCACCTGGAAATACATGTGCGGATGCGAAAGAGGTGGAGGTCTTCACGCGATGAAGGAGAAGGATCTCGTTCTTTGGAGATATCAGAAGTACGCTATACAGTAGTTAGTTTTTACTATTTTTGGAATGCCCCCCTGTCGACATCACCAGTAATGTAGTCCCTTGCTACTTGCTAGCTTACCTGGAACTAGGCCGGGGCACCGCGGGCTCACTATCACGTTTTGTGCTAGACATCTTCTGAGGATTGGAAGAAATTGTAGTCGTGTATTGTCTCAAAGCAGATTTACTGCTCGGGTGCTGAAATGACTGAACCGAGGCAATATACGATGCACAAGATGTCCGAAAAACAAGACCAACGGCAAGTCGATGACCCAATCGCTGTGATAAGTGACGAGAAATAGATCCTTGACAAATAAAAGACATCGTGATCTCGAAGCCGTTCCTCGGCTTCTCAATACAGTAAAAGGCAAAAGACCCGAGAGCCTAGGCAGTTCCTCGGTACCCCGCGTGTAGCTTAACCTCATCGAGCTTAGCCGAATGCAGCGCCATGTGCTCGGGCAACCTTCTACGAACTATCTACGTGACGTTTACAGTTGGAATAGATTGAGAGAAAAATAAAACGTGTATGCTCATTACCAGAAATGGCGTAAATCTTCAAATCGTAAACTCCTATCCTATACCCTTATTTTAATTTTCAAGGCCTCATCACCTATCGGGGTCACCCTGATAGATGTATTCACAAAGAGGTCCAGTCAACTCTTACAAAGCTTGGATCTTACGAGTAAAGCTTCTTGTCGTAGCTGTGGAGACCGTGGACGTTACCCTCGGTCATAGCACTGGCACTTCGCATCTCGAAACGCACGGTGCCGTTGTTGACACCATCGTGCATATCGGACAGGCTCTTGACACCAATGTCCTGCAGGGAGTGCTGGACACCGGCAATGAGGTAAGGAATGAACTTGGTGACGGATCCGCGGTCAAGAACGGAGCCAGCGACACCCTGGGCAACAAGGACGCGGTCCTTCTCGGAGAAGTAGCGAGCAGTACCAGCGTTGCTGGCCTTGCTGTCCTTTCCGTCACCACCGGCCTTCTTGTCCTCCATGGCAGCGATACTGCCCATGCCACGGTAGGCCTTAACGAGCTGGCCCTCGTTGCTGACGTAGTACTCTCCGGGAGACTCGGTGGTACCGGCAAGGAGACCGCCCATCATGATAGTGCTGGCACCCATAGCAAGACCCTTGACGATGTGGCCGACGTTCTGGATACCACCATCGGCGATACAGGGAACACCGAAGCGAGCGGCGAAGGATGCAACGCTGCGCACGGAAGCAGCCTGGGGGCGACCAACAGCCATGACCTCCTGGGTGATACAGGCACTACCGCTGCCCATGCCAATTCTCAGGCCATCAACACCGGCGGCAATCAAAGCAGCAGCCTGCTCACGGGTAACAACGTTACCACCGATAACGTCGATCTCGGGCATGTTCTTCTTAATGTACTTGATCATCTCGATCTGGTACATAGAGTTACCCTGGCTGGAGTCCAGAATAACAATGTCCAACCCAGCCTCAACAAGAAGCTGGAGGCGCTTCTTGTCCTCCTCGCGAGTACCAATGGCAGCGGCAGCGATTAGCTGCTTGGAGTCGGGGAGCTTGGAGGCCAGGGGGTAGTAAAGGTTCTTCATCAGATCAGAGCGGGAAAGCAGTGAGACGATGTTGCCGTTGGCATCGACAATGGGGAGCTTTCCCTTCTTAGACTGACGGAGGACGTCGTTGGCCTCGGCCAGGGTGGTGCCGGCCGGGGCAGTAACAAGATCCGTGGCCATGACGGCAGTCACGGGTTCGTTGAGATCAGTGTGGAACTGAATGTCACGCGAGGTAACCATTCCAACGAGCTTGGACTTGAGAGTTCCGTTCTCTATGTTCAAACATTAGCGATTGCTGCTGAAAGCTTATGTGAGGACAATATCCGAAATAGACAAATTGGTCAGATAAAATCTGGTTCTCTACAGTGCAACTTTCGTTGCTGCAGTGGAACGAAAGTTATAATTAAAAGAGGGTGGTCATCATGCAAAATGGGTGTAGGTGCTGGGAAAAGTAGATGTGGGTGTGGGTATCTTACCAGTGACAGGGAAGCCACCGAAGCCCCACTTGGTCTTGAGGTCCTTGGCCTCACCAACAGTGGTCTTGGGGGAGATGACAACGGGGTCCAAAATGAAACCGTTCTCGTATCTCTTAACCTTGCGGACCATCTCCGCCTGATCCTCGGGGGAGCAGTTGTGGTGGATAACACCCAGACCACCGAGCAGAGCCATGTGGATAGCCATGTTGTGCTCGGTGACAGTGTCCATGGGAGAGGACAGAAGGGGGGCCTTCAGGGAGATACGCTTGGTAACAGGGGTATCCAGGGAGACATCGGAAGCGGGGAAACCTGTATGGGTTAGAAAAACGCAAGATTTTTTTTTTTTTACTGCGGGGTCCGGCTTACCGATGTAACCGGGCAGGATCAGGAAATCATTGTAGGTCAATGCACCGTGCTTATCAGAGTCAAGCAGGGTATCCGCATCAAGGCCATCAAGGGTGGTATAGGTATTCAAAACCTCCATGGCCTTGGCGTAGTCGGTGATCTCAGCCTTCATGGCGGCACCAGGTGCTGCGTCGCCGGCGGTGATAGGCATGGTTAAAACGAAGAGAGGTTAAAATAACGAGTGAGACACGACCTGAGGGAAATCTTAATCAACAGAAAGAAACGTTCTGCTGATGGAGAAAGTCGAGCTTTCCCAAGGAAGAGAAAGAAGAAGAAAAAGGTCGAGCGAAAAATTGTTTCCTTTTCTCTTCCGTGCACGGCCAAGCCAAAAGGGAGCTTGTCTGTTTCTGGTATAGCGTACTGGTTTTTTCACCGTTCATGATTCCTATTGGCTCGTAAACGAGATCCCCCGAGGCGGTGAGCTTGTTTATGCTTAGATATACGTCTATGCAGGTACATCGGTACTACCATATAGATGGTGCTAAGATTTCCTTCAATAGAATAATGTAACGTTGTTAGGTGTGATTATAATGTGCACTGTTCTTGTGAAATATATTTTCCTGATGAGCTGGGCATAAATATTGATTGCCATACAGCACAACTTTTGAATTTGGTAGTGATGGTCCAATGTCAGTTGGCTATAAGTACCAGGGTGCCTTGATTCTTATACACAGCCATGGAACGAACGAAAAATCAGGTGCTATTGAAAATTATTGGCCGGGCAACAGAACGGCAATGTCACTAGTTACCGGCTTCAAGTCCCGTCTGCCTCTGTAGCAGTATGACGACAGAATGATAGTACCAAGTGCAGCAAACACAGCCTCTTAAAGGCAGCACAGCTTCATCCAATTCTCCTAGGTATCATTTCTCACTTCTGCTATCGATATGGAATCTCCTATGGGCGAACATGGCGTCTTCAAGCCTGCACCCGCGGCACAGTCTCAGGACAAACCGGGGTGAGTAATGTTTTTACCCGAGTGAAATACCTTTACTAAGTTGATGTGCTAGGTTGGAGAGCATAATGGCAGAGCCCAGTGAGTCGACTAAACTCGAGGGCCTTCACGGCTTTGCCGAATATGCGGGTTCTGGAAAGCTGAAGGGCAAAAACGCTCTAATCACTGGCGGAGAGTAAGTGTAGCAAGTTCATAGAAACGAAATCACTTGGCTAATCATTTCTTAGCTCTGGTATTGGACGGTCAGTTGCTATTTTAATGTCTAGAGAGGGTGCGGATATTACGATCGTTTATTTGCCCTCAGAACAGCCAGACGCAGAGGCAACCAAAAAGTCTGTTGAGCAAGAGAAGAGGGCTTGCCTTCTTATCCCAGGTGATTTGAGAGATCGCAACCAGTGTCGTCACGCAGTGGATGAACATGTGAAGAAGTCAGCCTATAGTACTTTCCTGGTATTAACAAATGATTGACCACGAGATTCTACAGATACGGCACGATCAATATACTTGTGAATAATGCGTCGAAACAGTACCTATGTACGGAATTTGAAAACATCGATCTGGATAAGACCGAAGACATCTTCAGAACCAATATCGTCCAAATGATTGCGATGGCGAAGTTTTCTCTTCCTCATATGACACGAGGCGATTCGTGAGTGCTTTCTATCTAATCTATATCATCGTATACTCATGCACTTACTACAGGATCATCAATACTTCTTCGGTTGTGACTTTCCGTGGTTCGGGTACTATGATTGATTATGCTGCAACCAAGGGAGCTATCATTGGTTTTACTAGGTCTTTGGCAACATACTTGATTCCTAAGGGTATTCGGGTCAATGCAGTCGCGTGAGGATCATGCAGTCCTCTCTGTTTGAAAGTGGATACTGACTGGTCTCTAATTTCAGTCCAGGTGCAATCTATACACCAATCCAAGTCGACACCCGAGATGCCGAACAGATGGAAGGATGGGGTCACAAGGCTGGTCTTGGCCGACCAGGCGAGCCTAGTGAGGTTGCAACAAGCTTCGTCTTCTTGGCTAGCGCGGATGCTTCTCTATACTGTGAGTGGTTAATATTACACAACCGCAAATTCTCACCATTTTTGTTTTATTGTGGCTAATATACGATAACTATGCATGTGTAGATGGGCAAGTGCTGCACTGTTACCCGCTTGGTGACTAAATAGTGTTACAGGGAGTGGTATCTGTTGGTGGAAATATCGCCGGAGTATTGTGCTAAACGTGTGCTTGCCATTGGTATCAAATTAAAGCTCAGCGGGATATAAAATCAGTACAGGAGCCACGGCTTCCCTGCCGTGAGAGCCTTATCCCATCCCTCGTCATTCTGCCAGACAGCAACACTCTCAATCTCCTCTCTACCCAGTTTTAGTCCATTGTAGAGATGCTAGATTTTTCTTTCAGCAAATTTCAATCTCAGACTGATATATTCAACTTACTGGGAAAAGTCCTTCGCCGGGTCGAGGACCAGACACTTTCCCGTCTGGGGACTCCCACCGGATATCTTGGATCACGCGATGATACTCGATTCGCAATACATAGACAAGTGGTTCCTCGGTGAAAAATGCTTTCAATGTGCCTCCAACCTGATGCGCCATCGAGAGGTGGATGAAGCCATCGGCCTTGTCCAGTTCGCTTACCGTGAGCCGCTCAGGAATTGGCTCGCGGACTGGTGTGGTGGAAGGCACAATCTTGTAGATATAGCGAGGTTGAGAAAGTAGCGAAGTCATGATAAAAGTGATGGAAGGAAGCAAGTTTATTCACCGAGTCAGTGGTGATAATAAGAACAGAAACAAGGTTTGTCAGGTGGTTTCATTTGTTGGCGGGGTCGGTTCAACCGGCAACTTCTCTTTCGAACGCGCTTGGATTATTACGCCATTTTTTTGTACTTGCCTGCTTCCAAATCTCTTGTTCAAGTGGACATATAAGGAATTTTATAATATATTAAATTTGGGTTGTGAGTAGTATTATTTGTAATGCTCGGTTGATATAAAGATGCGTTTTGAGTAAGAATTGTGGGAATATATATATATGTTGTATACGTGGAGAACGCGCAGTATATAGAACACCATAATCAGCTAAAAATCCAATTATGCCTTAAATGATTCCCTCAGCATTCGGCGAGCTTTCTTAATCTACATCGAGCTTACTTTCGTTAGCATTTCATTGTCATAGCCCTGGAGATCAATGGATGTCTTGCAACAACACAGATCTTGACATAAGATAAGCGTATCGAGCACGATAATTGGGGGAAAACCCAAAAAAGATTAAAGTCCCTCTCAGAAGCAGCCAAAGCTTTAATCCACCAGCGAGCATGGAGTATGCATATGCGTAGCAATTGGCGGTCTAAAACGTACTTGGTGATCTAAGGTTGAAAGCTGCCCAGGCGTGTTGGTCGCACGGGACTACGAGCCCACTCAAACCTGGCACTAGCCACTTTTGCCAAGATTGCAGGTATTCTGATACGTCCGATATTGGGATTGGAAGGAATGTTCAGCATATCGAGCAATGTACCGTGAGGGACTTTGCCAATTTCGAATAATTGAAAATAAGCAGTAACCAACAGATCCATGCCCAGTGGGTGACTTGTCCAGTAACACAATCTCTTAGTTCTTCATACCACGTGATTCAAGATCGAAAAGCCACAATCACCTGATTGCGCCATACCCGATCTGGAGATTTGTTGTGCCCCCTGCGCCCACTTTGGGGAATCTTGTCGCACTTGCACCCCCACCGTCAACAATTCCATCATCGGGATCCACGAGCCCAGACCTTATTGACACAAGTCACGCATCAGTTGATTCGATTTTCTTCGCAGCTAAGTCATGGGAGGTTGCCCTTGAATGCTATCCAGTCTAGAACGACTCTCTGGAAAAGGTCTTGGAGACCTTGTTTAACCCGCGCATTCCGCATTTACTACCAGAGCAGGGATGCGGTCAAAGGAGCGCGACATTTTTCAATCCGATTTCGCATACCGTCCTGAGATTAAATGATGTCGACTCAATTCCCATCCCTCAAGCGGGCCCAGACGGACCTTCCCTCGCAGTCCACCAGTCCATTACGACACGGGTCGACAGCGTCCACGAACTCGTCTGCATATTCCATCGCCTCAAGCTCGTTTGCCCCTAGTCGGACTAGCACCGTTTCATCTAATGCATCGACATCACACAATTTGGGTCACTTCCGAGGGAAGAGTGAGGCAAGCAGTATAAGCTCAGGAACGACTGTCACAGACGCAATGGAACGAGGAAATTGGTCAAATGCTGGTACGGCGTACGACAATATTCGCCGATCTCTCCGACCACTATCACAAGCCCCCAATCCTTCATCCTCAACCGCGAGTACTGGCGGGTACCGACATTCACGAAGCCAAACAATCAATGAATCACACCCGTGGAAGGACCATCGACCAAGCACCCCAGAATCGCGTCATCTCCATCTTAAAGAAAATTTGTCTCCGCGTCACCAACCACACACCTACGAACCACAAAGCCCACCGCCGCCTACCTCTCCCCGCAACTGGTCTCCTGTGCCCGGAACATCGCGTCCTTCGTCTCCCCAAAAGACATTGCCTCACAGTGTTCACCCCCCGCAGCTGACTGCTGCACTCTCCGCCCCCGAACTTGAAACTTTGCAAAAATCATCCACGGGCCATCTCAGAACTCTTTCGAAGTTTGCACAGTCCGGTGAAAATGAATTCGGCGCAGCCGCAGCCTCTGTGGCGGGTTTACAAGGCCGACGAAGGCTTAAGCGAGCGGACTCGGTAGCCGGAAGAAATGGCGCAGTGTCTCCCGAAAAACCGAAGGCGTCCTCGTGGGCAGCTGGAAATTGGATGGACCAGCAGCGACAATTCATCCAAGCATACGAGTATTTGTGCCATATTGGAGAAGCCAAACAGTGGATTGAAGATGTAATTCAAAAGCAAATCCCGCCAATCGTTCAGCTGGAGGAAGGACTGCGAGACGGCGTCACTTTGGCGGAGGTGGTCCAAGCAATGTATGCGGGCAAAACCCTTCGCATTTTCCGACACCCCAAGTTACAATATCGCCATTCCGACAACATCGCCTTGTTTTTCCGTTTCCTTGATGAGATTGAGTTGCCAGAGTTGTTTCGATTCGAACTCATTGACTTGTATGAAAAGAAAAACATCCCCAAGGTCATACACTGCATTCACGCATTGTCATGGTTACTCTTCAAAAATGGCATGCTAGACTTCCGAATGGGTAACTTGGTTGGTCAGCTTGAGTTTGAACACCACGAACTTGAGAAAACCCAAAAAGGACTGGACAAGGCCGGTGTGAGCATGCCTAGCTTTGCAGGTATGGCTGCAAACTTTGGCGCGGAACCTGAACCGGAACCCGAGCCCGTTGAATCGGAGGAGGATCGTATTGATCGGGTGCTACACGAAAATGAAGCCTCAATCTGTGATTTCCAGGCTCAAGTCAGAGGAGCTATGATGCGTTTGAAGCTTGGCAACACGATGAACGATCTGTGGGACTTTGAACCCCTCCTGATTGAGCTACAGTCACGTCTGCGTGGAGATTGGGCACGGCAAATTAGTGAATACCGACTAAGCATGCTCCAGTTCGCAGTTGGGTTGCAGGCTATTAGTCGAGGCTTCATTGTACGTCGCGGTCAACAAGGTGACAAGCAATGGCGACAATCCCAGGAAACAGATATTCTGCACTTCCAGAGCCTGATTCGGGGGTCCAGGGCTCGCGCACAGGCTAGTCACCTACAATCTCTTGCACGACGAGAAGAGTCTGGTATCAAGCAGATCCAGGCCGCGATAAGAGGTGCATTGCAACGCATGAATGTTGGTGACCAATACGAAGAGTCTCGACATGCTGAAAATGACGTGAGATCACTTCAAGCTTTCATTCGCAGTGCCTTGCAACGCAAGCAGATCGAGGATCAGTCTCGAGAGCTGAAACAAGTTGGCAGTTCCGTCAAGTCGCTCCAAGCTGCCATCCGTGGTACCTTACAACGACGAGAGATGAATGCCCAGTCTCAGGAGGTGCAGCAGGTTGGCAGTTCCGTTAAGTCGCTCCAAGCTGCCATCCGTGGTACCTTACAACGACGAGAGATGAATGCCCAGTCTCAGGAGGTGCAGCAGGTTGGCAGTTCCGTTAAGTCGCTCCAAGCTGCCATCCGTGGCACCTTGCAACGAAGACAAATGAATGCTCACTCCCACGAGGTGAAACTAATTGAAACACCCGTCAAGTCGCTGCAGGCGGTAATTCGAGGATCAATTGCTCGTCAAAACTTGTCTGAGATGAAGGTTCTGCTCAACAACGAAGCGTCCCAAATTATCCGCATTCAATCAACTATCAGGGCTCTGATTGCTAGAGAACACCAAACTCTGCTGCTGGAGGCACTAGAAGAAACGGAAGATGAATGTGCTGCATTGCAAGCTATTGCGCGGGCCGCTGCTGTAAGAAAAAACACCTCAGCCATTCTTTCCGAGCTTGCGGAACATCTGTTGCCAGTGATCGACCTGCAGGCTATTCTCAGGGGACAGGCTTTGAGGGAATCATTGGATGCCCAGAGGACCGCATTGCTCGACGGGGAACCTTCCGTCTTGGAACTACAGTCCCGATCCCGTGGAGTCATCCACAGGAACTATCTTCTTGCACAACGGCATGAACTGGGACAGCATGAAGATGCCATTGTTGATCTGCAAGCCCTTGCTCGTGCTGCCATCTCACGAATGGAGGTGGGCGACATACTGTCTCAGCTTGAGGATAACGAGGAAGAAGTGGTTCAGCTCCAATCTTTAAGTCGGGCAATGCTTGCGCGAGTTGAAGTCGGCGAGATCCTGACCGATCTTGAGGTAGAGGAGGACTTCATCACAGACTTTCAAGCACGCATCAGAGGACACATTGTATGCAACCGGTTTGAGGAAAGACGTCAGCATTATAACGAAAACATGGAGAAGGTCATCAAGGCCCAAAGTGTTATCCGAGCCCGCATTCAAGGTCAGGCTTATAAGAGCCTGACCAGCGGAAAGAATCCACCTGTTGGAACAGTCAAGGGGTTCGTGCACCTTCTCAATGACAGCGATTTCGACTTTGACGAAGAGATCGAGTTTGAGCGTTTGCGAAAGGCGGTTGTTCAACAAGTGCGACAAAACGAGCTTGCTGAACAATACATCAGTCAACTTGA